AAATATCTATATATATTATCCTCACAATTGATTACAATAGGTAAGTCTTGAAGTTATATACAGAATATATATGAGTAGACCTAAGATTCGGAAGCGAGCATCTCAAAGATACCAAGGTATCACCCGTCTTAGGTTGGCATTCCACGGTCGCGCTGAACCACCTTAGGGGTGACTCAAGTATATTCGGTTTCAGACAGACAAACAAACTGAAGTTTCCATTGACCAGACCCAGGAGTCACTTTGAATTACTGTAAATGTTTTGCATGTACAGGGCGAGTCAAAAAGAAAATGACCTGGATTAATTTTTTTTACCTTAAAAACAAACAAATTAAATTTGTCACACTAATGAAGCATGTAACGAGCATGTTCTTCCACTTGTGTGAACAAACAAATATATATTGAAATCGTCTATGCATAATGTTTTACTTGAAGAACCCATTTTTACAGCTGTCCATGGAGTGCAATTTTTTTAAGCTATTCAGCTGAGTGAGAACCAGAGATTACACACAGGCGTTCAAGTGCAAATGAGATTTTTAAGTGGTTGGTAGACAGCTGAATTTTGTGGTATCTATTAAAATAGAGATTACAATATGCAAATTACGTGAAATTTTCACAGCCAATTACATATTCTTTTTTCCTATGTTATTGTTATCAAATGGATCGAGCCACGTATCTTTTAAAATTTGGTCATTTTCTTTTTGACTCACTTAGTTACTCCTAATTATAAGATTTGAGGCTTTGCATGGTGGGGTATCGGTATCGTTTCGGTTTTGCGGTAACACCATGCGGTAATAACTACTGCTTAGAAGATATTAGTTCTGAGAAGAACTTGTCCTGCTTATTATCAACTTGCTAAGTAGTTTTTTGGGGGGGTTTTTTTTTTGTTTGTTTGTTTGTTTGTTTGTTCTGTTTAGAACAGTCCTGCTGTAAGTCCTGCTGTAAGAGACCAAAGACAAGTTCTTTTAGAACTTACAGCAGGACTGTTCTAAACAGAACAAAAAACAAAACTACTTAGCAAGTTGATAATAAGCAGGACAAGTTCTTCTCAGAACTAATATCTTCTAAGCAGTAGTTATTACCACATGGTGTTACCGCAAAACCGAAACGATTACTCCTAATTGTTTCAAACTTAACTTAGGAATAATTTGGTTCGGCGCAGCTCTTGGGAAAGCCAGACTGAAATGATGTTATGTTCTGAACAAATTCACATTGTTAACTTTTTTAGGGCAACCAGGATCCCAGAAAATGCAAACAAATCCCCTATATCTATTTGTACTGCTTAAATCAATTACAATGAAGTTGAAGCCTTTTCAATCCATGCGCCATTTCTTGAGACCAATTATAGAGTTTGAATTGACCTTATAACCATGTGTGTGGAGTTATGGCTTTTCGTGTAGATACATGTATTGAAAACAGTCGCTACTGTATACACTACAATGTATAATCCTGCTTCTTTCTTAAAGGGAATGTACATCATTGGCTTTTGCTGTAATTTTCAGAGATTAACTATTTGAGGGGTTAGTATAGTAGATCAAATATTGTTTAACTGACATATTTGAAGTTATGTTTTCGAAAATGCTTGAAAAACCAAGAAAAACAAAACTGTTTAAGTAGTCTGGTTCCCTGACTCCACTAAAGATAAAATGGATCAATTTATAGATGTCTGAAAATTGTAAGAAAAGGGAACCAGTCTAGCTGGCCTGCACCCGTTCATGAACATGTAAACCAATAGCAAACAAAATTTGGACTGAAAAAATTGTAAATTTGGAGCAGTAGTTGAAAAATAGTTAGGTTTTTCCAACGGTGGTCGGCCGACCACCGTTGGAAATGTATACAAAAATACCATTTTCTTGAAAATGACTCGACACCAGGTGCCATAATTTTACAGGACGCTTTAGACTGTCATTGACCAACATCCTAGTAAGGTATTTAGTAAAAACTTGGTAGTTTTATTTTTCGATGTTTGCAAATGTTGTATATTCCCTTTAAGGCACCTTATGAAATAAACGCACCTTATGGAGGCCAATGCAATTTGTTATTTTTGTAATATATATACTAAACAGACAAATAGTACACGGAATATTACAAACTACAGTAATTGCATGCTATTATGCAATCTTCTGTGTCCTACATGTATTTCAGGACAAAAAAAAAATTGTAAATTATAAAGTTTTAAAGTAACTCACTTTTTACACAGACTTGGCAAACAGAAAACGATATTTTAAATTGGCAAAGACGTTTAAACAACATAAAAACTACTCTATGTGGCGTTAGCTTCTATACTTGGCAAACATGTGCATGGCACTTTCGTACAAATTCATGTGTAATGTAAACATAAAATAATGTGAATTTCTCGTTACACGCTTTTTGCACTTGGAAGACAAGTAATAATGTTAGTTTGTACATAATCAAACATGAAATATGTGATAGATTAAAAATAAAGTCATGGAGTTTAGCAGTGACACGATAAATTTCTTGGACTCCAGTAACTCATATAATATAGTCCCATTAGCCTTATATTCACAGTAATAAAATAAATCTCTAAAAATTCCCTCCAAATCCTCCAAATTTCTCAGATAAGGCCAACCCCCCAACCCCCGGCAGTAACCTCTCTGGATCCCCCTTGGTCTCTTCCCTCATACTCCTGGGTGGAGAGAGGCAGTTGTCTTGCCCAAGGACATAAGCACCATGTTCCCCGGGCTTGAACCCATGTACCATGGCACATGAGTCAAACACGCCAATAAAATAAAATTAACTTTTATCAGTTTCCTAAATCTAATCTCGGGTTTCGGTTTACCTCTTACAGTTAAGATCATCAATGTAACTGTGACCATACACATTGGAATAATTTTAAAATTGTATATAAAAACAGGTTTTACACTTCACTAAAAGTACTTTATCAATCAGCTCATAACTCAAGAAATTACTCAACAACTTGATTGAACTACTGATCAAATATTATTCAGTACAAACAAATGTTATTACAAAGCCCTGTATAAAACCCCAAGGAAGTTTATATTCAAATTTCATTTTATTCAAAAGTACCCTATGGAAACCTATTTGTCTAAAATGATTGCATTGTGGCATATTAGTTTAATACCCTGAAGATTCAACTTTCATATTGCATAAATGTGACATGTTCTGTCAAAAAGAGACTGGTTAGAAACTGGTTGCAAACAGTTGTTTTTTATACATTGTTAAAAACTACGGATGTTCCTTTTACAATGAAAATTCAAATTTTTAAAAACAAACTTTCCTTGGCAATATTATAGGCCCTACTCATTTGGTTAAGACAGAGGAGATGCCTTTCAAAGTTTCAGGCTACGCATTTCCTGACCTGATACACCTCTACAAATCATCCAAAAAATAACATGCAGGGGCAAACTTACTGACTGAACTTTAAAAGTATATTTGAAACATTGCAAAAAAACTGTGAACAAAAAAATACCTGCAGTCAACATAACTTGGGTTTTTTGGGGGGTGGGGTGGGTGTTTCGTTTTCGGGGTTTTTTTTCGGTGGGGGGGGGGGGGGGGGTTATCTTCATTTCAATCTCTGCCCAGAAGTTTCCAATTTTGACAAAACATCACATATACCCTACGTACTTCCTCCTGCAACCCTGTGTTATTGAGTCCACCTTTCATCTGTGGTCAAACGACAAATGAAGCATAGTCTGAGTTCCAGTCCCTCTCAAACACGTCAGCCAGTTGCTGCCTGAAAGCACTCTGGTTATTCCGTCCCATGCCCTCTGATGATGGCGATGTCTGATTGATAATAGCACCCACTCCTCCAGTATCCGTGAAGTAATCTTCACTCCAGTTTGACGTACCTGAATTCAGAACGGACACCAACACTCACTGGATGAATGTCACACACAAATAAAGTCTGTTGCGCGCCAATACAGCCGGCGTTCATTTGCCGTGTCAGTGGCATGAAACAACTGAGAATATTTCTATCCTCCCTGTATGGGATGCCAGTCCATCGCAGGTTATTCCCCAGCGAATGCCAGTCACCATTTATACTCCAGGGTGGCGAAAGGCAAGCAGGTGTGAATTGGCTTGCCCATGGACACAACATATACACATGGCCAGCAGCTGGATTCAAACCCCTGACCCTTTGATCACAAGCCACCAACCTAAACCACTACGCCAAACATGGAATCCGCAGCACGATCAACTACAGAACCCTACCGGATAAAGTTATACAATCATGGCAAACTTAAAATCTTTATGTGTCTACAGTCTGTTCCAAAGTTATTGAAATGGAAGCCTGTTGCACAATTGTTATAGATTTGATATATGTATATGATAATCATATTAATAACTTTATCAAAAACTAACTCAGCAATGGTGGGTCCTTGAGGTGGTTTTCAAAAGTAAGAAAATCATGCAGAAAAAATAGCACATGCCTGCAGCTACCCCCCCCCCCCAGCTAAATACCCCCCCCCCCCACCCCACCCATTAAGCCAAACCTGGATCTGTCCCGGAACATAATTTCAGGAAAGGGCTAGTATTGTTCACTTTTCTTTCTCCTCTCTTACAAGGAAGAGCACATGACATATGTCCAGTGGCGTAAATCTGTGCCGGCGAGTGGGGGGATGGGGGATGACCAAAATAAAAAAAATTGCCTTGGAATTTGAAATGGGGGGGGGGGGACACACCACATGACACTAGGGGGCGCTCTTCAGGATATAGATGCATATCAATCTGTATACTTGCACTTACATCAAAACTGCGCATTTAAAAGCTTTTGAGTTTGAGTCCAGGATCCCCAGGATCGTCCAGTACACTGATACGGGGGAGGAACGCCTAGGACCTCCATACAGTGAAGAAGGCCTGGAACAAGCCAGGGCAGGAATAGTCACCAAAGTTAACGAGACCTCATGCTGTATCAGAATGACCAGTGAAGATCATGAAAGACAAGACCACACACGTGTATGACGTCGCCTTCATTGCTGGAATGACCATGGACAAATAAAGCACTCTAGGAAGGACACTTAAGCTCCAGCTTATTACACCTTCTCATGAACCCTTAGAGGTTTTATTGTTTATACTGCATAATTTATATAAGTTATTCAAGTGTTTGCACCTTAGAAGTTTCTAAAGTTTTGTAGAAGTATAAAGTTTTAAAAGTTATATGTTATGAGAGTTTTCCAGCTTCAAATTTTTTTGTTTATACCTTTTAAAAGTTTAATATTGTTAAGGACAAATATTGTGCACCTTATAAGACGCAAACTGTATTGCTTTTAGAGTTTTGTAAGTTTAATCGGTCAAGGGACTGACCGAAACTTAAGGCTCGGCTGTGTAGCGCAATAGCAGTTTGATCAGTGGTAGCCAGGGGCTAGCATAGTTGTTAAATAGACAAGAACCTATAGATGTCAGCCAGGGCTGATGCACATAATGCGCCTTAGCGCACTCAGCGATGCAGTTCCTCATTAGACACAGTTCTTCAAGAGTCACGGTTCAGTTCCGTTACAAATAGTGCATCGTGTTTACTGACAGTCCCTTGCCCGTGCAGTTTAGTTGTGGTAGGTAGCTGTGCACGTAAGTGAAGCGACTAACCGGGAGAAGTTATCAGGGTACCGGTGTTACTTCAGTCAGTTGATGAGGGGAATATGTAGTGAGGCCTTAGTGGTGAGTAAACATTAAGGTAGTGGGAAAGATTAAGAACCTGTAGCGGGAACTGGCACCTGTTTAGGAAACTCGCACCTGTGAAGAGGGAGGCACCTGGGAAGGTGACAAACACCTGTTAAGGCCTAGATGATTTACAGTCCGCCTGAGTAGATAATAACAAATGAATGTCAACCTACAGAGACGAGTCCCTTGTGTGATTTAAAAGTGCCCCATTGTCCTCCCCTACCCTGTTCCCGCGTGTGCTTGCACGAGTGCTGCAGACAGAGCCACCCGCAAATACAATTGTTCCCGTGCTGTGCCTGGCGGTAGAATGCCACAAAACAGGGGGAAGTCCCAACGCCTTCTCAGGATGACTCAGGGTTGCTGTCGGTACAACCGCCACAATATTATTACTCAACCTCGGAAATTAAAGTTCAGTTTGTTTGCAAATACAGTAGCCGCTCCTTAGAGTTTATACCGTATTGTGGGGAAAAAAATTAGTACAGGAGACATCTTTATTGTCCACAATATTCTCCAATTGCGGAAAATGCTACGTGTGACGCTATGCCGTCATATTTTCATGTGTAGCTAGTTCGGGCGATGCTCATGCATGCGTATTACACCCGTGCGACAGTTCCATGATTGCTTCGTAAAGCGCATGCGTAGTATAAAACCCATGCGAAAGTGTACTACGCATGCGTATTTACCCTGTGTATGAATACGTGCGCACTAGCTTTGTTTACAGCAAAAATGGCATCTGGCACGTGACGGTGAATGGACCAATCGGCTTTCAATCATGAATATGTATGAGGTATAGTAATACATCTTGATACCCTGGGCATGATTGAGTGATTTTTGCAAAAGGTACATCCAGTGGCTATTGAAAATAACTAATTAATATTTATTTATCTAGTACTATGGTATAACAATAAACATGTATCATTTGCATACCAGATACAACTTGATGTGGGCTGAATGATTTCGAAACTTATGGCACATTACCTAAACCACCTGTTATTGGGCACTATTCAGTTTTATATAATTTATATAACATATGTGGCATAGTCCGAGTTCCAATCCCGCTCAAACACGTCAGCCACTTGCTGCCTGAAGTTATTCTGGGCACTCTCCATCCCTGCAGCAGAGGACGACGTTTGATTTATGATGGCACCTACTCCACCATCAGCTACAAAGTAATCCTCACTCCAGTTTGATGTACCTGGAATTGAGAATCAAGTACATTTCGAATTGCAGGCCATCCAGTGGAGCCAAGTTCATACAGTGGAAATTCCCTTGAAGAACTACATGTACATGTATCCACTGATAACCAGATACTGTACAAAATGTTTTTCCTGTGATTATTTTGTTTTTACTCTGTAAAAATGGCAAATACTTCCCCGTAACTTATATTGAATCAGAATACAATTGTTGAAAAAAAAACCTGAGGGTAACACGCATTACCATTTACATTTCCTATTGGTCGAGAACCTGTCACATGAGTGGCTTAAAACGGTTGATAAAATACCAACTGGTTTCAAATACTTTTTAAATGAAATTTTGACTCCTATGAAATCTTACTATTTTAAATCCTATTACTCTTTTATTGGTTGAACTCCCACACGTGACCAGATGCTCTCCTAATTATCTTCTATTAAGCATGTGCAATACTACCAATGAGTCCGTATTTCTTAGTCCTAAATTCACACTACACCCACACCGCTGTGTTCTGTGCCACTCGAGCACTATGCACCAGGCGCGCACCGATCTCCATATAAGGAGATTTTCAGTACTACTCGTGCGAGGCATATACCATAAACATAGCTAGGGGTGTTTCACAAAATAGGAAGTAAACTGCTGAACAAAATCGTGGGAAATTTATAAATGTTGATTTGTGTTTTGACTGTTTGACCAAAAGGTATTTATGAATGGGAATAAATATGTGCTTGGCCGGTATTAAACAAATGTTTAAAGCTAGCTCAGGGCCTAGACGTGGATAATGACCCTCACCGCCCAGGCCCTGAGCTGGTTTTAAACCTACTTGTTTGAACTGGCCAAGCACATATTTATTCCCTTAGTATATGCTGCATCAAACTGAGCTCCACTGGTTCATTTCAAATAGAAGAGAGCTGCACCAAACATGTACAATTTATATTTTAAGGTAAAAATATGTTATTGGGTCTATTAAAGAAAACTAGACTAAAGCACCTGATTTTCTTCAACCCATATATTGCCTGTTTGACCTACCTATATAGGCTTGCTTGTCCGTGACCATGTACTTGTTGTGGTTCACTCTTGCATAGGGGATTTTGGCCTGGGCTGGGGTTGCCGGTACTACAAAGACTTTCTGTAAAAAGAAAAGTGCATGTATAATAGTTTTGACTGCTGTGATGTGGTCCATGGTGTTTTGTATACCTGAGGGGGCAAATGGAACCCGAGGTGAAGCCGAGTGTAACATTCACCCCGATGGTGTACAAAAGCTGTGGAATACACAAAAACTGACAACTGTTTTGAAATACCATGGTTTCATTGTAATTGAGTTTATAAAAGGTCATCAATATAAGATACTTTTTTTTATTTTCGGTTTTGACACCCCGCTTGACTATTAACACTGAATTTTATTTGTAGATGTTTTTTTGATGTGCAGTCAATTACATAGGCTTTAAAATGCTGTGCCACTGCCTTGCCAGACTCACCTGAATTGAGCTCTGCAGTAGCTCGGCTATAGGGTGGCAGTTGCTCTATAAGATGAGCTTAATTACTCAAACTAAATGCATCGAGAGTAGCATGCCATTGTTAAAATATTTTCAAGCAGTTCAACGCACTTTCCATGCCATCCAATATCTGCACCACATTCGCTCCTCATGATGCAGATGTGAGGTTACTTTGAGCATGAGTGCATTCCTAAAATGTTTGCCCAAATTTGAATTGAATTGAGTTTGGCACAGCAATGGCACAGTGTTTAGAACAGTGCTGTGCCACTGCCGTTTGGAATTACGATAGCACGGCAGACCTTGTTGAGCCAAAGGATATAGTGCTGAGCTAAATGGTTCTAAATGCCGTGCTGTTTCCGTGCCGCATTTCAAAAAGTCAAATTAATTGAGTTTGGCACAGCAGTAGCACGGCATTTAGAAAATGGCCTTAGTTGAGTCCATCGCAAGTCCTCACAAGTCCCCACATGTCCTCCACTCTTAATTCAAGTCACGAGCTATTTCAACGCATTCATAATGTTTCTGTTCACCCCATTACTTGTGACTGGACTTGTGAGAGGACTTTTGATTTACATGTACTATGTGACGGACCTGTGGTGGTCTCGACTACAGCTGTTGATGTATGCATGCCTGTGTTGTCACAAATCTTTCATGCCATCAATACAAATCATAAGCATAATGTAAAGGTAAAGTAAAGTCCGTCACGAGACAACGTGGCCCATCAGGCCGGCGTTTATCTCCAGTTTCAGTAGCATGAAACGACTGAGAATATTTCTACTCCCCCTGGATGGGATGCTAGTCCATCGCAGGTTACTCCCCAGGTAATCGTGGGACCCATTTATACTCCTGGGTTGAGAGAGGCAAGTGGGAATGAAGTGGCTTGTCCAACGACAGTAACTGGATTCGAACCCCTGACCCTCTGATCTTGACTCAGGAACCCTAACCACTATAGGGCACACTCCCCACATAAGCATTATGCAGCAAGATACAACTTTGTCAGGCTCTTACCACTTCAATATCCATCTTGCCAGTGTTGTTGAGCACAGCCAGCGATTGTAGAAATCCAAACATCTCCTTGTTGGTGTGCTCCCATGAGCTTGCAAGAAGCCGCACTGATATACCACGATCCCATGCTGCGCTGCGAAGCTTATCATCTATAAGCGGCCAAAATCTGTATCACAAATACAAAACACAGCAGTTTTGAGATATAAAAGTAAAAACATGTAACAAATGTAAGCATCACAATTTATTTCATGAAATCCAAAAAAAATTAATTGACAGTAAGGGTATGATGTTTAAATGTTTAAACAAAGAAAAAAACAGAATCCATTCACAAATTTTTATATGGTAAAGTTTAAAAATTGGATCTTATAGTCTCAAGATCTGCCTTCCAGTTTCATTTAACACAGAATTGTTTACAAAGCATGTTGGTACTTGCATGTAAATAACGTCCCAATTTCAAACATTTTACATGAAAGGAATTTTCAATAGTGAAGATTTCAGTTTGTTATAGTACCATAGAGCTATATTAAATTACTAGAGCACTAACTCATCATTCTTGCGCGCGGAGAAGCTTTGAAGCCGCTCTGGACGCAGACATTTTGAATTTATGTGCGTGTTTGTAGAACAAAATCAAAATAGATGGATTGAATTTTAAAAGTGTAGTCTAAATGCAACGCGCAAGTAGAAGATACGCAAACAACTTAAGCGCGTCATGACGGTTTAAAAAACTCACGGCGAAAAGCATCTGCAGCAGAGGGAGGCGCACACATTGCGCTGTTTGCGTAGAGCAAAATGAAACGCTCATTTGCTGATCGTGCGTTTCGGTTTTGGGCGTATCGGCTTCGATGACGCACCGGTATGGAATACAAGCGCAAAATGGCCAGTTTTCCATAGGTTTGTGCACAAACATGGATGCGCCCATCAGGCATTACTTTGTACATCGAGTTAGCGCTCTAGTAATTTAATATAGCTCTATGAATAGTACATACACAATGGAATTAATTTCTTCTTCTGTGGTGACGAGAGGAGTTTTTGGCATTTCAGACAATTGAGTTCTGTCTGTCCAAGAATGAAAAATGCCATGGAGAGCATGCAGGTTGACCCTAGCTGACAGAAATTATACTTGAATACAGTAAATCCCAACACCATGTATAGGATACATGTAGATCTACAATGTCATGACTAGGCTTATCCAGTTAAGGGCAATAATTGGGTTCTATGAAAGAAAATATAGCATTATGATATACATGTTGAAAATACTGCAAATTGGCGACTACAATCAAATGAAACATTTTGACCTCAACTGCCATTCAATCGAACATGCAGATAACAATGGGTAAATTCTCCACACAGGAGTCTGTGACTAGACTAGTCAGTGTTTGGTACCAAGACATTCACACGAAAACTGAAAGACTTGCATGCTCTATTGCCCAAGACTGATTCCAACATGACACTAACCACTATACCGGTCCAAATTTTACAACCTCCTCTTAATTAACTTGTGCCTCCTCACTTGTATTCTACAACAAAATCCACAGTTTTTGCCCTGCTCATAACCATCAAGTTTATCAATGCTGAATGGCCAACAGAATAATGCCATGACAGCAATTATTATCAGAGTTCAATTCAAAATGGAGTGATCTTTGCACCCCTCTTTATTCTGGGTCATTCAACAAATGTCATTAACACCTAACCCTGTCAGAAGCAAGTGCACTACAGGTGTACAAGTCTGTGAGATTGAGCCATCAACATCAGTGCATTAACAGCCAGTTCAAAGACAATGAGAGCTAGTCCCATTGAACAGTAAATTTCCCAGCTATATCATGCTGCAGTTGGTGGCCATAAACTCTGAGGCTTGTGATAAGTTTTTGTATGATGGATCTTGCTTCACTGGACACAATAAGCAGACTTGTCATTTTGACAAGCATTGAATAAAGTTGCTTTTAGCAGGGTACGCGTAGGGTTAATACTGTAATAGTGAAATATTCAGTTCAAAAAATAGGATTTAAAAAGTTCAACTCTAAACTCACTGCGGATGGTCACCGAAGGCTAAGAAAGGGTAGTACTCCATGACTGCAATGTGGATAAATTGCTCGGCTTTGTCCATCACGTCAAGAATTGCATCGATGTCGTTTGTCCGTCCATCAGGACAAAACTGAGGTGGTGAACTCTGCAAATAACAGCACGTGAAATGAGAGATCATTATGGAATCAATGCATAAATATGCCCCAAATGGTAAAAATGCAAAGTAATTACTGTACTTGATGGACACGTCACCAGAATATTAGTCACATGCCCATACTCATGTGCATTTCTCTCATGTGAAAATACTACAGTGGACATGTAATGCAAGTCAAGTCCTTTTGCAATTCCCCCAAAAACACTGAAATATATTAGGGTGTGTAGCAAGTATCAAGCCTAAGCACCTACACTGTGCTGAAAAAAAAACCAATTTGAGATATTTATAGAATAAAATAGTTCGAAATTAGGGGAGTGTATAGGGGCAGATTTCATGAAGCTTGTCTTATCTTAAGACGCATCTTACAATTTAAGACAAGTCCCCTCTCTATAAGATCAATAGAGCATGTAAGATGCACCCTCAGACCGATTTCACGAAGACCCCTCTCACACCAATACGTGAAGCCATTTCGTGGCCACTTCGAGGTGTCTGTGGGCACAAAAGTTTAAAAATTGAAGTAACCACGAAATGGAATCGGATCTCACGGGTTGCCACGAACTAACCACGAATTAAGGACGTGTCGATTCCTTCTGTGGGCCGATTCTCACGGATGCTCCACGGATCACCCAAAAAGTTTTTGGATATGTTGAAAACTGAAACGTGTGCACTTCGGAAATTTATTGCCGAATTGAAAACATGTTCAATATGGCTTATTCGAAGTACTCTTGTAGTGTTCTTGAGGTTAGGCTGAAGTTACATCAGACTTTACGGGATGGCCCCAGATTGATTGTTGGCCTGTTTTACGGCCGTTTTCATTACGCGGTACTGGATGGTACTACGGAGTCCACGAAGTGTCCACGAGTTGGCCACGAAGTGCTCACAGACTACACATAGTACTCTCGAGCTGGCGCCGTAGTCACCACTGACACCACATAGTAGTCTCGAGCTGGCGCCAAAGTCATCACGGGATGCAAGCGGGATGGCAACAAGATGTCGCCGGCGTGCAGTCCGTGAATTCCAGGAAACGGACATGAGCACGGGTTGGTCCCGTGGTGTTTCTGAGATGGCCACGGATTACTCACGAAGTAAAAATGGGTACCACGAAATCAAAATGTGCTGGCATAAAAAAACGGACAAAAAAAGGGAGACCACGGATACTGTTGAAAAAATTGCATTTCCGAAGTGACCTCGCGCTGGTCTTGGATTGGTGTGAGAGGGGCATAAACAAATCTTAACCACTCGCTGCAGGGATTTTTTTTGGGCTGAAAAACACAACAAATACTGATTCTTGATAGTCATTTGCACAATATTTGTACGATACTTCTCACCGTCACTTTATATTTTGCCAGACTCCAAGGTCCTGCCACGGAACGATATTTGCTACAACGGCCAAGTTCAAGTTCGAAACATGTTGTTTACAAAACCAATGAGAACCACGGACATGTATGCACGTCCGCCGACAGAGGCTTGGGGAAAGCTTCACGATTTAACCCGTCACCCGCCCTAGTAAATATACATTGCCAGATCATAATCACGTCCTCCAACATTAACTGGCTAAAGCAAGATGCATTAGATTTACAGTTGAGGGAATTGTTCTTTACTGGGCATGGGAAAAAAATCACTTATGTTTGTTTTTACCACTTGAAGACTACGAACACGCCATTTACTGTTCCTCTACGGAGTGCACGAAAGCATGTTTGGAGACTTCAAACTGTAATGGAGATGTTTGGTCACAATTAGAGAAATTCACTAACCGAGAAATACACGTCAGTGGCCGACTCATTGGCCTTTATCTGCATAGGAGTCATCATGTTGTATGGTGTGCTGTAGTTGCTGGGCCAGTTGCTGGGTACCTTGGCTCCCGGTTCACCCAGTGTCCAGTACACCTCAAAAAGCTTGGCAGCATCCTCACCGACGCAGCTGCAGTTGAAAAATGCTACACTTAACTCCTTGACCTAAGAAGAAGAAAACAAATTAAATGATATAAATTTGTGGTTTCAAAAAGAGCAGATCTTTTCAAAAAGCACAAAGCAACAGTCAATGCAATTTGATTACATTCAAGTCCTTGACAACAGGCATGGTCAAATTTGAAATACGAGTAATAGCATTATAGTGCCTTGGGTGTGTTCTACTTAATATGCTAACACTGCTGACGTTTGCCAACCTGGGCAACATTTGCACAATTGGAACCGAATGTTAGCAATCCGGCAGAGGTGGCGGTCATCCTGAGTTGTTCGCTTTGTTATCCAAAATGGCCGACACACACAATGAACATAAAGATGGTGCCTTATTCTCGACAATGCTACTAGGCGGACACTACTTTATTTATGCGTTATTTTGGGAAACCTAAGCTAAGTATAAAATAAAGCAACCTCCATTGGAAAAAAAGTAGTGTACACTTACTTGCCACATCATTTCTTGCCTACGTTTTGTTGTAGGCACTGGTAAATCAGCACCTTGTAAATCCTTATAAAGGTGCTACATAATGGGTCTCATAGTTCTCATTAACTTGAGGGCCTCCATGGAAAGCAGTGCCTTGCACTGATCGAAGTTTACCCTTATTAAAGATGACGTAAAAAAAAAAAAAGGCCTTGTCACAGCATTATCTATTTCCCCAGTAAGTTCATCTAATGGCAACATTCACTTTAAGTCACAATTAATTTTTTGAGGATTTTGAAACTGCTATCCAAACAGTGAGACTTGTAGGATTGCAATACAAGGCACCACCGTTTTGATAACAGTTCTCTGTTGACATTATTGCCCGATTTAGAGTTGGCACATTCGTAGGGCCATGCTCACAAATGAAACTATGAGATGAAGGACGTAGCCTGACCTCTAGCTATCATTCTGTCTTTTTAGGAAATCTCAGTGTATGGGCTCCGTGCACAAGTACCCCATCAACGGCCAGAAGTTGAATTTGAATGTATTCGCGCGCCGACGACGCCTGACGCTGTGGCTAGCTTTTGCACATTCAGGAAGTCGTGTGTACTTCACGCGCGAACCAGTACAGTACAGCACGAGCACGCTGTGTGTCCTGTCCACGGAGTTTTCAAAAGAGATACAAATGCGCCTCTTTTGTTGGCGCACGGAGCCCATATAGTTTACCTTGTGTGTGTACATGTTGTTTAGACCCAGATGTGTTTTCTTTTTAATTCCCAGTGTACAGTGCCAAGAATTTGAGCATATCACCCCTGTACTTATGAAACTGCATTGGCTTCCGGTGAATTATAGAATCATGTATAAAATTTGTCTCTTAGTTCATAAATGTTTAAATGGTCTAGCCCCTGACTATCTCAGTGAATTACTGCATACTACTTGTTCCATTTCACGTAGAAACACACGATTGTCATGTGATAAAACCAGACTACAGCACTGTAACACCAGATTATGCACATTTGGGGATAGAGCTTTTTCCGCCATTGCCCCTAAATTATGGAACCAGCTGAACTCGTGCCTCAGGGAAACAGAAAGTATCAATGTTTTTAAATCCGGGCTGAAAACTTATTTCTTTCGAAAGGCATTTTTATGATCTTATAGACACATGTATTTGTAGTTGTTGTGGTTTTTACTATCCCCTGAAGGTTTATTTTAGCACTTATTTCCCATTCTTAATTTTCTTTAGGAATTAAGTTTTGGTGTATGTCTCTTTTAACAAACATTTTATTGTATATGCGGTCACAGCTGGTCTGTTTTACATTTACTTACCTTTGTAATTTAAAATATTGTATATTTCTATATTTACTTGTCATTTTTGTTTGTAATTTCATGCTGATTTTAAACTGATTTTTACATTTTTCTTGTTAATTCTAATAATTACTTTGTGTTTAAAGGGATTTTCTATATGTTACTCTGTAAGCGCCCTGGAGCATTGTTTTTTCGATGGATTGGGCGCTATATAAATCTTTGCTTATTATTATTATTATTATTAATGATCTAACACAGAAAACCCTACATGCCCTTACTTTCTTCCCCATACTGCTCTGATTACAAAGTCTTAAATTGAAAGGTTGTGCCAATATTCTCAACACCAGGTTATAGTTTTGAATGATTTTGGTGGGGGCATTGAAGTAAAATCCTAAAATGTTAAAATTCATATTGGTGACACTTATCTTTAGTTTCCCATGGTTTCCCAAAATATTGCGTAAATAAAGTAGTGTCCGCCTAGTATTAGCATTGTCGAGAATAACGCACCATTGACTATAGCGAGCGTCTGGTCGAGTCCGAGTCACGAAAAATGTGACTCGAGTCGGACTGGAGTCCGAGTCCTGGACTCGAGTCCCACAACACTGCTAAAGTCTTTTGAAGAGTCCATGCTTAGAAATGAATTGTAAGGTGCAATGAATAATTGTTACAACCTGCAGACTTCTGCAAGATCAGCATACCATGACCAGGGAGAAGTACTAGTGTTTCGGTGATAAATGACCAAACCTCTCCGTGTCTTTCAACTCACCTGTGTCAATGACCGCCAGTCCATGTTCGGACTGCCCACGAAGACGTGCTTTTGGTCCACAATCCATAGCTTGGTGTGGAGTATGCCGCTACCAATCAGCTGATTGAAGTCCAGGCTGCGTACCTGTGCAGCGCCGGCCTCCTGCAGACTCCGTGTGTCATTGTCATCGGTGTATTTATTAGGTTCGTTCTGTGCTATCCTGATGGTTATTCCCCGTTTCGTCCCAGCATTCAGCAGTGCAGCGTACACCTCCTCTCCCTGAAAGACAAACAAAAACAAATTGAGCTGCTTATCGCATAGGTATCCAAAATATTTACCAGGCCAGGTTAAAATGGCAAGGTTTGTTGATGATGTTTAATTTCGTGGAAGAAAACACAGAGTGGAGCATGATTATTTACGAGGGGTGATTCTTTAAATCGTTCCAAAAATATAACCTTGCTTTATTATGAAGGGAACTTTTGTTGCCCAAACTGTACAATCTGCAGAAATGTGTTCCTCCAATGTACAGTGAAATCTCAACAAGTCAAACCTCAAGGAAATGGATAAAAAAAAATTGAGATATCTGAAGTTCGAGTTACGCAAAGTTCCCAATTTTTCTACAATCACGTACATAATTATGCAGGTACAATGTACATGCTTTCACCGTAACTCGCTATGAGTTATTTGGCTCAGTTTCCTCCTTTTTATTCATTTTAATGATGTATTTTTTTGAATTACAAATCATCATTTTGCTCAGATTTTATATTTTTCTTACCTAAAAGTGTCTGCTCTATGGATAAAATATAAACCACTCAAAATGTGTAACTTCAAGTCGCAAATCTTTATTTCGTGTCGTTTGTCAATGCCTAGTCCCTAGCGTATCGCGCAATATTGCGAGCACCACGCTGAGGGTTTTCCGATGTGCGGTCGCGTGACCGGTTCTATTTGATCGATAGAGGGCATGCTATTGTGCGAGCTGCAGCTAGGCCAGTAGTAGCGATCAGAGTAATTCGAAAGCCAGGCGTGCGTTTCTAATGCGATCAGCGATCGGACCGCTGGCGTGATGGCTGCAATTGGGCCAGTGGTAGCGATCAGGCCAACTGGAAAGCCAGGATTTGAAGTGGTTACGGGCTGGAGTCCGATCACAATGGCATGGTGCACGCTGCATCCCCACGTGAACAAACGAAGTGCGTTCAGCAATAATGACTCATGAAAAAAGTTTGCGATCTTTTTACGCAGTACTGGGCGCGCTTCTTCAAAGCATTGCGGCGACCATTGTTCGGCCTTCCTGTGTGATTGGTCACGGTTCGCTTGGATTGTTGTCAGTTGCACTGCAGTGAATTGGCTGCCTCGATGATAATACGGCCTCATTGTTGATAATAATGCCTCACTGTTGCTTTTCTACACGCGAGTTTGGGTTTGTTGCTTGGGTTCTTGGGAAATTTCTTAACTGAACAAAAAGATTCCAGCTTCTTCTGTGGCCTAATTATGCAAGTTTATTTCTGCACCTGGTGATTTTGAGTTAGATTTTGTAACCAAATTTTTGGTCCGAAATTTTGAGTTAGCGTAGGCATGTTTTTGCATAATTTGCTATTCTTTTGACGGGAATGAGTTCTTACTTCGAGGTAGCCGGGTTTTCCAGTTAACCGGTTTTGATTTATCGAGATTTCACTGTGTATTATAAAATAAATGTCTGTATACATGTATTAACTGACCTGTTTGTCTGTTGGGTCTACGTAGATATCCTTCCCATTAAGAGTCCAATAATATGAAGCGATATCAATGGATTTAGTGGCGATGTTGATGAGCTTCATCCAGGTATCAAACGTTGACACATGGGATGGGGAGCCAGGTGGAAAGGTCAAATTAGCAGGAATGCTCTCCACCAGAATGATGCTACGAAAGAAGTGATAAACAGAATTCACACGGTTGAAGAGCCAGGATTTTGCAGAGGGGTTGGCTTACGCCATGAGAATGAAGTTTGAGTCATTTTTTCATTATTTCTTACTTCTATTTTAAAGCTCTGGCAGGATCTTCTACTTGTCACTTGGTGGTCGGTCGGTGGGGCGGTCGTTTGGTCGGTCGGTTTGTCGGTCAGTTGGTTGGTCTGTCTGCCGCTGAAAATTGACCAAATATAATTGACCAAAAATAATTGACTTATTGACCAAATGCCAAGCGGTAAGTTGTCATAAAATACACTCTTGCAGGTTTTTTTTTACTATCCAGCCGGACCAGTTGGCTAGAATTTTGACTGGTTCGCCAGGTTTTTGACCGGTCCGTCTAATACAGCGTGTGCCCACCAGTTAATCAGTTTCACATAATTAGACTTACAGATTATTAAAAATGAAAAGCTTACTTTTTGTGGTATTGTATTGTTCGAATTTGTAAGTCATTGACACGACAAAGTCCTCTAAAAAATAATGCAGATCGTCGACCGATGCCTGAGGCCTGGGCTAGGCCGACCACGCGACAATCCTAGCGAATGTATGCTTTTCAGTTGGTATCCATTGTGAGCGATTCAATATTAAAAGCTCATGCAATTTATGCTGGCCACCAGCGACTCCTTCGTGCTTCGCCGGTGTCATGTGAAACTCGGACTCCTATAAAAATAATCGCACTCCTCACGTAATTGGTCATTCTAATAATCATCACATGTTAGACATGCGCAATTGTGGAGGCTGTAGTATGAAGTTGTCGGTGCCGCGACCTTCATAACGAACGGACCAATCATACTAAAACATGAATGGGAAATGTTTTGAGCGCCGTTTTAGATGGCCAATCAGCTTGATCCATGCAGTGCGTGGGAAAGAGCACGTCTCACGACGTGTGCTTGTGGACCCAGCAGGACGGGCGTAGGGGGCTTTTGTAACGTGATCGTACAGGGGTTTTCCCACGATGAGAAATCATGGCTTGATATTACGCTTTCTTTTGGAGTATTTTCTTTTCTCGATTTTTATCTGGACGGCTCATCGTATGATTCATGCGAGTCCCTTCCCTTTGCACGTCGGTACCGATGAATAATCAACGGACCAATCGTACAAAAACATAAATGAAACAAATGTTCCGAGCGCGGTTTTAAATGGCCGTTCAGATTCATTGTGGGGAAAAGCACGTGTTTCAACCCAACTCTGTGCGGAACCAGTGTGGAACCGCGGGTATGCGTATCATGCACGCAATGTACAGCCACGCACATGACGCAGGTGTATTCGGGGGCTTTCGTAAACAAAGTTAAGTGTACGCTTTACGGTAGATCGGACAAGAGTTTTCCCCACGATGAGAAATCATAGCTTTTTTTATTGCGCTTTCTTTGAAATATTTTTCTCTCTCAATTTCCCTGCATCGGACGGCTCAGCATCACATGTGAATCCAGGCGAGTCCCTTCCCTTTGCACGTGCACCTCGCACGCATATAGCACAGAATCTTGCTCCATGACTAAAGCCTGTAAGTTTTGGCGGTCATAGATATGATTGACACGTTTTTTCTTGTTGCTGATATTCTTGAGAACTATGTTTTGGCAAAAATTAGGCATGATGCTGTAGATTTCAAATCTCTCAAACAATCACGGAGAAACAATTATCAGACCAGTTTTTTTGTCACGACTGTCAAAACATTCCCATGTGTAAAACATTGTTTGAACTTTCCGTGGACACACTTTACACACAAAGAAAACCGCAAACACGGCGGCGTTAGCAGAACTACAAAGGCCTTTGTGGTATTGCAGCTGCTGAAGTATCAGGTTTTCTAGTCGAGCTTAATAATTGCGTCTTATCTGTCAATGGTAATTGACAATGTAATGAAAGTGGATGCCTGAAACCACAAAGAATGGAATCAAACACGTCAAAGAGGTTGTTTGTCTTTCTGTTGGAATTAAAGGCTTTTGCGAAGATTCTGAACACTAAGGATGAATACCGCGGTATTGAAATTCCATACCGAGTTCACGGTTGCATAGAGCATTTTTGATCTGTGATGCCCTTGCCGATTTTTTCGGCTGGCCAGCTGGACCACTTGGCAAGGTGTTTCAGCTGGTCCGCTGGCAATTCAACTGGCATTTGGCCAGCGGACCACCGCTAAGGTGGAACCCTGTCTTGCCGATGGTTTTCGGAACACCGATTTTGTTTTGATCGATGCGCATGCGCTACTAATTGACTAAATGCCATGCCGTCGTCATAAAATACACTCTTGCTGACGGTTTTTGGAACACCGATTTTGTTTCAATCAACTATTGATCATTTTTTAAGTTACTTTGATGTTGAGGTGAACTTTTGTAAAATAATTAATTTAAAATAAATTTGTAGGTGGTACATAGTACATACTATGTACAAATGTACATGTAGGTTCAAGGGGGTGCGCACGTACTGAGAGGCAAATCAAAAAATTCCATTCTCATGATCTTAGGTGTTGAATTCCAGGATTTCACAAAGGGGATGCAGAAGAGTCAAGTTAAATTACACACGCCCTGGTGCAAACATGGCAAATGGTACCCTTTGGTCATTGGTTGCGCGTTTTCGTGACTTCGGTTGGCTGGAGTGACGTCAATGTTCCAACCGAAACTAAACAAAGGAGGGCGCTAGCGTGTGCGCTTTCGTACGCACGTACATGACGTACGACTCGGTGATAAACTGATGAAAAGAGACTACAAAAACGTACAAGTTTAACGTTGCTTTAGAGTTTATTTTTCTGATTAACGTCGGTCAGCATCACATATGGAATTTCTGAATCCCCCGGATCAATAGATAAGGACACATAGAGTATGTAGGCGTGAAATAAGCTTCTATAACGAGGTAAAACGTAACAAAAATCTGGTCAAAATTTAGGGTGGTATTACGTAGAGAATTCTCATCCTGGACGTCAGTCGTAATGCAATGAAGACTTCGTCCAACCTGGGCTAGGCGTACGCCCTACAATACGCCACACACCTCATCACAGTGGACAATGAACAAATATAGCAATGGTTGATTATTGCCCCATTCAAGAACACACATTTCCTGTGATTGAGAAAAACCCTTATCACTCACCTGCAGTTATCGCTACATTTTTCCCAGTGGTCTGGTTTCGGCCTGCTTCCTGCAATTCCTAGGAATGTCAGTGCAGCCGTCAACGCAGCCAGAATACATAATATGACCAAAAATATTAAGACTTTCCGCCATGTGTCGGTCTTATTTCCCTCCGAAGAAAATTGTTGGTAGTCCTCCCTCCCGTCAGACTTCATTGTTAGTGGTTCCCGTTCTACATAAGAGACACAAATTTGTTTGAATATAAAAATAAAACTCTTGCATGTGTTTCCAACATACCTGTATATAACTGGTCCTGCATTTTTGAAAATATGGTAATGGTATGTGCTTATCATAATTACAAGCCATTTTTCAATGACATATGCTCAAATTTATCAGAAATTAATTTTACTTGAAAAAGAGATCTTGTGTTGGAATAAATGTAATACTTTAATTGTATCTTTGTAAAGGCAACTTCCAAGTGCTGCGGTGAAATGGAATATTTTAAACTCATTGGGTTTCATCCAAAAAAATATATTCCTTTTGTAAATTGCTATTTTTCTAGCAATACAAAAGCTATTTACTTTTGGACATTGACCGAAAAAAAATCAGCACATGATTAGTTACTGAATAATTATTTTACAAATTACAGTTTTGAATTATGCTGCCAGAGAATAATTCTGTTCTCAAGGGGTAGTCGGGTTCCCGCCCCACAATCAGTATTGATAATGTACCGACCAGAAGCTACATTGTAGCTTCCTAAGCGGATCCATTCATAAATATGCCCAAAACAAAAGCCCTTTTTTTCAGAGGGTTGCAGACTTCCAAAAAAACGAAAAAAGGAGTTTTTGGGGTTGGAATAAACATACAAAATTTGAAAACTTATTGATAAAAATTTTTTATTTGTTGCAGAGCACGGGGAACACATCTTTAATGTCCAATGTAAATGCCCCAAAGTAGACTGTTCTTCTCTCTACAGAAGCCAGATCTATATCTTCTGTGCCATTTGATCTGGGAAATCTGGGAAATATCTCTTAACCACTGCCATTTAATGGTCTTTATAATATTTCACGAAGGCGATTTTTAGACTTCTATGGGAGGGTCAACCATAGGTGCACCTAGATGTTCTTACTTGGGTCAGTACCGGGAACAAAGGGTAACAATAGGGACAATGGGGCCCAGGTCTGTTTTCAGAAATCTCAGTACACCACAGGCGAAAAATCTATGGAGTTTGAAATTTCAATAGAAACAGGGAACAAAAGTCAATATGTTTGGCCAAAAAAAAAATATTCTGCTTCCGATTACATGGTAACGGTATTCAAAAATAGGGTAGGTAGTGATTTTTTTTGGCCAATTTTTTTGTGTACAATCATATGGAGGAGTACACATGTAGTCAAGAGTAAAAGGTATAAATTGATGGTTTTGGGTGTTTCTTCTCATTTCCCAATAAAAAAAATTAGGGTAGGGGCTGTCAGAATATGGTAGGTAGGGAAACTGGAAGCAGAACTATTTTATTTTGGCCTTACTAGTAGGGCAGTAAATTAGTTGGACAAAAGTGGTACCATAACTAATATAATAGGGCCTATGTCAAGATGTGTGAACAAGAAGTAGATGGAAACGACAATCCACACTCCTTTTATATAGTATAGATCGGGACAGAGTGACGTCATCCAATGAAAACATCTATGCACAACAGTTTTCATTGGTTGCTATAGGCCTATCACATCCGAATGTTGAAAAAAGGCGATTAGTAGTGTCAAAGTTACTTGGACTAGCTCACAATATTTTAAAAGGAACTGCGTCCTGGAAACCCCCCATTGGGCTACGAAACACGATTTGAATGAAATGATGTTAATCCGAAAGAACATTCAAAAATAAGATATACACATCTGAACAACCATCCATTTTTGTGTTATTTTGTGCGAGAACAAATTGCGGGGTCCACTTTTGCGACTCAAATCAGGCTGTGTGTGCTAGTTGTGATTTCAGCCGTAAAGTGTTCGCCTTTTGAAACCACATTGTGCATTGGTGCTGTGTGTAATATTTATGTGGCACACACAAGTGTATACAAACATTGAATGAAAATGACAGAAAAAACGTATGCGTACTCCATCGTATCCGATCTTTTGTCGGGAACGGCACAACATTAGGTTGGTTTCATTTTAACCAGGTGTTTGAAATAGGATAAGTACACAATCCAAAGCATGACATTTTCGGGCATTTCAAGACGCAGTGCCCTTTAGTACGGAGGAAGTCCAGTAATACGTCTTCAGGAAAATGCAACAAATTCAATGTTGACCATGTAGGTATGTGCCAATCCCTGGATGCATTGCCACTAATCTCTTCGGCCTAAACTTTTGCCAGTTAAACTTTTGCCAGAGCGAGAGGGCTTTTTTTGTCCACCTAGGCTCGAGCTCTTTCTTTGATAATGTAGCTCATGTATTCTTCCACTTCGTTTTCGAATTTTTTAAATTTTGGTCTCGAATTTGGGTTTGTTCTTGCTCATTAAAACCATCGACAATTTACAAAGGTGATTAAATACTTTTATCAAATCACAACAATAATTGAGCGGCCATTGGGCGGAGTGGTTGTGGGCAAAGTGGGAAATGGGCCAAGTGACCGACACCCATTTTGTCACATTTAGACCATGATGACACTTGATAGTTAGCTTGAGAAACTCCACTCCAGCTCCTTGAAGCTTACTGGAGTTAAGTTAGATTTGAGGCTTTGCATGGTGCAGATACTAAATAATGAACTTGGTTTGCGGAAACACCATATAATGCGAATAATTTCTCAACTAAGAGAATGGTTTTGAAAAAAAACAGAGGTATAAATTCGACATTACGGTCAGTATGCTCTGACTGTCTTCAGGAGAGTGCACTTTGATTGGTCACCTGACCAATCAAAGTGCCCTGTGATTGGTCTGTCTGGTGCTTGCCAGGAAAAAGTGTAGCCAGAGTCATGCACCAGTCTACTTTTCCTGAATTCAAAATGGCAGCCAAAAAAACAAGGCGTTTGTGACAAGGATGTTTCCCAAATTGAAGGTGAAATTTCTCTTTTCTTCCCAAAGGTATGTAAACCTAACCACCACCATTTGTATTTTCACTTCCCACTGGAGCCTACAGGGGCGCATAAGGCAGTTTGAAGACCGTTTTGGGGGTGAAATCTGACGATTTTGATTGTGGGTATGAGTGAAAATGGTCAAAAAATATTTATTAGTAACCGCAATAGGGCCATCGATCTCGGACTCTACTTTTGCCCGACCATGTCCAAATGCTACAAAAGCGATCAGAGTGCTAGATACTCGGACTAGCCATTTCCATACTGCACTCTCTCAAGTAGGTAGGATCCTAGAGCAAGCTTGGTGTGCTCAATGAAGTGGAACAGTTGGGTTGCAGTCTCAGTAGGGGAAGGACCTAGGGTATAGGAGACCCATCAGTCTACTGAGGACCTAGGGTAACAAGCCCCATAGTCATGATACTTACCACTGCCAGTAGTATCCTCGAGTCACCATAATTGACGCAGGTAACGCTTGCAACGCGCGCGCGTTGTCCAACGCAAATTGAATGCGAGTGCGTCAAAACATATCCTCGTCATTTTAGGGGGTCTGACGATACTAGCTCGGGTCATGAGGGTAATGATGTTGTGCCCTTTCTTGTGATTTGCGCAATCATAAGAATACGCATGCACATTCTTGTGATTGCGCAACCGGATCCTTGGGCAATCTTCGCAAAAAAAACCTCTTCCAGATTGAGCGCACATTTTAAGAATGTGCGACAACATAACGGTCTTGTTGCTGCCGAGCACCGGCTGCGCTTGGCAAGTCTAGCTGCATCCTCGTTCGTGACATGCATATGATACATACAGGGACTTGTAACTTGTCTAGCCTAAACAAAGCACTTCCCAGACTAGTTCCCAGTCCTCCGTTATTACAAAACTTCCCCTAGTGGGCAGAAAAAAAGCAATAATAACAGGTTTAATTTGATTCAAATTATCATATTTATACGAGTACAGAAGCACAGAATATTTTCTTTCCTCGTTATATGAATTATTTCCCCTTTGACTGCTATACATTTCATTTAACATAATTATGCCGTGCAATGTTTTTTAAGAATATAAGATTGCGCAAAATTCATAAATTGCGCACGTGATATTCCCACGCAGTCTTAAGAATGCGTGCTCATTCTTAACTTAAGATTGCGTGATTTGCAAGAACGAAGTGGCTATCGTTACGGCAGCCGTTGTTTAGCGCCCTCTACGATACTTTTTTGATACGCACGTACGCAGGTATATAATTATTTGTTTCCCCACGTTTTAGCGAGCAGTGCGACAGCTTAGTCGATAGAGGGTAGGATTTTGCACCGCAAGGTTGTGAGTTCGAATCTCGGTTTTGCACTCAAATTTTTTTCCTTTTCTAACCTGAGGCTTTGGTAGCTGGAGTTACCCAGCCCTGAGTTTTATCATTGGGTTGTCTATAAGGGCTGGAGCGCATTTTTCTCAAAACTTGTAGTATTTGCAAAAAAAAATTGAAAAATGTTCAATTTTGTCCCCATTACACACTAATTGCAACTGCAACTCACCCCAAACTTGCCTGGAATAACCATTACACAGGTCCTTGAAGTAAAAAACGATCCACGATGAAGATTCAGCCTCCAATTGCAGTGAAAACAGGAGGAATAACCGCTAACTTGACAACCTTGCTGGATTGGCCAGGACCGCTATTGGTTTGTGCACAAAAAAAATTGTGTACAATGAATGGCGGTCGATTACCATGCACGTACAGCTCGCTGGTACTAGGCGTTTTTGCGGTCGGTGCATGACGTGACGCGGAAGCGTAATACCCGATGACTGTTTCATGCATTAATAAGAGGTTCACTCGCATCACAGTGCGGTACTGGAACGGCAACCGTCGAGTTGGCCGGCTATCGTGCATTCATAGTGCAGTGTTACTGCCGTTCCAGTACCGCACAGTGATGCGAGTGAACCTCTTATTAATGCATGAAACAGTCATCGGGTATTACGCTTCCGCGTCACGTCATGCACCGACCGCAAAAACGCCTAGTACCAGCGAGCTGTACGTGCATGGTAATCGACCGCCATTCATTGTACACAATTTTTTTTGTGCACAAACCAATAGCGGTCCTGGCCAATCCAGCAAGGTTGTCAAGTTAGCGGTTATTCCTCCTGTTTTCACTGCAATTGTAGGCTGAATCTTCATCGTGGATCGTTTTTTACTTCAAGGACCTGTGTAATGGTTATTCCAGGCAAGTTTGGGGTGAGTTGCAGTTGCAATTAGTGTGTAACGGGGACAAAATTGAACATTTTCCAAATTTTTTTTGCAAATACTACAAGTTACGAGAAAAATGCGCTCCAGCCCTAATAGACAACCCAATGATAAAACTCAGGGCTGGGTAACTCCAGCTAAGGCTTTGGAGGATTTTTTTTAAAAGGGAAATAATCCAACTTTCATAACGTTCAAATTCACTTTTTTCCTTCTAATTTTATATTTTCTTCTCATGTTTTTATAAAAGTTGCAGTACTACCGTAACGATAGAAAATGGGAAATGCGTTACGGCTGCCGTAACGATAGCCACTGCGTTGCACGAAAGCGAGCGCACAACAAGTCAATGACACTGAAAAAAAGTGGCGTCAAAACACGTGCAATATTCTTCTCAGACAAAAATGAAAGCAAAAAAAAATGATAAATGATTAATGGGTATATGTCTTACTCTGCTACACTAGGCTATAAGTTTTACTTCGGCACTTCATCTATGAACTAGCTCGTCTCGATCGGTTTCCACAACTTCGCCAGACACAAAACCGTCACTATCACTCAGCTATAGTATCAGTATCATTGAAATAATGCCGATGCGGACGATCACGTGCCTACCAGTAGTCACATGCCAACGAATGTCATGTGATTTTTTTCTGTATAATAAGCACCCCTCTTCTAAAATCAACGCATCCGAAATTTGTTTCTATTTTCAACAGTTTCACTTTCATTGAAAGTAAAACTACGTAATGAAAATTGTATGTGTTATTTTTAATGTTCTAGATGAAATGTCGATATATTTAAGCTAAAGATTGATGACTGAGAATAATAATGGAATGATGCATTACATATAAAGGGAGGGAGCTTCATTTTTGTTTTCACTTTTTGCGCAGGTGGTAGCCATTGTCGCTGACGCACTTTAAGCTTTGTAGTTGAACGGAAGTGTTGGCCTGCTTAAGTAAAAATGGGCTACGTTTTGCAAATTGTTCTGGCAGTTTTTCTGTTTGTCTGTTCTACCGAAGCATTTGGCAGGCGGGTTGGAGGATTGCAGTACATCGACCAAGAAGATGATGACATTCAAAATCTCGCAAGATTCGCTGTTGACGAAATCAACAAAAAAAGTAATGACTATTTCAGAGCCAAGCTAGTGGAAGTTCGGCAAGCTCAGAGTCAGGTAAACAATCCTCCATACGTAAACACACACAACAAAGAGTGTACATGATCAATGCAGACAGCGTGCCGCACGGTCACTGTAGTGCTACTGTCTGCTGTATAGTTACTTAGTAATAGCTGGAGTTACCCAGCCCTAAATTTATCATTGAGTTGTCATTTAGGGCTGGAGGACATTTTTCACGCGAACCAGCAGAGTTGGCAGGTCAAAAAAAAAAATCGAAAATGTGCAATTTTGTCCCTGTTACACACTAATTTCAACTGGAACTCACCCAAACCTAGCCCGAGTAACTTGGACCCAACTTATCGCCTTTTTTAACATTTGGACATGGTCTGGCGAATCGCCAGACCATGTCCAAATGTTAAAAAAGGCGATAAGTTGGGTTCAAGTTACTCGGACTAACCCAAACCTTGCCTGGAATAACCATTACACAGGTCCTTGAAGTAAAAAACGGAAAAATCAGATACCCGATCACCACTTTTTTCAATCAATTTTCAAGCGGCAAAAGTTGCATCTTTTATGGTTATTCCCTCCACTTTCCTAGTCCGAGTAACTTGGACCAAACTTATCGCCTTTTTAACATTCGGACATGGTCTGGCGATAGTAAGGTCCAAGCTAGTAATAGTGCGAGCTGGACAACATCATCCTGTCACTGTCCCCAAAACCAACATTTTCCAACAAAAAACATCAGATTTCACCCTCAAAACGGCCTCCAAAATACTAGATATGCCACTAGCCCAGGTGGACTCCCTTTCCTCCCTACGTAACGGAGGGAGTCCAGGGTATGAAGTGCTCAAAACCGGGCGAAAAAATTATGACCAATATTTTCAATATTTTTACCTTGTTGGAGAAGCCAATTTTTACGTCGTAGTATTCTATGTGTCCTTATCTATTGGGCCGCTGGGTTCAGGAATTCCATATGCGATGCTGACCGACCTTAATCAGGAAAATAAACTCTAAAGCAACGTTAAACTAGTACGTGTTTGTAGACTCTTTTCATCAGTTTCTCACCGCCGAGTCTATTCTAGTACGTCCGTGCAGCGTGTAGTCTGGTTCCCTAGACCTGACATTTATTCTCGGCGCTCATATCACGTCTGGTCTGGGAGCCAGACTATGCAGCGTGAATATGCAGGGCGCGGTTGCTAATCCAATGACCGAGCGTGTTTTCGCGCCAGTTACCAGAAACATGTTTCGGCTTTGATCATTGGTTGAGCGTTTTCGTGACGTCGGTTGGCTGGAGTGACGTCACTGTTCCAACCAAAACTAAACAAATGAGGGCGCTAGCGTGCGTGCGCGCTTTCGTGCGCACGTACATGACGTACGACTCTGAAATAAAACTGATGAAAAAAGACTAGAATTGAACGGGAAATTTTACTTTTCTTCCGGATCTTAAGTAAACTTCAGTACAACCATCTTAATCATCGATGTCTACTTGTACCTCAGGTGGCATATCTAGTAATTTGGAGGCCGTTTTGAGGGTGAACGTCAACGTCATGCGCCATCAGCCAGCGCAGCCGGCAAGAACGAACTGGTAAACGCGCTGTGCACAAATCCAATTGCGGTCCTCGCCATGACCGCACGGTTGTCGGTTTATGCCTCCTTTTTTCACTGCAATTGTAGGCTGAATCTTCATCGTGGATCGTTTTTTACTTCAAGGACCTGTGTAATGGTTATTCCAGGCAAGGATTTTTTTTTGGACCTGCCAACTCTGCTGGTTCGCGTGAAAAATGTCCTCCAGCCCTAAATGACAACCCAATGATAAATTTAGGGCTGGGTAACTCCAGCTATAATACTAGTACTAAATTACTAGTGTTAGCCCCATGTGGCCAATTTACTGGACTACCTCCGTAAATAAAGGCCACACTTGGAACACAGGCGCGGATCCAGAGGGGGGGTTTGGGGGTAAAAAAAAAAACTGGTTTCCGTCCATAAGATCTGCCCTTTTTCCCGAAATGCACTTGTGTTTACAAACATGATCCAGTCTACTCATTATCATAATCGATGCATCGTGCGCGCTCGGTGACAGAATCGCACTCGGGATACGGGGACCATCGAATGAACACTGGGCATGAAGACCACATTGCAATTCAAACATGAGTCAGAAATTTAACGTGTTCACGATCGCGAGGGGAGCCCTCTGAATCGAACGGGAAATTTCACTTTTCATCCGGATCGTAAGTAAACTTCAGTACAACCATCTTAATTATCGATGTCTACTTGCACCTCATGTGGCATATCTAGTAATTTGGAGGCCATTGTGAGGGTGAAATCTGATGTTTTTGTTGGGCAGTGTTGGGTTTTGGGGTCAATGACAGAATTGTGTTGCTCGGCATATAAGGATTAGCTTGAACCCTACTATCGCCAGACCATGTCCGAATGTTAAAAAGGCGATAAGTTGGGTCCAAGTTACTCGGACTAGAACTTTGTCAAGTTTTTATTTTCACATTTACTAAGACTTGTTTGTACTTTATTTGCGATTTACAACTTTATAGAACTTGGAAGCCCACTCATATACTCATACTCTTTAAACTTCAGCGATAGTAGTCCCCCCTTTTTCAGACTTTTTTTTGGGAATAAATTCCACACTAGTACGTCAGTTATCTGCTAGTTAATTAGGGGCCATTAAATATTTTCGATGTTTTTAAATTTCGAAATGTGCTGATTTTTACCTCGTTAGCACTCTCGATTTAGTACATTTAGGCGCACTCACAGCACAACGTTGTTTGTTGAAGTAGTCTTAAAAACAGTCTTTGTTGTTGCCGAGCCTGCATGCGATACAGGCGGCCAACATACTTGCACGCAGTATACAACGGCGCCTTGCGCGTGCTTCACCGCGTGCGGGCGTGTTGTGCGCTATGATTAGCACACGTAGCATTCAGCCTAAAAATCAAGTCTATCATTTCAGTTATCGGTGGTTTCCGATCGCAGTGATATATGTGAATACAAAAAATGCCGGGTACCAACCATGTTTCCATCGAACGCATCGCGTATAGTGCAAAGGTCATGTACACCGACAGCAGTGACAGTGTTGTGGAATCGTGCATGTTTCATGTTGAATATTACGTTGGAAATTCGGGAAGGCAGAATAAATATTAGGAATATGGAAAAAGTCAAAGTGATTGAACGAACCGACAGCTTAAAGGCCATAAAAGCACAATTTAAAAATAAGCGGAACTCGGCTTAGCTACAAGATAAAGATGACAACCGGGACTTTGTGTCCGACTCGGACTCCGAGTCGGAGTGGCTTTTTCACACACACAAAAATTCCGTTTTTTACAAGCAGCCGTTCCGGTTTTTTCAAGCAGACCCAGTTCCGTTTTTTTTTTTCAAGCAGACCATGTGGCATCATTGTACTGAGGTGTATCTCCAAAAATTACGCAAATTTTCTTATATATATATAAGAAAGTCATCATAGAATACAACCATATATGGTTGTATTCTATGATGACTCTGCTGTTCTCCTCTGGGATGCTTAGGTGTCCTAATATCCAATTTTTGGAGAAACTGTGGCATCTTTCTGGAGCCCACATTCAAAATGGCTGCCATCAACAGACGATTTTCGTATGCATATGGGCTCCAGACAGATGCAAAAATTCCTCGAAAAATTGGATATTAGGACGCCTAAGCATTCCAGAGGAGAACAGCTGAGACATCATAGAATACAACTATATGTAAGAAAATGTGCCTATTTTTTTTGACGAACTCCTCAGCAGTAGGGAGAACCTGGCATTTGGCCAGATTTTCAGAGCAGCAATACCGCAGCCATACTAGTGGGGCTAGGCGCACTACTGCTGTAAGCGTATTAAATGCACTTGCAAGTTGCAGTATGTGAAAACTGAAGAATAAAACATGTCCTACTTGTCACTCAAAATAGCGCCGATGTGGCCTTGTTTATTGAGGTAGTCCAGTAAACTGTCCACATTTATGGGGCTGTATCATGCAGCATATTTAAGTCTTTAGATCTACATAATAAACTGGTGTCTTGTGTTCCTTCTTCCATTCTTTAATTTATTAAATGGTGCTCAGATGGTCAGTCTTTCCATGATGGCCGTGCCAGTGTCGGTGAATTGTCTTGAACTTTAGGCAACAAGTTGAAGTTGTATTGTTAAGGCAATTGTATCTAGCAATAGAAAAAAAACATGTACAAAAAAGAAAAATTGGTTGTCTTTTTTCTTATGCTCAGGTTGTATCAGGAATCCTGTATCACATGAACATCACCATCTGGGACACGGTCTGCTCAAAGATTGAATTTGTGACTGATCTGAAAGACTGCAAGTTCAACAACCAGGAAAAGGTACTGTGTTATTCATCAAATGCTCTTCCAAAATAGCTATTGATTGGAAGAAATTCTGTCTGTGAAATTGTTTTGACAAGTTTCTTGTATAGACCAATCCAGAAATAGACCAATATTATCCCCTTCATTAGTGGCGAAAGCATTGTGGCATAAGATATGGTACATTTGTATCTTGCCCTGGATGCTTTCATCACTGAATAAAGTGGGTCTCGTTTGAGCACAGTAATCCTTGCCCATATTCGACTATACATGTATGTTGCAGCCGTGCAGGTCAACAGTAACGTACGTGTAGATAGTTAAGGAGGTAAAAACAATCATTTTAAAATGCATAGCAAACTGCCATGCTTTTTTTATTAGTTTTTCACAGCAAACAAAAAATTGTTTTATAGTAATTCTCTGAAATTCTGCATAGCTAAAATAAAACACAGCCTCACATTTAGCAATACAAATCAATAGAAATTTGTCACTTCTTATTTGAAGAAACAAAATAATTCTCTGGTAGAGTCATTTCTGCATCAACTTTAAAGGAATTAATTGGCACCCCACTAAATTGAGAAACTTAAAAAGAGTTGAAAAGAGACTTTGAAAGGTTAGTTTAGCTTTCAATTTTTTTTATGCAATAAGTCCAACCAAGGCCATCCACCTTTAATTAGTGTACATTTCTGACAGTGTTTGTGACTGAGTTTGAGTGCGCCACTGTGGTCACCTAACCAAAAGTCATGAGTGCCCATTTGACTGAAATAATGGAAAGGTCGACAATCATTCACCAACATCTACAACAAAACAAATACATTCTTGAAAAGACTTGCAATATGGGTATGCTTCAATCGCAATAGTTGGTGCTTGAAAAATCCACAATAATTAATGTAAAATTGTTTGCACAATTCCCACTTTGCTGATCAATGTTTCTGTAATGGCATACAGTACACAGGAACAATATTCATTGAAACACAACGGTTTATCATGCTGAAAGGCAAGTGAAAACCTTTTTGGCAGTGCTAACCTGTGGTACTTTCCCTCTTTTATATCAATTTGTTTGTACGTAGAACATTTTTCATTTTGCTTTTAACAGAAACAGCGTTGCTCAGTGAATCTCTGGGTGGTGCCATGGGACAACGTGAAGAGTCTGGAGGATTACCACTGCACACCAGAATCTGACAAGGTAGAGATAGAATGGTTGATGGACTGGCAACCCCTGAGGCCAAAAAAAAAAATAGTTCTGCTTCCGATTACCGTAATTTTCGGAATATAAACCGCGCGACGTATAAGCCGCAGCACGCAAATATCTGCAAATTAAGATTTGAAGTCGGCGTATAAGCCGCACCGGCGTATAAGCCGCACCGACAGCAGCGGTTTCAATTTTGTAAGGCCTCCAAATTCTTACCAAAATGCTCTGAACCAGTTCCATTTACACTACAGAAGCTATAAAAAGGGCCACAAAAGTTGTATCAAATCATTTACAATCAATACTCTCACAAACAAATGTGGAAATTGATGATGAGAAATAAACACCGGGAATTGCTGCCGGCTGCCCCGTCCGGTCCCCGGCCGTAAAAATTAATACATCGCCCGGCGCGGCAGCCTGCGCCGCGCCGGCCTATGACAACATTTTCCTGCAGCACGTGAGAGAGTATGCAACCCGCCGTGATTTTCCCCCATTGCGTGTGTTGTCTGACTGGAGCGCTACGTACAAATCTTGCTTTGTGGCAACAGATCCTGATTTGTTTTGTCCTAAAAATAAACAGGTCCGTTTTTATCTCAAAACTTATCAAATTTTTGTGATTACTAACGAGCAGTATTCAAATTTCGATCGTAACTTTCTTCAAAAGAAGTCAAAACGATGCTGCCATTTTCATGGGCGAATCCATTAATTTTGTAAGGGGTGATGTAGTCCCTGTTTTGAGGTATACATCGTTTCTTGAATACATTTCAAGTACAAAAATTATATTGTGACGTTGGACAACTGATTATCGAATAAAGAAATGTTTCGGACACCATAAAAAGTATTAGTCGTCTTTTTCTTTTTTTTAAACAGCGGAAATGTTGGTAATTATTGTTTCCAAGATAGTACACCCCTATATTACTTCAAATGGTGTGGTCCGATGGGGGAAAGCATGCTGCCTGCAGCATAGCAGCACTAATCACGTACGGCTTGTTGCAAGCGTCGATCGAAGACAGCTTTCACCGTACTTTTACCGCTCGGCACCTTTACGTGGCACGTGGTTTCGGTTCGTTTGAATGACTTTCTTAATTGATAATTCATTTCAGCGACATATCTCTTCTTATACCAGTACATTAACTACACATGTGAATTTCATTTTTATTCTTCAAGGCTCGGCGTATAAGCCGCCCTGTGTATAAGCCGCAGTAAACATATTCATGGGCAAAATCAACGTATAAGCCGCGGCTTATATTCCGAAAATTACGGTACATGCCTTTCAAAAATAGGGTCGGTCAGTTGGAATTTTTTTTGTTTTGCCAATTTTTTTTATGCAGACTGAATGGGGTATTCAATTATATGCGAAGTTTTAGCCTGAACTATTTCCATTGCACTACGAAAGCTATAAACGAAATGGCAACAGAAGGTGAATAAAACCCACCTTTAATTGTTTTCAATATATTTACATTCGATAATTTCACAAAATAATGGAAAATTCAGGTCGTTCGCACCATATGCACAACGCTAGTCAAGACGTGGGGAGCTGGCCAAAACTCCGAGGTGTGTGATGCGTGCATGTGTGGCGAGCGGCCCACCATGTGCCGACAGACCTGTTTTTACGGTCAAAAATTTCGGGAAACACGCGGCATGTATCACTCAAAATACGAGTAGTGCAATCTCAAAATGAAATCTTAAACACAGAAAATACATACACAGACAAGCTAGATCAATTCTGTAAATTAACTTGCAAAAATGTTCTTTCTCCATCGGTGTTTTCTTGGCATTTTTACGATGTCGAATCCGACCAGTTGACAGTGGCCTGCACTGCCAGCGCGCTTTCGGTCGCATAGCTAGCTGTGGACTGGTTACCGCATTTTCATCATGTCTTCTAAGTTGGCTCCTGCGCGGCGCAGCGGGAACCAGTCGTCGCCACGTGATTATAGTCACCGTGACATCGAATTGCGAAGTAGTTATATCGCGAAGCAAATTTGTAAAAATAACGGAGGTTTCTTTTGAAAAAAGCGAATGTAAGGCCAAAAAAGAAAAGTCTCTGGTTTCTGGTATGCACACGCGTCGCCGTAGCCATGCGCGTCGGCAAAATGAAAAAGTTTTTTTTTCAATGAAAGATAATGTCTCAAAACCGCCAAACTCACTGGTTTGACTGGAATTCTGCTGCTGCGCAATTTCAACGTGTTTTTAGATGGGGTTATGATCGAGAATAAGCTTTATGTGGCCTCTCTGGACTCCCATATATTTGCACTAAGTTTAGTCGGGCACCATTTGCAGTCATCAGCCGACATTTGAAGCAAAAAAGTAGGGTAAAAAAAATAATAAAAAGCCGCGTCGCCGCACCACTTTTTGGACAAGCTCCATACCAGAAACCGGAGACTTTGTTTTTTTGGCCTAAGTAAGAAAACAAATAAATACAAGCATTTTTTGATGCAAAAGGGTTGTTGAGAGGTATTTTGTGAAGACAGAAAGACACCAAGATTTTATTTTTATTTATTCAATATTTTTTTTTTTCATTTTTTTTTTTTTTGGAATTGCCGATAAAATGTTTAGGGTCGCAGCCTAAAAATAGGGTCGGTCGGGTAACCGGAAGCAGAACTATTCTTTTTTTTGGCCTAAGGCTGCAAAGCCTATTCAGTTACTTGATTAATCAATACATTTATCAATTATTAGTTTACCTTGTTTTCATTTGATTAACCCTAACCCCCTTGAGTGATTTACTAGGGACCTTCCTCACTCCTGCAAATTCCAACACCATAGGGTAAACTCTACACCCAATCTGTTGGACTTTGATTATGGTGGTATACCTAACCCCATGTAAAGCATTTATAATCAGTTTACTGGTGCAGTACTCACTCCAACATATTTCAACAAACCCGGTTGTTGGAGTTTGACTGGATGGGGATTGTTAGGATTTGTCAAAAGCCACTTTTGTGAAAATGAAGGCTTCCTTTCTGAAGGCACAGCAGTAAGCACCAAAAACTATAGAACAAACACCAAAAAACTCAAACATTCCATGAATGAAACTCTTTCAAAAGAAGAGAAAACAAGCACAAACATAATATTATGCACATGTGCTTGCTGAAAATGGCAACAAGGCAAATTATTTTCAAAGGTACTTTAAACCTCCATTGTTGCTATATTGTATTCTTGACCGTATTCACATTTATTGACTATCAGTAGCTATATTATCACACAACATATGGACTTCTTATTCATATTGCCTGGAAATGACCTCTTTTTTGGGGGGTGGGTTAAAAACAAGCCCATTCGTGCTGCCTCTAAAAAAAAAGGTGTGACCACTGGCCAGGTAATTTGTGAAAACTATAGGATGCATGAAAATTCAGCTTCGATCCATAACGATCCTGACTCCTTCAATTTTAATATGATTTTCACACGGCCTTGGGAGGATTAAGCAAATCAAAACCTGAAAAGGATCTATTAATCGATCCAAAAATAATAATGGCTCCCACATCCCTCCCTCTCTCCCCCTTCTCCCCCCCCCCCCAAAAAAAGATCCAAAATCATCTCGTACGTGGGTATTTTTATCCGATTTTCAAACGGATAGCTACATGTAACTTGTGCGCGCGCACTCACTCATGGCGTCACCGAATCAAAATGATAGCATGCCACGAAGAATAATTTGACATGGAGTTTAGTGCCATCGCTATCTTTAAACCAAGTACGCTTTTGAACAATAGTCTCGTCTGTTACTTTTTGGATAGCTGCAAATGATATACTCTACCTTTAATAGATAAGGCGATTGAAACAGAAACAGAAATAAAAGTGGAGAGAAATTATGTAGTATTTAACTTTATTTCCTTCTTGTAAATTCAGGCCATAGCCTTGCAGTTATTGTGAAACTTTGCACAGATGGAAGAATTGCACAATGTTGTGTACTAAGGAAACAGAAAGAAAACTTCTTTAATATTAATGTACCACCATGATCATTACGAATCTTACAACTTATTTTTCACTTACTTGTCTTTCTCAGCATGACCAGATATTGCAAAATGTCCTCTCTTATCCATGTTTTCAGTTTTGACTGACACACACTGTATGCATGTACATCCCATATTTCAGCACTTAAGATATTTCTTACTTTAACCACTTGTCGCCAGGATAATTTATGGCCGAAAAACACCACTTTTAAGCTTTGATAGGAGTTTCTACATGCCACTTGGTGGTTGGTTGGTCGGTCAGTCATTCTGTCTGTCATTCAGTCGGTAGGTCTGTCCCCGGAAAGTTGACAAAAAATGGGCCCCCTGTTTCCCATAAAATATAACTACCAATTGACCAAAAAGTGGCCAATTGCAATGCCGTCGTCAGTGAATGCACTCTTGGCAAAAGTTTTCGGAACACGCCCCTTTGTCCCGATCCATGCAAGGGCGGATCCAGGGGGGGGGGCCCAAAGGGGGCCATGCCCCCCCCCCCAAAAAAAAACGAAACCAATTTGTTTATTTTTTTTTATGTGACATCGCAATAAAGGCAGGCAATGAGTACACCACCATCTTTTCCTAAAAAAAAACATTGGTTAAAGTGGTCAGAAATTGCCTCAGATCGCACCACAGAGCATCTAGAATCCAACAATTTTTCGGGGCCCTTAAGCGGGCCCGAACCCCACGCTGTAATTTTTTTGACCCACTTTTTGGGGGACCAAAATTGTTTGGCCCCCCCCCCCCCCCCCCCAAATTGTGTTCTGGATCCGCCCTTGGATCCATGCGCATGCGCATCTATTTTGCATCTGAAGTAAGACATTCCGGAACCGGGCCAGAGCTTATTGTACACTCTCGCTTGTTGAATAAGACAGGGTATGTTGGCCAAACTTTAGAAATTTTAGTCAAACACCACCAATATTGATTCTTTGAGAGTCATTATTGATTCTTTGAGAGTCATACAATATTTGTACTGTCCTACTTTTCACCGTAACTTCGTATTTTGCAACACTGTGAGGCCCTGCCATGTAGCAATATTTGCTACAATGACAGGCCGTGTACAGTTGCCAAGTTCAAGTTCAAAACACGGTGTGTACAAAACCACGGGGAGCCACTGACGGGTCAGTGTATACACGTCTACCGCCGGAAACTTGGGAAAAGCTTGCGTCACATACATGTACCACCCCTGCGAATATGCATTGCGAGATCGTGATACACGTCCTCCGCCATTAACTGGTTAAGAGTTATAGCAGTACATGTACATATGTAGCAGTACATGTTCATGGATGAGTGGGCATTCAACTCAGCCGAGTTGTGAAACTGAAAGCCTACAGTGGGATAAAGGATAAAGTTTTGATGACGTTTACGAAACTTTTAGAATTGCATGTGGTAATGCACCTTTTATAGAATGTATGTTTTACATATAGGTATGTTCACCAGATGATGCAATCAAGTTACTTACTGAATAAGGGTGTCGCTCAGTTGCTGTCTAGGCCCGCCCACTCGTCTGAGGATACTCACGATTGGCATTGCTCAACTAATCTAAAACTTAGCATTGTAATGTTTTCCCCATCATTCCCATGCTAGAGCTTTCCATGTGTTTATTAATTGTGTCACATATCGTAAACATCTCCTCATATGGAGATGTGGTGCAGAACGCAGCGGTGCCAATTTAGTGTGAATTTAGGAATCTCATTGTAAGTATTGCACATGCCTAAGTGAAGATAGTGAACGTTCAACCAATAATAGGGACCAGATTTTATAGGAGTCAAAATTTCACGTGACCAGAAAAGTATTTAAAACCAGCCAGCCGGTGCTTTATCAACCATTTAAAACCACCCACATAACGAGAATTGAAATGGGCTACGTGAAGCGCGGTATCAAAACACGAGAGAACGATTTCTGCATCCTCAGCCCCTTATTGCATGTACGTCACTTCCAATTACTGACTTGAATAATCTTCAACCCTGTTTGTTCACAAGTCATGGGAAATGCTACCAGAATTGGACGAAGCACTTTGATTGGCTAAGAATGAGGAGGATAAGAATATGTATATTACACCTGACATAGAATGTACGCGTCTCAGCTATCTTGGCGCGATGCATGCAGTGTGACGTTCCCACGGGCGTCATATTTCACTGACGGTGAATGCCAGCTCACCGGCCATGCAACACAGCCTGGAGCGAATCAATTGCTCGTGGGGTCGAAAGCTAATTCCTGGGTCATTTGGAATCCATGCATCATTGTATTCTTATGCAGAAAACAAGATTTGGACATTATATTTTCTATTTAAACACTGAGTGAAATATGTTAACAAACATTTTTCAAAAAAGAGAGAAAAAAAGAAGAAGCGTGCATTGATCAAACATGCTGCGAACTGGTTCCCCACTCTTATAATGGATGCTTCCCCAGTGATACAGCCAGGTTATCATTGGCCCTCTCTATCATGTCTATGGAAACGTAATGCATATGCATTTCGCTGGGTGCATAAATAAATAACCGTCCGAATTCATAGTAGTCAAGTCGTTAGATCTGTCGAATATGCATGCCTAAACATGATACACAGCGCTAGCAAGTGCTGTGCTAGTAAATATACGCGGCCTCGTCGGGCAAAACACAACAGTGTCTAACAAATTGTCCTTCAAGTCTACCATGTGACAGGCTCTCGACCAATAAGATGGGGGAAACTGTCTGAGGTATATCTTCATTGAAGGTAGATTTAATGCATCCAATGTCAAAGTCTCCCAGCCAATAAAAATGCCAAAACTGTCTGGATGAAGAATACTGAAACACTTTTATGTTGTTTTCATACTAGGTTTCAGAGACATTCCCATTCTACCAGGAATTTGAAGACTTTAGAAAGAAGTACGAGCGCCCCTATGAAAAGAACAGCGATGGTATGTTTTCAAGTTTTGGATTTACACTAGACATAACCATGCAGAATATGGCCATCTTTCTCGTGCTCTTTGTGGTACTGAAATTAGCTTTTTTATCGTGTCACAAGAGATTTGCGAATGGTGAGACAACTAAAGCTGAGGGAATGTCCTGGTGAGCTGATGTCTTATTTAAAAACAAAATGACAAGAGCAAATTGCAAACCTAGTTTAATCTATTTCTGCCAAAATTCTCAAAACATGTTTCTAATACATTGAAGTATGAAAGATTGTTCCCTTATTTGCATTCATAGTTAGGATCACTTTAATCTGATTGTTTTTACTGAATGATGATGAATACAAACCTTTGGTTTTTAGGATAAATCTATGCCATAAGGGTGATTACAATTAAATTAAGGTAATGATTTTCACACAATAGTTATCTGAATTTATTAAGGTAATTTTTATACAGAATGTTACAAGGAACTGTGCCATAAATTTGTTAGGAATGTCACAAGAAGAACACTTTGTATTCAACTTTATTTTCAAAAGTTTCCTGATGCACTTTGATGGTAGTATATTGTTAATTTGTCTTGCCAAAATTTGGAATTTTTGATTGTTTGCTACATGTAGCTATACTTCGAAGGTCCGAGTCACAGGAAAGCCTAATAATGTCTTACGCTTACAGAGAAAATATTGAAAAAAAATCCATAATATTTTCTCTTGCCTGTACATATATCCAGTTGGATAAGACGTCATTTTACTGTGGGAAGTCAGGCCCCACAGTGGTGGTAGCACCTTTATTTGAAGCACCGTTTGCAAAAAGAAATATGTACGACCTGAAATCAAGATAAAGTCCTCCAACGGCTCGATTTTTAGGGACCAAAATTTCGTACCCTGAAATTTCTTGTGATTTTTTTCAAGTTACAGTTGTGTACACTTATTTATTCTACTTTTTATTTCTAGGGAAACATGTAGAGCCCAAAAGTGGTTTTTTTATTTATAACTGTCTTGACTTGTGAATTTGCAGAGTATGTCAAGAGATATTACCTCTTCAGTGACAATATGGAGCGGGTGCGTGTCCTCAATGAGAATGAGCGGGGAACAGCGACCTATGGTGCCACCAAGTTTGCTGATCTGCATCGTAAGTTGCCATGTCTTGAAATACACATTACTTTATAAGGAAAAGTACATCCAATTGTGTATTTGTGAATCACCAACCAAAACCACGCTGATCCCCAGAATGCTTGTAAGGGGCTTTGAAATCTTGGCTTTGTCTTCGGCTTGGCTTCAAGAAATTTTGGTCCCCCACTTGAGGGACCCGGTTCAATATTTGTCCATGTTCTTCTTCGGGAATATCATGTCCTAGCATATAATGCCAAGTGTTAAAATGTTTTAATATTGTTTAGTCATAATTATTGTCCTTAGGCCAAAAAAAAAAAGTCTCCGGTTTCTGGTATGGAGCTTGCCCAAAAAGTGGTACGGCGACGCGGCTTCTTTTTTTTTTTAACCTGATTTTTTTGCTTCAAATGTCGGCTGATGACTGCAAATGGTGCCCGACTAAACTTAGTGCAAATATATGGGAAGCTTATTCTCGATCATAACCCCCTCTAAAAACACGTTAAAATTGTGCAGCACCAGGATTCCAGTCAAACCAGTGAGTTTGGCGGTTTTGAGACATCATCTTTCATTGAAAAAAAAACGTTTTCATTTTGCCGACGCGCATGGCTACGGCGACGCGCACGCATACCAGAAACCGGAGACTTTTTTTTTTGGCCTTATTAACCTGTAGCCAGAGATGTAATAGAAGCTGGAGTTGAAGCCACATTTTCAAAAAACCTTTTCGTATGAAATTGTTGCATGCAAGCATATATACAAGCAATGCAGTTTGCTCAGAGGGTTGTCCATAAAGGCCGGCGCACACCTTCCCGATTTTACTGGTTTTCCGGATCATCGGGTCATCGCACAGAGGTCTGCGCTGAAACATCGGACCGATCAGACCATGTACCGGGCGATCGGGTGAAATCAAACATGCTTGATTTTTTTCACATCCGATTTCGCCAGATCCAATTTCGCCAGATCCGATTTCACCGGACGCAGAAGTTACGTTAACTAATCAGATTCACGAAAGAAGTCACATGGTTGTCATCATGTGACTATTCATCATGTGACTGATCATTATGTGACCGATTAAAAGACGAAATCAGACATGTGTGTAGGTAAGGCAGTGTTCTAAGCCCAACAGTGAAAAAAACGAACCAGTGATGGGATGATCCGGGAAACTGGTAAAATCGGGAAGGTGTGCGTCGGGCTTAACTAACAAATCTTCAGGTATACAATCTTTTGATCAGTTTGAAGTACTAAAACAGAGGCTGTCTGTACCTACAAAAAAGCAAAATTTCAGCACATCCTGATTTGTCTACCTCCCTCTGCTTCATGTACTTTTATAATATCAGACTTCAGCTTTTTATCAAAAAATAGGACTATTACGCAAATTCTGAAATCCCATCATGTACATGATCAATTTCCCTGGCACTCAACAATTTTTTGCCATTTGAGATATTTTTACATTGTGCATGTGTGACACACAAATAGCTACTTTAACAAACTCTCACTTCGACTTTTTTTTAAATTTCTTCGCTTCTCCCCAGCTGATGAATTCAAGAAGATGTACACCGGTCTGAAGGTACCAGCTAAGTCCTCATCCCACAGTGACATGAAACAGGCCAAGATCCCCGACGGCCCTACCCCGGCCAGCTTTGACTGGCGGACCTTAGGCGCTGTGACCAAGGTCAAGAACCAGGAACAGTGCGGATCTTGCTGGGCCTTCTCTACCACAGGAAACATTGAAGGACAGTGGAAGATAAAGAAAGGAAAACTGGTGTCCCTCTCTGAGCAACGTGAGTTGATTGCAACTACAAGTAGCAATTTTACTTTTGAGGCATGCGCTCATATATTAAGAATGTGACTTTGCGCTTAATTTTGTAAACATTTGGCAAACATTTAAAAAAGCGTTTGAACGTTTTGAACATTAAGCCCCTTTCACAAGAGCTGAGGTACGCCTGCCCATCGTAGGCTTTTCCGTGCACAAAGTCAATGGAGGCCATGCATTACAAAATCCAGGTTAATGATATTCACGAGCTCATGAATACGTAAAGAGGTCATTCAAGACAGCGGTTTAACGTGGTCGCGAAGTGGTGTCGCGAAACGGCACATTTTTTCCATGAAGGAAAGGATCTCTAGTTTTGTTCTTTCCTCCCACATTAGAACTGGTGGACTGTGATAAGATAGATGAGGGATGTGACGGCGGCTTGCCAAGTGATGCGTATAAGGAGACTATTAGGATGGGTGAGTCAGAAAAGAGAAGAAGAGTATTCATCTGCAAATGATAAAAATGTAATAATCATTTAGCCTGATCTGGTCACAGAGTGGCTATAATAATAATAATAATAATAATAATAATAACAGGCATTTACATAGCGCTTTTAAACCGGGTATCCAAGCCCTTTACAATTATTATTACCCTGCTCAACGGGCAAACACTCCTGAAACCTTCTCAACTCCCTGGGGAGCATACATGGCCGTTAGGCAGCCATTTGGGCGCTCTTGGCCATTATCAACCTCTCACAGTAACCAACTCTGCCCTCACGGGTACCCATCTACTCCTGTGTGGAGAGAAGCAATGAGTGACAAAGTGCCTTGCTCAAGGGCACACGCACCATAGCCCCGGGCAGGACTCGAACCCACAGCCTGCAGAATTACCCACAGAGCACAACTTCAATGCTCCAGACCACTAGGCCATGGCACTGGTGGTCAGCTGTTGTGCAAAACATCTGCTCTGTGACAGTTAGGCCGCATCTGAATTACTTGCCTACGGCTTGAAAATACACACTAGTCAATGTGAAGTGGCTGCAGCCGCTACCATAGATATGTGTGTACTTTCAAGCCGTAGCCAGGTAATTCGGGACGCAGCCTTACTCTGAACAAATAAGCTAGCAGAGTGCTTCTATCATTACTGCGACCTCCCCTAAAGTTCAGTGACTTTGTTCCTGGATTGGTCAAAAGAAAAAATAATCAAATACCCTGTCCTTAGTTTCCTTCCTACTTGCCTGAAATATTTTTTTAGTTCAAAGTATGCCCACTAACTATTTCAGAAACATCTGTGCAAATGCTAATTTCATAATCATAGGTTGACAAAGATTTTGGCTTGTGGCAATGTCGGTGAATGTCAGCATAAAGTTAGAAGGTTGTGAGTACGCCATAGAATAAATCAGGTCTGTGAAGATGTATGCATCTAAAAAAAAAAAAAAGTGGCAAGAATCGTCTTTTACATTTTGGATCGTAAAGTTTGTCCATCTTCCGGAAAGTGCATACAGGCATAGCCCCTGTATTAAGATTCAGTGCTTAGAAGGTTAGGACAAAATGGTGACTGTTAAGTGCAAAAGTCTTTGGGAGGCTGAGCCATACAATTCGGCACTGGTCTCTTCTTCTTTTTTTTCCTTTTTTTTGTGTATTGTTGTTTTAGTTTTTTGGGTTTTTTCCCCCTGAGGAGAAGTTAGTTACCATCTTTAATATTTTGTCCACTCACGTAGGCGGTCTGGAGACAGAGGGAGAGTATCCCTACAAGGCTGAAGATGAGAAGTGTGAGCTAAACAAGAAAGACATCAGAGTGTACATCAACGGCTCAGTCAACATCACCTCTGACGAAACCAGTAAGTGAGAAGGGAAACTTAGGATCTCTTTTTGCCTTTAAAGCCAGAGTCCATCATTTGCAGCTATCCAAAAAGTAACTGGCGTAGTTATTGATGAAAAACATACTTGGTTGAAAGATAGTAGGGGGACTAAACTGCCTGTGAAATTATTCTTTCTGGCAAGCTGTCATTTTGAAGAAATCAACGAAAGAAGGCCGTTGGAAAATTCCATTAGTTGTTTGTTTCTTTATTCGGCAAAGCACGCGCAAGCGTTGACACGACGTAGTTGCAATCGGCTAGTGAGAACGTGTCTCGGACGCTGAATTCAGGCCCAATTCAAAACATGATTCAGCAACTTTTGATTTGATATCGAGATCCTAGAATGTTGTTTTTCTCGAAATATACAGCTGAAGCTGAGCTGAAAGTTCATCAGGTTAGTTGCTCAGCACCCGTCTTTAGATTTTTAACACGTTTGTTGCTTCAAACGAACAAAATGCACAAATTACAAATGATGGACTATACCTTTAAGGCTTGAACAAATTTCAGTGGATCTGTGTACTACACTGTGCATGCAAACACTGTGAGATAGAGTGATAAAATACTGATTTTAGAAACTTGCTGTGCAAAACTTAAATAATGCATGATCTGCATTCTGACCAATCAAGGTGGTGGTTGTGACGTGGGTAGCTGTGATGGCGACCAGCAAACATTTCATTACTTGCATAAATGAACATAATAATGGTTTTCTACCTACACGTAACTATGTAAAATTAATGTTAACTACCTTTCAGTGTCACTTTAGGATTCCATTTTCCGTAAAGCCCATGTGAAAAAAAATGGCACTTGTGCAAACAAGGCAATCACTACAAAATGCTGCGTTGCAAAATAGATTTTTCATCCTGTTACCCATTTTCACGTTTGCTTTTAAAATCTCCTTCCCATTGCATCTGCCACTCTGCACTCCCCCTGGTTACACTACTGAACTTTATACAGTCTTGTGCCCCCAATATGATCTATGGGAAACCAGGCATCTTTATGTAAGGGGAAAGTAATGCTGTAGTTGGCCCAAGTGTTTTGCAAAGGCTACATTCACCTGTCAATTGTTTTCTCTCCTATCTTGACAGAGATGACCACCTGGCTGGCTAACAATGGGCCCATATCCATCGGAATCAATGCTGCCATGATGCAGTTTTATTTCGGCGGCGTGGCGCACCCTTTCAAACTCTTCTGCAATCCCCAGTCTCTGGACCACGGGGTGCTGATCGTTGGCTACGGCACCAGTGAGTATATGGGAGTTGTTACTTGAATCGGGGACATACAGGATTTTATACTATGGTGTTGGAAAGAATAATTTAATTTGGTAACAGGTGGAATGTTCCATTCCACTCGGCTTTGCCGCGTGGAATGAAACATTCCATCTGTTACCACATGAAATTATTGTTACCATTGTACTTATAAACATTCATCATTTGTGTATTATATAACACCAAGTAAATAGAGGTGAAAGACAAGGAAAATACCACCGCGCCTACAATTTAGTAGGTACTAATGGGTTAAGTAGTTCTGGGGACAATGTATTAGTATTTTTAGTGTTGAATTGTTTTAACTATGTGCACAACAGCAAGCATGTAGACACATTGCAGTTTTGCCATTGTAGACGGTGAGCAGATACATACAATTGGACTTTAAATGTGAAATTTTATTCAATTGCTGAATTTTGCAAATCTGTCTCATTAAGGCACTGAATTGCTTAGTCAAAGAGTCAGAGCCCAGAACACTTTTGACTTTACCAATAGTGTCATTCGGATTACAATTTAAAACTACTTTTTACATGCACATGTAGTTATCAGGGGTGTGATTTTTCCGGATTTCCGGATTTTTAATCTAACGTCTGCGGATTTTTTTTGCGGATTCCGGATTTTTAACGTTTTCTGTTTCCGTAATAATATCGCCCAAAAACTTCTGGCGAAATATAGGCCCTTATTTACGATAATGGATGGACTGGTGACAAGTCTAATGCAGTGCGGTCAAGAACCTAATAGACATTAATGCAGTATGCGCAGTGGAGTACTTGAGGACCAGACTAAAAATAATTTTCAATGGGTTTGCAGCACCTCGTGTTTGTATATCGCGTGTGGATGTGTGTATTGTGCATGTACTGTGCAGTGACGATCGTGTGCTAGCAATTCGCAAACACATTGGTGTCAATATTGCCGTGATTTTGTCAAGGAATTCAAGAGTATGGCTGGAAGAACTGGTAATAAAGTGTCACTGTGGATGGAAATCAGTTTGAGCTGCAGTAGTGCTTTGAAAAATAGCCACCACCAACACAAAATTTCAAAAATGTTTTGGAAGCCTGGGACTGGAGTTTAAATTAAAGTAAGATTAAACTTTTTCAGCACCGTTCATATTGTTTTGTGTGAATCGTTTCTCTCTGCAACATGCAAAAGTAATAACATCACACACAGAAATGAATCAATCACATGGATTATATTATTTAATGACTAGACGTTTTTTCTTAATTTTTCCCCCATTTGTTTTCTTTACTGAAGCGACAAAATTTGCTAACATTACAGAAATTACAGTACATGTACATGCCCTAGGCCTATATATGGACATACGTGCATGTATATGTATACATGTACATCTATACAAGTACATGTACAATAATACATGTACATGTACATGTATATTACATGTCAACCGAAGTTCGTGGATTTTTCATTTTTGTCCAATCACACCCCTGAGTTATTCACTGTAGGGCCATCAAATTGTTTTCAACTATTTCTGCATACTGCTGCCTATTTGAGCTTACATGGTATAATTAGGCCAAACGCCATAGGATTATTTTATGCTGTTTTACACTCATAGAATTGACAGCATTTAACAGCCCTAATCTTAATGAACATTGTCGTGTTACTAGATAACATCAAATTATGACACAAGTAAATGTAATAAATGAATCTGAACCAGTTTCTTTTTATGTCTTGAAGGATTATGCACTGGATCTTGCAAGCAAGCAGTCACAAAGAAAACAAGAAAAAGTGATGAAATTTTAATCCAATATTTTGATTTTTGTGGTATAGAGCCTGGAATCCTGTGGGGTGAGAACCCATACTGGATTGTCAAGAACAGCTGGGGGCCAGACTGGGGTGTGCAGGTAAGTTCTAGGGATGTTGAGACTGGCTTGAGAATATTGAGAAAATAGCTGTAACATTGAGGTTTCTGCCCCGAATGACAGTTTTTGTCATGAATATTGAAATTTACCCTTGAAAATGGCAAAATGAGGTTAAATGGGACACAAAGGTGCATTTTTAAGGATAGCCTTAAGATCAGGTGAGCACATCTCATGTCTTAATGTTAGATTGCAGAGTGCACATGCGTGTAGGAGTGGGGTAGTGTGGCCTAGTGGTTAGGGTTCGTGACTCATGATAAGAGGGTCATGGGTTCCAATCCAGCCACTGGCCATATGTTGTGGTCTTGGTTAAGCCACTTCATCCCACTTGCCTCTCTCCACCCAGGAGTATTTAATGGATACCAGCATCAGCTGGGGAGTAGCCTGCGATGGACTGGCATCCCATCCAGGGGGAATAGAAATATTTTCAGTGGTTTCATGCTACTGAAACTGGAGTTTGGAAAAGGGATGGCACTATCCCATTCAGTGACACTTCTTCTCTGGTGACTTGTATGGCTTAGTATGGGTTGTAAGCATGACTGAGTCTTTGCCGGTTATGTCCGATTGAAATGTAGAGTGGGCGAACATAAGAGATTGAGTGACTATGATAGGTTGGGTAATCAAATGTGATTAAGGGTGTGAGTAGAGGATTATGTTCGCAAATCCTCTTTTTAGCAATAGCATGCTTTCATGCCTTGCTGTTGGGGCACTCTTCAGTTGCAGATTGAGATATGATAACTTGAATGAGATATGATAACTTGACATTTTGGTCATTAAGCTCTGAGTGGTGTCATGATAGTCACTTCATGTAGGGTATCCACCAACTTTACCCAAGACGGCACAATGGCGTGCTGTGATTTCCAGGCTTAATACAAGAGAATTGTTCTTCTGTTCAATGCAGGGCTACTACCTTGTGTACCGCGGTGATGGTGTATGCGGCTTGAACACCATGTGCACTTCATCTGTGGTGAACTAACCTTCAACAGTCAAGAGAACAAAACAGACATACAAATACTACAGAAATCCACGACTAAGAAGAGTTGGTAAAGTGCATGAACACTTAGCCACCGTTGAGCAGCAAAAATCTTTCTTAAAACCTACTTTGTGTTATTTACTTACAGACATTTAGATGTACATGTAGTGTTCATTTTTTGGTGGACAAAATGTAGGAGGGACATGTTACCCTGTCCCCACCCACCTTCCTGTAGAACAGTAAACTCAAGGAACTTGAACAAGGTGCATGTACACCCCTTGGTTCAATAATGCAGGTTGTTTTTTTTATAAAACCAAACTCTAAAATATAATTTTATCATATGTCCACTAAATATGGATTACCTTTTCTGTCAAGCCGGTTGTCTTTCACAGAATTTAACTCAAGGACTTCTTGTCGCGTCTGTGCTCTTGACATGGAAAATTAATGGCCCCACATGTTTAGACCTCAAGTTACTTATGTTTTGCTGTGTAACATAAAATACTTAAACTTAATCAAGGTGTTTTGCATTCGTATGCAAATGTGTTTTTAATGAAAGATAGTATGTTATCTCAGTACGTGTATAGGACTTTTCACTCCACCATCTTGCCTACCCGTGTTCAAATCAACAAGGGTCCAACATAAGCAGAACCAAGTACAATTGAACACAGGTAGGCAAAGCATACCGTTCACACTGACAATGCGTTTACATGGGTCAGCCATACATTTTGGATTTTCTATTCGAGTACAGCCGGAACCAGGGTTGGATTTTACCTGTGGAGTGCGTCTGCCCCGTGTAGAAGCCGTGTTGGATTCTTGCTAGTGTGAAATGGGTTCCTGAAATCTCTGTGTTGGACCCGGGTCAACACAGAGATTTTGGATACTGTGAAAGGCCCTTATAACTAAGACTTAAATGTGTAATCAAGTGTATGTTATTCTCTTGCAGTTACTCAGGATGTTAATAATTATTACATACAACTTTTAGATATAAGTATTTATGGGAAATATTTTTATTTAATATTTTTGTCAACATGCATTTTGTATTTTTCTACAACTTGGTTTGGTCATTGAATTGGTAACAAATATAATTCATGTACGTGTATGTGGATTATAAATGTAAAGATGGAACTATTTTCTGAAGCAATATACATGTACATGTAACAAGTTAATATGAATGGCTGAGTTTCATTCCGATTTGTCGCTTTAAGCACCGTGAACTGACTTTTATTGAACATTTGTGGTGGTGCATCAACAGGATAGAACAGTCAGGCTAAGCATAATTATGAAAACGGCAAAAAAAATCTTCAATTTAGTATGCGAGTAGTGGATATGTACAGTTTTTATCGGCGCTTTAAATGTTTCTACCCATGGTAACTAAAAGGTACGTAAGAACATATGCTTTTTGTGCATCATTTTCCTTGAAGTAACAAATTTGCTCGAAGTATTAAGTAGGGTGCATATAACAACTCACCTGTTGAAGTTACAGCTCAGTTGATTCTAAAGATTTTATGGGTGCACACCGTTAAATAGGCCTCATTCTGTCCGCCGAAGCTATACCCTCAAAATATTCTTTATTACCGAGTTCTGAGAGCCATAACATTGGTGAATTGAGGAGATATGGCAATGAACCTCTGGCCCGGACTCGGGGCTTCCAATTCTGAGCATTTTGGATACAGTCGGGCTCGAAAGTGGCGCTATTTTGCCATGTTGTGGAGGGATCGTTTTTCAAGATGGCTACCGTTCTGCTTTGGGGAAAATAGGGCTTGTCTTCTTTGGGCAAGAATTTCTCGAAAAGTCAATGGTCAACCTACCAAAAAAAGAAAAGGAAATGAAAGATGACATGTTGATCATCATTTTTCAGTGCAAATTGAATACCTGTGAGAGTTCTGAGTATTTTTAAAAGAATTTTGAAGTATGGGCATTTAGCACTAGTGTCTATGGGAATTTTAATGTAAGGGTGCACCCATATGAAAACAGAGACAAAGTGTGCACATTAGGGTCTGGTAACTTGGTCATTCTATAAATTGAGGGCCAAAATGTGACATTTTTCCTGTCCCTGTTACCATTCAAGTATCATTAAGAATGACTTCAAACTTTTTTTTATTAGCTGGGTAGGTAGTTTGCTATTCATATTCAGTCCTGGAGGACGACTGCATTAAGGGGTGCATCAGAATTATAAAATCATAAAACAGGGACAGAAAAAGATGCAGACTCAAAAGTATACCACCTTCAACGTTATTCCAAGCGATACCATTTCCAGCTGATTCATTTCTCAGGGTATTTGATAAAATTCCTATCTTAACTTTAAGCATGTTTTTTTTTCATTCAATCAGTAGGGGGGGGTTGGGGGGGTGTAAAGGATCCTGCGTGGCTGGCTTTATTTTTTACTTCATTTCTTTGCATACAGTAATTTTGTAGATTCACTGTTATTTGTTTGTCGTAGTGAAGACATTTTTTCATGTAACCTAAAAGAGCATTATTTTTCCATTGAAGTTTTGGTATGGAGTATCTACTTGTTAAAACAATTGTATTAAACGATAGTACGGTGATTTTTTAGTATTAATGTTGCAATCATGTTGTACCGGTATGTCTTGGTTTAAATTGCAGCTGTATCTTTCTGTATTGTGAATTGATTTCTTATAAATGGTTCATTCAAATTGGTGCAAAGGTAGTACATGTACAATAAATAGATATTTGGGTAAAGCAGTCATTTTGTTTGTCATTTTGTTCATGTCTGTTTTTTTTCTTCTTTCTTTTTTGTTGTTTTAATATGCCAATACGTTTACATACTCTGCCACGCCCAAGTGGAGTTTTCATTTGCGTTAAAATGATTCTGTTATTCTGAGTAGTTTCGCCATGTTCTTTTGTGTGAGTTAGTGTGGTAATGTGCATTACGGAAGACAGTTAACATAGGCCTAATCGCTATCATATGGGGATTTGTCCGTGCTATCTGATTCATCCAACTTGTTCTTAGTTTGTAATGAATTTTTCCAGGTCATCCAAGAACCGGTATCCAGCTTTAGAGTCCAGCAAGGCTAACTTTTCTGGAAAAAATGGCAAGGATTTTTTTTCCGGTACCGCTGCAAAATCAACTAGAGCAGAATGTTTGTGCTTCACGAAGCACAAACATCAGCTGGTGGTCAGTATGTTACCTTGGTGACCAGTAGGTGAACAATGCCTAACCTGCAAACAGTGCACACGAAACCCGCAGCCGCTAGAAACTCACTACTGGCTAAGTGAGGAAACAAAGCCATTTCGTCAATTTTTCATAAAATGACCACATGCTGACCACTAGGATATCTTTAACCCTAATCTGCAAAGAGCGCACACGAAACCTGCAAGAGGCTGAAATCGGTGAAATCGATTAAACAAGCAGAAGAATCCGCCTTTTAATTTTTCACCAAAACGACCGCTAGTGCCCTCTAGGCAGCTACAGTGGCGGTGCTACGGGGGCATTTGCCTGCCCCTACACTTAAACAGACCGACTGAATCCCACTGTTAGCGAGAGGCCCTTGCAATTAGTAGGCAATTAGCCATAACGTGCAAGACTATCTGCTGACTTAGTACATGTAGATGCAAAGTACCAATTTAGGGAAAAGGAACCCATTAGGCTTACCTTAAGAGTACAGAGTGGATATTAACGCTTAAGTTAACGACATGGAGCTAATACGTCTTACTGCAATAACAGTTAAAGTTCTGGTGTGCTCTTGCTCAAAAAAAGGAATTTGTAAAAAGGCGGGAAAAGTTGCAAAAAAAAGTACAAATGAACTGGGTCCAAAGTCACTAAGAAATTGTGCGCTTGTGATCCCATTCTGTGCTTTTTGCGCCAGTAAAGAAATGTGTCGTCACCCTGTAAGCACAAAAGCCTTAATCATGGAATATCCACATGAGGATAAACCATAGAGCAACTGAGGACCTTGCTCTGTGGATAATTAAACTATAGCATTCCTGGCTAACCCGCGAAATTCGCTACCGCCCCCACTCGCTAAGACAAAATCTGCTTTGTTAATGAAATTGTGCCCTCATATGGAGAACTAGGGAGCATTTGCTCACTCGCCACTAGTGCAGCTCTGTTTACGTGGGAAGACTGGCTCATATCTAGGCGCTCTCAGCAAACTTTCGTTAATACGTGGAAAGTATGTTGGTTAAATTACTTCCTCGCATCGCATCATAAAATATAGGTTTTCCTCTTTCAAATGAATATGATTTCTTCATGGTTAAAGGCGAATAATTATGTGCACTTTTTCATTGAAAAACGGGTAACTCAGTGAAAATTTCGCGTTTCCTATGGAGGTCACGGCACATTTCCCCGATTTTTGAGGGTGCGGGTTTACTTCTTCGAACAGCACACGTGTGAACCCGGTCGCATACAATTACCTTGCACGGTTTCTTACAGATAACAGAATAAGCTTTCCATTCATGTAACAACCGTTTTGATTGGTTGAGAAGAACAAGGGGCACTTTTCTTGTCAAATCAGACATCGCTTTTGTTCTGAGGATCGACCTGCTGTTTATGTATAGTCCGGTCAACCCAGTGGGGCTGTGCAGGTCGCCGGGTCAATGCACCGTTGTGTGTGACCGCAGAGCATGCAGGGCTTTGATTTTCTGCACATTATGGGTGGCAAAGTTCTCCATATGTGGAGACCTTTGGCGTCACCACGCAAAATTGAATAGAACGGTTTTACTATAAGCCTACCTAGGTGGTCTGTGCAAAGGCGTGATAACACTGGGACGTAGTTTTTAGCAGGCTAGCGTTTTCCAAAGCCAACTATAACATTTGGTGCATCACGTAAAACGCCCGCGTGATTTTGGTTTATTCCAAATTTGATATTTTCGTATAAGACTTGGATCTACAAGAGTAACCAAAGGGGTGTGACAAGATGGCAACTTTTAAAACTTCTTCTGTTTTATTCATTATCTGTTTTGTATTAAGTGGAACCACGGATCACGGGTCCATGGTCTTGGGCTGCGCTCCATGCAACACAGGCTGGATAGAGTTTGGGAATCGCTGCCATCTCATCGTCAACAAGCAGAAATCTTTCCAGGATGCCGAGGCGTACTGCCAGGGCCTGTCCCGCCCTGGAAGGCCGGCTCATCTCATGTCGATCAACAGCGAAAAGGAGAATGACTTCCTCATGGAGTACGCCAAGACCATTAATGGTCTTGTTGAGATGAGCTGGTTGTGGATCGGCTACCTCAAAAGTGCCACCCCAAAATGGCTGGATGGAAGCCAGGATAGCTACGTATACTGGGCTCCGGGATATCCACTCAGTTGGCCTATCGAGACCATTGACTTAGTTTGCGTCGGCGTTTATATTCCTGTGGGTACTTGGGTGGATCTTTATTGCATCACAGAAACAGCATTCGTCTGTGAGATGCCGTACAGATTTACCACAAAGTAACTCAAAAAAAGAGAATAAAGACACTGACAATCTTCGATATCTTTATGGCGACACTCATTATTTTGTTTCTACGACGCCTACATGCACGAGGCGTCGGTGAACAGAAATGCCATCCCTTTTAGAAATATAAAGGTCACCCATTCGGAACACTCTCTCACGATGTGCTGAGTCCCAGCGGCCAAATTCATGGCACTGCTGACTGTGAACTTCTCCAATTTAGGAATGCTGTTAAGTCAACCAAAATGAATTAACTTCAAACGGAGTTATGTTTTTCAGCAGTTGTAATGGTGAATAATCTGCCTAATGCACTTAAAAAAATCGCTTTGTATAATGACGGTAGGCATCGCAATTGCTCAATTACAAGTCATTTGGCTTGAACGCGTAATTATGTACTAGAAGAACAATGAACCCGTGCGATGCGACTTCAAAACGAGCGCCCGACAGGCTGTATACGCAATTCGCAAAGCTGGCTTGGAAAAATGGCATGTGAACGTACGAGGGAAATCTTCTGGCTCACCAAAGACTGAGGAAGCATCTGTGGCAAGTATTTGCCTGACATCGTGGTTGACAAAACATTTCAAACATTTGAATTTATATAAAACGTAACTAGCAACGGGATTTTACAGATGGCAACCTTTCAGACTTGCTCTGTTTTATTCACTATCTGCTTAGTGATAAGTAGAACCATGGATCACGGATCCATGGTTTTGGGCTGCGCTCCATGCAATACAGGCTGGATAGAGTTTGGGAATCGCTGCCATCTCTTCGTCAAGAAGCAGAAATCTTTCCAGGATGCTGAGGCGTACTGCCAGGGCCTGTCCCGCCCTGGGAGGCCGGCTCATCTCATGTCGATCAACAGCGAGGAGGAGAACAACTTCCTCATGAAGTACACCAGTGTTATTGGTCAACGTCGGCTGTGGATCGGCTACTTCAAAAGCGCCACTCCAAAATGGTTGGATGGAAGCCAGGACAGCTACGTCAACTGGTTTCCGGGAGAATCAAACGTTGCGTCATCAACCCCTTGCGTCAACATGGCTCCCAGTGGTAGATGGAGGGACGTTCAATCATGCGACACAATATTCCCGTTCGTCTGTGAGATGCCGTACAGATTTACCTCAAAGTGACCACGCACAATAACACATTGTTTACATCACTTGGATGGAATGGTTTCATAGCTCTAATTATTTTGCATTCGAATCGTTGAGACACTCATAAATGAATCGGATTTTGTGTGACACTCTGTCGGTGACGGCAGCAAACCTCGTGGACTGAGTTTTCCTGCGAAGCCACTTAAATCTACAAATTTATAAGGCATCGGCTGTGGCTGTTAAGCGTTGGTCAAGCCAAGGGTCACTGTGCGCGGGAACAAAACTGGCGCCCATACATTCCCACTCACAGTGCACATACCTATTTACTCTCGGTTCACTCGTTAATGTCTATTATTTGTTAAAATGAAATGACTCTTAAAAGTTAACATTCAAACAATATCTTGTCTAAACAAACTGATTACGCAATGTTAAATAGGCCATATTATGGGTGAATGAGGGCGCTATAACGATGCCATTTTGGGGGTACAATAATAATAATAATAATAATAATAATACCGGCGTCTTATATAGCGCACGTATCTACTAACAGTTAGGTACTCAAGACTGGTAATTATGTCTATTTTAAAGACAGGCAAATTATGTTTATGAGAAATATGAGACCCATTTTATGTAGCACCTTTATAAGGGTTTACAAGGTGCTGCGGCGCATATTGCGGCCACTGCCAGAAACACCGGGGCAAACCCCTTCTCTTAGCGATAAGTGTTACTGGGTCCTTTAATGTGCATTACGCAACACACGCTGGACCTACGGCTTTTACGTCCCATCCAAAGGACGAAGCAATAATGGTAAAGTGCCTTGCTCAAGAGCACAAGCACCGTGTTCCCCATCAGGATTCGAACCCACGTACCACGGCACGCGAGTCGAACACTGCAACCATGGGATCACAGTGATGTATGTGAAAATGATATGTGAATTGTTTTCATTTAGCTGAGCTTTTTGGTGATCCGTGGACAGAATTTTAAAACGGTGTTTGTGTTTAAAATCCCGTAATATGCATATTAGTGATTTGAATGATCCTTTTACTAAAAGAAAGCTTGTTAATTGGGCTTTCATACCCTAGATTTTCTATATTGTAGAACTTCGCTAACAAAATGGTCCTGACATTTGGGTTTCCTTTTTTTGACTCGCCCTGTATACAGTTTGTATCGGTGTTCTTAATTGTTCTACCCATGGTAACTTAAAGGTATGTAGGAACATATGCTTTTTGTGCATTGTTTTCCTTGAAGTAACAACTTTGCTCAAAGTGTTAAGTAGAGATGCATATAACAGCTCACCTTTTGAAGTTACAGCTCAGTGGATACTATAGATTTTATGAAAACAGATCTAGAGAAAAAAGTATGCACATTTTTCGAGGGGTCTCGTAATTTGGTCATTCTATAAAATTTAGGGTTCAAAGTGTGACATTATTAATGTCCCTGTTACCTTGATTTGCAATTTAGCATTCAATTATCGTTAAGAATGACTTCAAACAATTTGTATTAGTTGGGTAGGTAGTTTGCTGTTCATGTTCACTCTTGGAGGACGACTGCATTAAGGAGTGCATCAGAATTATAAAATCATAGATGTCAGATGTAACAGGGACAGGCAAAAATGTGGACCCCAAATGTATAGAACTAATTATGACCCACCTGAATTCCATTACTACAGTATTTAACCCAAAAAAGTGTCCGTCTGACAATTTTTGAAAAAACAACATGCAGCTTTTAAATACCACAGCATTGAAATTCATTGAAAAGGAACTTGGTCACAGTGTCCAAAATGTTGTTGTGATCAATTGACCATTGTGCAGTGAGGCGTGTGGGCAATTCAAAACACACTTGGTTTCTAGCTACTTTCTGTATTTTGAATGGATTTCTTATTAGTCAGTCATTTTAATTGGTGCAAAGTCAGTATAATAAATATATATTCGGCTAAAACAGTCATTTCATTTTAATTTTTTTTTCCTTTTTTAATCTTTTTTTTTTTCATTCCCTCTTTTTTTCTGTTTTTCTCTTTAGAATATACTTATACATGTACATACTCTACCACGCTCATGGGCAGGTTTCATTTGCAGACAAGTGTTATCCTGAGTATAGTTCTCCATATTCTTTTGTGTGAGTTAGCATGGTAATGTGCACTATGAGAGAGAGAACATAATCGCTGTCATTATGGGTATTTTGTCCATGCTAACTGACTCATCCAGCTTGTTCTTAGTTTCTCCTGAAAACGGTCAGATCATACTGACCGGAACGTCGAGTTTATACCTCTGGTTCTTTTCAGAACCATTCTCTTAGTTGAGAAATTATTCGCACATGGTGTTTCCGCAAACCTTTCATTATTTAGATTCTTAGTTTGTAATTAAGTTTTCCAGTTGCAAGAACTCGTAGCGTATCCAACTTTGGGTCCAGGGAGGCAACATGACTTACTTTTCTGGGGGGAAAAATAACAAGGATTTTTCTCAGCCACAAAAAAGTGTGTGTGGGGGGGAGGGGGTGAGGGGGGGGGGACACAATCTGACTATTGGGGCAACTGCACACGGCAGATGGTTTGGACACGATGCCACCGTAAGTGGCGCTATTCGAGCGATGCTCGTGGGAGAGAGTAATACTACTACTACTACTAATAATAATAATAATTACACACCCGGGCACTGTACTGCAATTCTGAGAGTGATGGGCACCACACCTTTTCATTATTTCATTGTTTCATGACTTTGCCTCTCCCTTGAACTGTACTCTTTGATGTGATGTCAAAATGAAGGCCAGATATGAAAATAGATCATGTGGGTTTTTTTTAATCAGGTCCTATTTTTGAAACTACATGCCGTTTCACCACTTAACCGAATGATACGCCATATACCTCAATGCACGGATACTTCTGAAGCAGTGTTTTCTCAACATGTTTGTATAATTGTGACACTACAACACACTATACAATTATTAGAACGATCTGGAAATGTTCCTTCAGCTGGTATATGGTAGATGGATGGTCGGCAAAACAGTACAAATACAAGCTTGTTGAAAAGCAGTGAATGTAACTGTTGTGGGGGTACGTGTGTGGGGTTTCCTAGACGACTAAAAGTTGCTTATAGTAAAGGAGCAGGGATGGTTTCTTATCGACTCAAGTCGCCTATGGAAGGAAAGGGTTAATGAAGTACTTGTATGTATTGAACAATATGTTTGCAACCTTTATCTGAAGCTCCTACACTTAAACAGACTGAATCCCTCCTGATATTAGGGAGAGACCCTCGCAATTAGTATATCATGCAAACAGCCATAAATGTTGAACGCTATCCGCTGACTTAATGGGAGGAAAGTACCAATTAAGGGGAAAGGAACCCATTAGGCCTACCTTAAATGCATGACTGCCTGTCATTTAGAGTACAAAGTGGATATTAACGCTTAAGTTAACGACATGGAGCTAATACGACTTACTGCAATAACAGTTAAAGTTCTGGTGTGCTCATCAAACGAAAAGGGAAAAGTTGCAAAAAAGTACAAATGAACTGGGCCCAAAGTCACGGCTTGGCTTACTATAGTTGTGCGCTTATGATCCTATTCTGTGCTTAAAGCGCCAGTAAAGAAACTCTGTCGTCACCCTGTAAGCACAAAATCCTTAATCATGGAATATATGAGGATAAGCCATAGAGCAATTACTGAGGACCTTGTCCCATGGAATCTGCTTAGTTGATTTAGAAGAGTATAATGAAATTGTGCCCTGGAGACACTTGGCGTCACAACGCAACATTGAATATTATACGTTATAAACAGGTCTATAGGTCAGTGCAAAGTGGTGATGACACTGGGACGTAGTTTTTAGCAGGCTATAGCGTTTTCCAAAGCCAACTATAACATTTGGTGCATCACGTAAAACGCCCGCGTGATTTTGGTTTATTCCAAATTTGATATTTTCGTATAAGACTTTCCAAACTATTGGATCAGGCTACGAATTGGATCTACAAGAGTTAATTACCAAAGGGGTGTGACAAGATGGCTACTTTTCAAACAGTTTTATTCATCATATCTGTTTTGTATTAAATGGAACCACGGATCACTGGTCCATGGTTTTTGGGTGCGCTCCATGCAATACGGGCTGAATAGAGTTTGGGAATCGCTGCCATCTCAGCTAATGATTATGGAAACAAGCATTAAAACAACGCACAAAATGCCTGAAACGTCATTACGCATTATGGCTATTAAATAAACTCTTAAAGAAAAATAATAACGTTTACGATGGGACACATAATGGAACGTCCATTACATTAGCACTAAGAAAACAACAGGCATCAAATGCTTCAAGTTCACTGTAAAAGCAGTTTGTCAAATTGTGTTATGTATATACACAGTCCCCTAATGCACTTTAAAGAATCGCTTTGTATAATGACGGTAGGCATCGCAAATGCGTACTTAATTACAAGTCATTTGGCTTGAACGCGTAATCATGTAGTAGAAGAACAATAAACCCGCGTGATGTGACTTCAAAGCGAGCGCCCGACAAGTCTGTATTCGTAAAGCTGGCTGCGAAAAGCTGCGATAGCTCAGGAATTTTTGCTTGTCTTTAAAACAAATAATATTATTAAGTATTGCATATGCTGTGATAATAACGCGTGAACGATATCCATACTGACAAGATGTCAACTTCATTCCGAGTACAAGAGGGCCATTTCATCGCTCCAATTTCATTCGAATCTTTGAGACACTCAGAAATGATCCGGACTTCTTGTGACTCTGTCGGTGATTACGTGCGAAGGCTGCAGCAAACTTCGTGGACCGAATGTTCTTGCGAAGCCACTTAAATCTACAAATTTGTAATTCATAGGCTGTTGTAACTAGTGGTCGTTTAGTGCTTTTGTGTGACGTTTATTGAAATAAAAGAGAATGTGTCGCCCGTACAAAATGGCGCCGCGCTGACCACTCCCAGCTAGTAAAAGGATAACTGTATGTTGAAAGTGATTTTGCGATTGGTCACCTGACAGTCAAGATCTGTCCATATTCATAGCTTAGCTGTACCGGCTGGCCGTCAGCAATTACCTTTTGTGCAAACAAGAATAGTCACTGACCATAATGCGCATGCGTCAGTTGGTAACGGCGTAGCGTGAATATCCGACTCCATGTGGACTCATTGGTAGTACTGCGCACGCGTGAGTACGATACTATGCTATTTTTAGGATCGTTTCGGGAGAGTGACCTGTCACGTGCGAGGGATCAACCAATAATAGGGAAATAGGGGTCCGATTTTCATAGGAGTCGGATTTTCATGTGACAACGGAACGGTTCTCAGACTTAACTTCCCTTAAACGCCTTTACTGCATGCATCCAGGCACAGTACGTCTATACTGTACAATGGACGGAATGATTTTTATTTCATGCATAATAGACCACGTCACAAACCTAGGCCATATTTGATTTTGGTATAGTTGTAAGGAGTTTCCCTATACATGTACTTTTTAACCCCGTATTGACTTAAACTTTGGACGCTCATCAAACAGCCGTCGTTTGTCACGAGGCGATATTGTTTGCTTTGAAAATGATGAGGAGATGCTTTTACAGCGATATTTCATTAAATTAAATTATTATAGCTGCGCAATTGCCCCCCCCCCCCCCAACCAAGTTACTCATTGGCGTGATTTCATTGGCTGGTTAATATTTTTAGCTCAGCACGTAGCCCCCCCCCCCCCCCTTGACCGCACACGGTGAGTTTTCCGCCTCGAGAGGCGAAGGAAATTAAGCAAGGGGGAGAAATTTTCCTCCCGACCTCGCGAGGCAGAAAACTCAGCAAAAATTCACCACACACAGGGGATATTTTGTGAACTACGTGCTGAGCAAACGGCCTCCAACGTAGCTCTCGTGTGCGGCGGGCTTTAGGTACCTTCAAGATGACATCATCACCCTGGGTTATATCATTATGTTAGCCAGGGAGTCCAAAATATTCTTCACGTCCTCTATCGTCGTAGATGGCTTGATGCGGCCAAATGAAGCTCTGCATAATATAAAACAAAAATCGATTCAATTCAACTGGCTAATTTGTGGTTTGTTTTTACATTTTAAACATTCGCAAGTAGAATCCAAATAACGGATAAACATATAGATACAGTATATCTGTAGATAGAAACAATCATGTATTTTGTTTGCTCTTCATCGTTTTGAAAAATACAGCACGTCATGCATCAGTCACGTCAATATACCACAAAAGAGGGAATAAAGTAATTGTGCATTTATAAGTCACCACCATTAGGCTTCTACAAAAGTAGCCCGTAAATGAACCGTGGTATAAGCCATCATCACTGTAACGAAACTAATCGTTGCCATTTTCCTGATACCTCCATTTTCATAATCTATGCTCCATTGTGTTACGGCTTCTAAAACACCTGTGAACACATCTTGAGACGGTTTTCCGTGCCAGTAGACGTTGATGTGGCATCTGGAAAAGTTGTAGGTTCTCAAGTATTGCACTTTGTAGTAACAGTAACATGTTATACTTAATATGGTTTATTCGTATATTGTGTATAAGTGCTATCCGTTGGTTGCTATGTCTTTAGTACTTTTTTCAGATTGACGCTGTCTTTATATTTTTGGCCGTGCACGGTAAAATACAGGGTGAGTCAAAAAAAGCGGAACCCAAACCCCAAAATTTATATTTCATGTTATAAAATATGTAGCACCAAACATAATTATGACTGGAAAGCCAATTTCATATGCCAATTTTAGATGAAAAAAATACTGAAATTGGTCGATCCGTTCAAAGAATATCACCATTTAAACACAATGGCCCTAAAACCTGTCTCGTCCAAAAAAATGCGATTTCAAGAATCGTCGTCACAATTGTCTTTAAACATCACCAGCGATAAAATCTCAGTTTAAACGTTTAAATATTCAACAAAGTCTTTTTGAAGGCCCGTCTTTTAAAAAAAGTAGATTTTATAAATAATATTGTTTGCCTAACCGGGGTTGTTAATAAAGATATTGTGCACTACAGGTGGTGACAGTTGTTGAAACAAGTATTCTGTGTCATTTTCTTTGTTGTTCCAAACAATCAAAACACACAATAAATTGCTTTTTTGGACGAGAAAGGTTTTAGGGTCGTTGCGTTTAAATGGTGATATTCTTTGAACGGATTAAGCAATTTCAGTATTTTTTTCATCTAAAAGTAGCTTATGAAATTGGCTTTCCAGTCATTATTATTTTTGGTGCTACATATTTTTTAGATATGAAATATATTTTGGGGGGTTTGGGTTCCGCTTTTTTGACTCACCCTGTAGTACAAATGTAATGTGATGCGCTCTTGGCCAATCAAGAGACAAAAACTGTGGGTGAGGTTTGTAAATAAAATATCATAATGCGCCCTTTTGGGCTCTAGTGCAAAACGCGCTTTACACGAAATGATAAAGATCCTTAAAAAGTAAAACTATTTACCTCGAAAACTAACGGTTTCCGTGTAATTATTACGATAATGAATTTCGGGATACAAAATTTGACTAGTGACATATTCGTTCAGCTCCCCATCGGTTACGGAAAAAGTATTATTTATCAGCTTTTTGGGGTCTGCATGTCGGCGACGGTGCGTCATGTTTTCATCAATTACGTCATCGGTTAGTCGAAGACACGATAAAAGACGCCCGCTGAATGGTCAAAATCTGCAGGTCAAGAGGTAGCTGTCTTGAATAATCACCGAATCTGCAAGCACATGCAGATGGGTGAGTTCTGTTCCAAAGACAAGTCTAATGCATGCACATCGGCTCAAACTTTGATGGCTTTATGGTTTTATTCACTGGAAATACGTTTAGGCAAGGCCGAAAATAGCTGCTTCTTTTCTCCGTATAGGCCTATTACATGTATTTAAAACGTTATATGTGGATTTTCAGTGACCAAGACCTTTGAAATATTGGTAGTAAACAATACATTTTTTAACCCTTGGTGGAGCCACACAGTGATAAAATTCTCCACATTTACCAAATATGGTCATAACTTTTTTCAATGGGCCAATAAGGCCAAGATTCCATGTAATTCTCACCCCTGGTATACACCACAAGCCTATAGACTCCCATTGGCCAGACCTAACCACTGCAGAGTAAGGAGTGTTGAAAGACAACAGCCCCAAGAGGCGCCTGATGCCTTTGTGCAGTAAATGGATATCTTAGTGGCCAACCCCTTTGTGCCACCGATCTCTCTGTGTCAACTTCCCTCGTGCCGCCCAGAGCTCAGACAGGTCGTAAACAATCCTGGCCCACACAAAGGCCATGTGGCTGCCCTATCTTGTGCATAAGGGGGTTATTGACCTAGAAACACGTGTGGTGATAAAATTCTCCATGTGGTTCCACTGCGTAAATTTTTTGGTCTCCTTCGTGCAAGGGTTCAATAGATTTTGGCATTCTCTTGACGAAAGTGTACCTTTAATAACTACAACCTGCAAGCTCTTTCTTAATGCCTAAGGGCAAATTCTTCTCATTTTACTTTAGGCACATTGAAATTGGGAATCGCGAATTATGAATCTAAAATGCGGCTTATTTTGTGCATTGGGTTACTTTAACTTGTTGACTGACAGTTGTGTGTTTAAATAAGTCAACCAAAAATTAACTAAATTGAACATGGATTACTTTCTCTTCAACCGTTGTAACAGTAAATATTCTTCATTAGACGACCTTGTTTTTGTTTTTTTGCTAATGATTATGGAAACAAGCATTCAAAGAACGCATACTAAAAAAAATAACGTTTACGACGAGACACCGAATGAAACTTCCATCGCTTTAGCCCCAAGAAAACAACCGGCTGCTTCACTGTAAAAGCACTTTGTTCAAGTTGTTATACACACGGTCCACTAATACACTTTAAATTATTGTTAAATGACGGTAGACATCACAATTACCATCCATTAATCTTGAAAGCGTAATTTACCTTAATAGAAGCACAGTCCATCCGCGCGGGTGCGACTTCAGAGCTAGCGCGCAGCAAGACCTATAGTCTGTCATTCACAAGGCTGGCTGACCAACGTGGTGTGTGAACGTATGACGAGTAGCTTCTGACTAACCAGAGACTGAGGAGACATCCATATAGCCGGCAATTGCCTCACGTGCGGCTGATAAAACTTTCCAAACATTCGAATTTACTCCCTTGGACTTAACTAGCAATAATACAGATGGCAAAGTTTCAAACTTCGTTTGTTCTATTTATTATCTGTTTTGTATTAAATGGAATCATGGATCACGGGTCCATGGTTTTGGGCTGCGCTCCATGCAACACAGGCTGGATAGAGTTTGGGAATCGCTGCCATCTCATCGTCAACAAGCAGAAATCTTTCCAGGATGCCGAGGCGTACTGCCAGGGCCTGTCCCGCCCTGGAAGGCCGGCTCATCTCATGTCGATCAACAGCAAGAAGGAGAACGACTTCCTCGAAGAATACGCCAAGACCATAACTGGTCTAGGGACCAAGCTCTGGATCGGCTTCAAACAAAGCGCCAGTCCAAAATGGTTGGATGGAAGCCGGGACAGCTACCGCAACTGGGCTCCGGGTCAACCAAACAGTGGCTCATCCGTTCCTTGCGTCAGAGTGGCTAATCCTGGTGGTGGATGGGCGGATACTGTATGCAACAATGAATATCCGTTCATCTGTGAGATGCCGTACAGATTTACCACAAAGTGACCACACACAATAACAAGTTGCTTATACACGACGCTCATGGCGAAGAAAAACCAGTTTGTAACAATAATCAAGCTAATCAAGGCAAGTGGTTTATATAATGGTAAGGCGTGAATGCGCTTATCCCACTGACGAGATGTGAAGTCCATTCCAACTTCAACTTGGAGGGCACTTTCATCCACTTGTCATTCGAATTGTTCAGATCGTTGTACCCCGAATGAACAATGAATGGCGCTTCTTGGAGTCATGCATCACCAGCCTGATCGCTTGGCCATGGTGAGACTTTCTTTTATAATGGAATTACAGCACTAAACTTAATGTTCACTATTGTCTTGATAGACACCTTTATCATCATATTTTCATCATCTTACCACCTATTATAGCCTCAGTGCACATCCTGAGAGCAACTCGTGCCATGAGACGTTTCAAGTTGTCAGACATGGCATCATCAGGAAAATTCCTTGTATTTTCTCGTAAGCACATTTGTGCTTACTTTTTAGATCAGTTGTAAATATCTAATTTTTGTTAAAAACAACCATTCACTTGAAATTACTCATTACAAAATAACTATTTTTAAAACACAGTTTTGTTCTGTAAAAAAAATATACGTATAACGGCGCGAGATCTGCTGCAATCATTATAATAGATCGATTGCATTCAGTGGCCATCTTGGAGGTGTGTTTTGTTTGGTTAATTCATTGACAAAGAAAACACCAGAGGTCTGCTCATGCATGTCCCTGTTGAACAAAAACACACACCTCAAGATTGCTACAGTGCAAAACAAATTTCGAGCGAATCATGCGCTGTAAACCACTCAATTTTTGGGATTAACATAAACGAAACGCGTGTCCCGAATATATGTTATTTATTACAAAATGTTAATTTTTTTATATAAATTGTCATTAGTTTGATTTGAAGCTGCTGAAAATATTATTTCTACTGTTTAAACCGTATAATAGAGGTCTATTATGGTTTGTACCAACTGATCGCTAATTAGTAGACTAGCTAACATACTGACTAGTGACTGATAGCACATCAGACACAAGCTGAAGTTATTTGAACGCCATATTGAGAGGCCTTTGGTGTTCTTTAAATGGATAGCTGCCGCAGCTGCAGGTTTCCAAGTCGGTTGCCGCGCCGCGGAGTGCGTACACATACACGTAACACTGATTTTATTTTAGAAGTGGTGGTACATGTACATATATCTATCGTTGTTTTTAGAGGAATGTATTTACTGGTTTGAAGGGAGATGTCTAAATCGACATTTGCTTTAAAAAAACATATTAAGACACATATCCCTTCAGATTGTTTGCGCATGCAGACGGTTTTAGAGGTGAAGGCGTCCAACGTATGTGGTTTACCCGCACAAAACTGTCAATCCAGAGGTCGCAAGTTCAAACCCTGCTCCAGCCAATTTCTTGTTCAACCTTTAAATAATTATAATGCACCTAGTCAGTTTCTCTGTGTGTGTGTGTTTTTTTAAATAAAATTAAATTTCGAAGTCCTTTCGAGGAAACGCAAGAAAGTCTGACATCTAAAAATTGGCATATCGTAATTGAGCCTTTGTATTATTGTAGGTTTGTAGACTGAATGTTTGAATGATGTGGTTTGAGTGACAAAGTTGTACTTTATCACCAACTGTACTTTGATATTCGATGGGGGCGTCAACTTCTGAAGGAGGAAGGGAGGCATAGTCACAACAATCACCTGACCTCCAAAACGTCTAATTGATTGGATCAGTCGTTGCTCCAGTACTTTTGCATGCAACGTCAAATTAATGTTCTAGATTATTCAATTCGCAAAAAAAAAAAAAAATTAATTTAAAACAAGCCCCATTTATTCGCATTCCATACGGTTCATTATGCCTTTAATTAAAAATGCACCACATTTTGTCTAAGACATGGAAATATTAAGAATAAAGATTCACTGGTGGAGGTGGTTGTAACGATTTTGTTGTAACTATTGGTCATTTAGTGCTTTTCCGGACGTTTATTAATACAAAATGGCGCCGTGCTGACCACTCCCAACTAGTATTCACCGACACCACGAAGTAACACTCTACCGTGTTAAAGCATATTTTTTTCGATTTTCAGTTTTTTTGATTTTCAAACATTATTCATCAAGGCCTACCATTGCACGAAGTTTCAAAGCTTCAAGAGCTTTACTTTAATAATTACGCTAAGTATCCATGGCAACTTTTGCGCAAAAGTGACAATTTTCGTTTTCACGAAGTAACACTCAAGTTCCATTTTCCATTGCAATGCATGGCGCGCACTCTGCTCATAAGTGAGCAAAAACATTTTCACGAAGTAACACTCTTCTTGTAACAAGTTGTATGAGCGCGCGCTGACCTGAAGTTGCACTTTCCTCGTGTTAAATACATTGAAGAGTGTTACTTCGTGAAAACGAAAATTTACAGTTTCGCAGCTTTTTCGGTTTCACGAACTAACACTCATCTTTTTTCTCTTATTTCTTGCTTATTTAATACACAAACGAGTGAAAAACAGCAGATTTAATAAATTCAATTCATCAAGTGTCCACAACGAGAAACCCAACTGAAAATACTCTGTCGTTTTGACGCAAAGTGTTGTTTTAGACAAGTTCAACTTTAGTTGCCGTTTTCTCCGATTGCTAGTTTTTACTGGTATGTAGATGGGTGTTACTTCGTGGTGTCGGTGACGGTATGTTGAAAGTGATTTTGCGATTGGTCACGTGACAATCACGATCTTTCAATATTCATAGCTTAACTGTCCCGGCTGGCCGTCAGCAATTACCTTTTTCTGCAAACAAGAATAGTCAATGACCATAATGCGCATGCGTCAGTTGGTAACGGAACGGTTCTCGGACTTGACTTCCCTTAAACGCCTTTACTACATCCGGGTACAGTACGTCTACACTGTACAGTGGACGTAATTATTTTTTATTTCTTGCATAAAAGACCACGTCACAAACCTAGGCCATATTTGATTTTGGTATAGCTTTTAGGAGTTTCCCAGTACTAAGTAGTCTTTAACCCCATATAAGGACTCAAACATTGGACGCTATTCAAACAGCCGTCGTTTGTCACAAGGCAATTATTGGCTTTGAAAATATGAGATACTTTTACAGCGATATGTCTTTAAATAAAATGATTATAGCTTTGCCCCTATCAACCAAGTAATTTACTCATTGGCGTGATTTCATTGGCTGGTTAATATTTTTAGCTCAGCACGTAGCTCCCCTTGACCGCACACGGTGAGTTTTTTGCCTGGCGAGGCGAAGGAAATCAAACAAGGGGAATTTGCCTCCCGGCATCGCGAGGCAGAAAACTCAGCAAAAATTCACCGCACACATATATTTTGTGAGCTATACGTGCTGCGCAATCGGCCTCCAATAACTTTTTGCTCAGCACGTAAAAGCTCTCGTCGTGTGCGGCGGGCTTTAGGTACCTTCAAGATGACATCATCATCCTGGCCTGGGAGTCAAAAATATTGCCCTCTGTCGTCGTAGGTGGCTTGATGCGGCTAAGGTCGGCTCTGTATAATAACGAACAAAAATCGATTCAACTCAACTGGGTAATTTATGGTTCGCTTTTACATTTTAAGCATTCGCAAGTAGAATCCAAATAACGGATAAAAAAGAGACACATTATATCTCTAGGTATAGTAACAACCATGTATTTTGTTTAGTCTTCATCTTTTTTTCAAAATTAAAGCACGCCTAACATTCATTTGAAATTGCATTTTGTTATGGAACCGTTTAAATGATTCTTTTAAAACTCTGCATCTTTTTTTCAAAATTATAGCACGCCTAACATTCATTTAAAATTGCACTTTTTCTGGAACCGTTTAAATACGGAAGATGGATAGTGCCACTTACGGAAGACGAATTGTGCCACTCAATAAGTCTGAATATATATTTTTTTGTACGAGTGAAAATATTCTTTTTGTACAGCGCCGCCACTTATTATGTGGCGGCCGCCACTTATTATGTGGCGGCCGCCACTTAATAAGTGGCGGCGCTGTACAAAAAAAATATTTTCACTCGAACAAAAAAAAATATTGAGTGACACTATCCGTCTTCCGTAATTGTGGGCATACTGATAGCTCAATTTAATTTTCTAGCTGTACGATAGCTCGCCTCTGTAACTAAAAGGACCCGCGCCAAGCATGTACAGTAGATTTTACATTTTAGGGAGGGAGGATACGCCGAAAAGCTGATGCCTTTTCCTTCGAATTTTCCGAAAACTTACCCTACTGAACTTAAGGTTTCTGCATTATTGAAAAGAAACTAGTTCGATTCACTTGTTAAAGAAAACACTGAGATACTCATCTTGTGTCCACTCTATCTACGTCTAGGTCCGTGTTGCTCGTAATTAGCACTGTAATGCAACGCTAGTCCCATCCTGTTGAATACCTCATGGATTTTTTCGAGAACCGTTTCCACACGAGCTTCTTGTTTTTTGCATGATGAGAGTATTTGCCTAGGCTATAATTCTATTTTTCAAAAATATCTGGTTTTGTGCAATGCTGCTATATACGTTTAATCTCAACGTCCAGAAAATGGGTCGCCAAGCGTAGCGTGTACATGTGCCTACATTGGGGATTTTACATTGTTGGTAGGTTTTCGTGATCGTATCTCGGTCCCAAACTTGGCCCGATTCATCAATAAACTGTCGCGCTGAATGAGACGGGATACAAAACTGTTGAAAAGGTCCTGCGCCATTTTGCATGCCCGAAACAACAAACATCACCCAATATTAGAGGGTCCCGCGTGCACACAATCCAGCCCGGAACAAAAAAAATCACAGCACAGTTTGCCATCTGCCCAATTCAACTCGCACGTGCCCCTTTTTTGTGAAATTGTGGTTTACGTTTTATGGTAATGACGCCCAATCTAGGCTATGCGCGCCAATCTAATTTAGGTAAAAAAATAAATATTCTTTTTACACAAGCAAGTTTTCCAAATAAATAATTTATGTCTTTATGTGAACAAATACACAAAGTAAGAAAAAAATACATACCAAAATAACTTTTAAATAGTCAATTCAACAAAACTCGACAAAGTATGTGTGCATCATGAATATTTCTTCTAATAAATTCGATGACAAATTGGTTTGTTTATGTTATTTTGAACAAAATACAGTCAAAATTAATTTCACAATCGATTCTTTATATTCTCCAGAGTTTGTTTGCTTTACCATTTTCTCAGTGCATTTGTTTAAGACACACTCTCGAGCTCCATTGAAAACCAAAGGACATGCCCAACAACATCAGGGTATATTTAAGAGCCAATGTGTTTTGTAAGAGTTCGGTACTTTAACATGATTCTGTCACTCGTCAAAAGGTCATTCAGTTGACATCATTTGTTTCATCCCATTGCTTAGATCCATGCTGTTATCACTTTCCAAGCAGTGTATGATTAATTTCTCATACAGGAAACATGGTTTTACACCTGGTTTTTATAATCCCGTATTACTTGATAGGACAGTCAACAAAAAAAAAAAATATTGACACAAGTTTTATTCCAAGATGGCATAATCCTCGTATCTTATTGTTGGCCAAAGTGCTGCAAATGAAGGAAACAAGCTACGATATGCTTCATCTTGTTCGGGTGGATAATCTGGATCTACTATTTTTTGTCTGATAGAGTCAGTATTTCAGTGGTGGATAACTCTATGACTTACAAACATGTACACACTCAACTGTTCACACATTGCAAGTAAGATTGAAAAAGTCTGATATTATCAATACCAAAACTCCAGTCATGAACCAATCAGGTGACACTATCCAGGTCACATGTCTATCCACCAATCAGCAATTGAGTCACGCATTGAATCAATAATTACTGCCGCATTCACATTATGCTCACCACAATAAATGCAATCCATTCTAAGCATTTCACATGTCTGAGCAACCCTTGAGCTGATTGCACACTATTCCTGGGCCATTTCTTGGGGCTCAGCGCAGGCATTTTAGACGATCCATGAGTGTTTACTTCTAGAAGCTAAAAGGAATACCAAAGTCCATGGCACACCCATGATCCATGTCACTGTCTGAGTCATCAGTATCCCAGTATTCACTGTCTGAGCCCCAGCCACTCGAGTCATCATCATCGGCCGAGTCAAAAGAGTGCTCGTAATGGTCTTTGTTCATCACCACGGGAACAATCAAGATGTTGACGGCAGTCTCGGGTAGCTGCTTGGCCAGCATCTCGGTGAGTGCCAGGACCACCGGGCTCTTGACTGCCTTCTCCGTGGTCACGTTGTAAGGGTAGTCCATCCGAGGAGTGTCAAAGGTTATGATGGGCACTCCCCAGGTCAGATGGCGCAGGTGTCTCAGGTTGCCCAGGGCCTTGCACTTGTTTGAGTTGGTCTGAATCAACTGGTTGAATTAAGGATGGGGGATAATGGTCGAGAAATAATTCTAAAATAATATGAATTAAATATCAAGATAATTTTGTCATTCTATTTTGATCTGAACAATTCACACATCAACGGCAAAGGCAAACTGACTACCGGTACATGTGTGTTTGATTTTACTCAATAAAAGATTGAACAGAATATTTTGACCAGGGAGGGAATGAACTTGAGACCACTGAAACACTGCAATCTATCAACTGAGATATCCAGCCCTGTGTCAGGGTATTTCTTCAAGGTGCACTATAAACCAGATGCCATAGACTTGTGTATGCCATGTGACTTCAAAATCATATCAGCAACAGTAGCAAATGCTAGAGTTGGAAAACAGCACTTGATCATTCAGGAAATGGCTGCTACAGTGTTCCAGATGTACATGTAGGCAGTTCAAACCCCACTCCAGTCAACTTCTTTTTGGTTCCTATACCACCCATTGGTTCTTGTGCCACCCCAAGTTGCCCTGCCTGTTCCTCCCAAGCCCAAACTTCCCCACCACTGTACATAGTGAGTCAGAATGATCTAGACCCAAATTAAAGAAAAGAATTATTAGAAATATGTAGCAATTATCACAACATTGTACAATTTAAAAGAAATTGTGGTTCAAAAATTTACTGAAACCACGTACTGATGTGACTGCATTGTTTGAAATGTAGTCAGCACTTTTCTTGAAAATGGTACAATGGATATACATGAAACTTTCACCAAATATGTCCAAAATACCAGTCAATAACATATCTCGTTTGCACTTGTTTTGATAATTGCTACATATTTCTAATATTTTCTTTAATTTGACTCACCCTGTATGGTTTTATGGATTCTTCAAAGAGCAAATTCAAATTAAAACAAGTGTCAATTGGATTTAAAAAATTGGACTCAGTGGGGTTGTGGAAGTTTTTGGGGTTCTTTTCTTGTTTTCTTGAGGGGGAGGGGGGGGGGGGGGCAAACAGCCACTGGCTTTTAACAGATTTCTATGGACCGTTTACAAAAACTTACTGGAGCTTTAAATCCAAAAGCGCATGGTTCCATGGACCTCGGGCATAGACCTCGCAGGCAGACCATGGGCCAAAAGGTTAGCGACTGCAGCTTGGTCAGAAACTGTAAGGCAGGGTTGATGTCACTGGGCATGATGTACATGATCAGCTCAAGCTTCTCTAACCTGGGAAAGAAAGATACGAACAACAGAACAGATGTTAAGAAATGTATGCACATATCTATCCAAACTCCCCACACATTTTGCTTGGAATCTCAATTCTCCAAACTTCATCATAGTTCAAGGAAACCAATGGAGCATGATTTGTCATATGTGCAAATACCTAGTAACGGAACCCTTCCTTAACCTTGCCAAGCATCTTCTAAACAGGCACTGAACAGGCATAGAGCCTGAATCTCCTAACGAGCATGGTTGATTTTTGAGGATTAAGGAGGCTTCGGGTTTATTGACGAGTGAATGCAACTAAGATGAACAAACTCACTGTGTCAGTTTTCTGAGGGCATCGGAGATATTGCACGTACACTGAGGAGTGCTATCCTGATCACACCAACAACCTCCATTCTCAAGTCTTAAACTCCGCAGCTTGGTCAGTTTACCCAACATTTCGTAAGTCTGAATGGGGGAAGAAAACAAAAGCTTCTTTTTGAAATTAAAAGCTAAGGGAAGGCCAAGCTACAATTTTAGCACTTACATAAATAAACACGGAACATTAAGCTTGTGTTCTTACTTCAATACTAAACATAGGCAAGGACTTCATTGCCAGAAAAAATACAAATAGGCAATGACTTTGTTGCCAAAGATGTCTTGCAGATGGTCCCTCAATCACTACGAAGAAATTAAGTGAAGCACGTTTTAATATGGGAATAAATGTGTGCTTGGGAGGTATTAAACACTATGTTTAAGACTGGTTGGAGTCTGGATGCTGATAATTACCCAAGCCGATAGTGGGGGAATTATCAGCATCTAGACTCCAACCGGTAAACATCAGTGTTTAATACCGACCAACCACATTCATAAATACCTTTTCGGTCAAAAAATAAAAACTTTTCAGTCCAAAAGTCAAAACAAGTCAAAAAATAAGATTTTGTTCAAAAATTTCACGTTTTCGAAACATCCCTCTAGCTACATGTATATAATGGAGTGTCCAGCTCACGAGTGAGACGTAAACAACTCCTTTTATTAGTATTGGCGCGCGCATAGATGCAGCTGTGGCAGGTGTGTTGTGAATTTAGGACTTTGAAATACTGATTCACAGGTAGTATTGCGCATGCTTCTTGAGGATTGTGAATGTTCAACCAATCAAATGATAAAAGGCACTGGATTTCATAGGAGTCAAAATTTCATGCGACACTGGAAAAGTGTCTAAGACCAGCCAGCCATGTCTTTATCGACCGTTTAAGACCGGCCACGAGACGGGCTCTCGACCAATGGGAATGGGTAAACTGTCTTAGGTATTTATGAATACTAAATTACAGAGAACAAAATTTAATTAATTTGGTTCAAAACCCTACGTTGAATCAAAAAACAAATCACCAATGTTTAACATTAATGTTTTAACATTTTGTAGCACATGAATTTGTGCAGATCCCTCTTACATTTTCGAAACACCCCTCTAGCTACGTATATATAATGGAGTGTCCAGTTCACGTATTCAGATTCTCTGAAAAAGCTATTATTAGGGGTCATGACTGCTTTTTTTTCTTCAAAGTTCCTACAAAAGATTCACAGATGCAGTGGCTGTTGTTACCACTATTAGTTCCCAGGTTTAAGCAAAATATTGTAATTCACCTCTGATCTCCAGTTTCCACAGTCACCAAGTTCTAGCTCCACAAGCTCTGGAAGTTTAGTCAAGAACTGATACTCAGATGGCATGATCCGGGACTCATGTAGACTCGTCAGTGACTGCAATGCGGGACAAAGTCAAAATAGGTTCCACAGATCAATTTTAACAGATTAATAGCGGGTAATTCTGCAGGTTGTGGTTCGAGTCCAGTGTGGGGTTATGCTGCATGTGCCCTTGGGCAAGGCACTTTAACACTCATTGTTTCTACCCACCCAGGAGTAAATGGGTACCTGTGAGGGCAAAGATGGTTATTATGATTGATTTTAGCAGCCTTGCACCGAAATGGCTGCATCGAGCTGTATACTCCCCAGGGAGCTGAGATGGTATTTGGAATGTTAAATTGGCCCAATAATCAGGGGGGAATAATAATGTAAAGCGCTTTGATCTTTAGTTAAAAGCGCTATATAAGAACACGTTATTATTATTATTTAAAGATTGATGAAAATCACCAGGATTTCACAGAAAAGTTGACAGTGCCTGACAAATTGCAGGCTATAAATAAATTGGGTATACTATTATAAGATGGAATTTTTGCGCCGGGGTGATATAAATCAAATTAGGTTTTGCCCTTCACCGACGTTTAAACGTCGGTGAAGGACAAAACCTAATTTGATTTACATCACCCGGGCGCAAACAAATTCCATCTTATAATAGTTTATCCAGTACCCGCTGCTATGTACATCAGATTCGCACCAACCAACCGATCCCGTTAGCTCGGTGGTCGAGTGGTAAGACATCTGCACTAGAAGGCAGGAGGTCGTGGGTTCGAGTCCCACCCGAGTGATTTTTTCCAACTTTCACTCGGGAGGTAATACACTGAGTACACAGTGTTTAAACGTCGGTGAAGGGCAAAACCTAATTTGATTTATACCACCCCGGCACAAAAATTCCATCTTATAATAGTTTATTCGGTACCCGCTGCTATGTACAACAGATTCGAACCGACCAACCGATCCCGTTAGCTCGGTGGTCGAGTGGTAGGACATCTGCACTAGAAGGCAGGAGGTCGTGGGTTCGAGTCCCACCCGAGTGATTTTTTCCAACTTTCACTCGGGAGGTAACACTCTGAGTATGTACAGTGTTTAAACGTCGGTGAAGGGCAAAACCTAATTTGAAATTGGGTATAAGAACTTGTCTACCTCAGAGAAAGAGGAAAATAGGACAAAAATTACTGTAACGACTGATGGAAATAACCAAGCTTGACAAAATGTTCATACTGCACTAAAGACTGGCATTCATTAGATGGAGTACAAAAAAATTGCTTTGACATTCTAGTCCATGTATTGGCACATCATTCGCAGCAAACATCATTTTTGAGTGATTAGATGAGCTTAGTGCTGTGCATGTTCAAATTATTTAGTATGCGATTATTGGAGCTTGGATGTGATCGAATATTCAAATATTCAAACATTGACATTGAGATAAAACAAACTTTTTTATGAATATAATGTATCAATATATTTTTCAAGATTGCTGACAAGCTGATAATTAACAGATTTTAAAGATGCAACTTAGGGCTGATATTCCCCGAAAGCTCTCAAATCATGCATATGAAGTGGCTGTCCACAAAAAAAGGTGTTTGACCAGCAATAAAACCCCTCAACTTATATGAATGATATCACATCACACATGTTTGTTTGTCATTATCTCGAGACAGCTCACATTTTTTGAATATTCTATTCAGTAAAATGCTATTCTGATGATCGGTCATCAGCATAGCCTTAGATGGGCTCACCGTCGGTCGAGTTATCATTCACACAGACACAGTACTTACCAACTTCCCTAGATGCTTCAGTTTTTCTAAGCTTGCCAGCCCACCAGAAAAAGACAGAGAAGGCTGTAACAGGCTGTTGATCGATCGGATTTTCAGTTGCCTGAGATGAATAAGTTTGCTCAACTTGCCCAGATCAAAGACAACTCCGTCCCTAATGGAAGGCAAAACAAAAGCAATTTGGGATTTTTGTTTCTTTTGTTGTCTGCTTATCGTTTCAAAGTAACTCCAAAAATGTGGACTCAACCTTTCAATCTGGAAAATCACAAATTCAGAACTTTCTCTTCACCTATCAAGAGGCCAACCACGAATACAACTTATCATCATTGCCAAACAGTACCACTTTATTTAACACACAGTCACTAGTGCATTTCAACCTAACTCAAAATGATCAAATCCAACGCCATATACATGTCGTTTTATTTTCAGTCACATTTTTCCATTAATTATAGTTATTGCAATTTTAATATTTAAGCTCCTCTTCATTACAAACTTTGCAAGAGATAATAGAAAAATATGGAGCTCCTTTTGAAATAGGAAATCCTGTTTATGGTGATGCCAACTGTATATTTTCTTCTTTTTAATTTTTAACATAAACTAAACTCAAAAACACTCAACAATAGAATTTATGCATTAACCCTCACTCCCTAGGCATTTTTGCTAGGATGCAACCTCAATCCTGCAAAATCTTCCAACTGCCTCCATGTAAAAAATAGCATACAGCCTCAATCCTCCAAAATCACCTGTTATTTCTTGAATGTGGTCCTTGGAGGGGTGACCTTACCTAAATCCTGCAAAAACCCTCCAGCAATCACTGTCAATATGTTGAGGAAAAGCCAGTGACATCCTGGAGCTGTGCGGAGGATTTCAAGTACAATCTAGGCCTAAATTTATGCATGGCTGAGCATTAACAACACAAGGTCCGGCCCAAGACCTTGACACAGTGCATCCACCAAAATCAGCCACACACTTTTGCCACATAGCCTCAATCCTGCAAAATCCTCCATTTTGCAAAGAGGATTTTGGAGGATTTGGGAAGGTTAGGGTTAAGGAGAAGTTAAAGGTCCATGGTTTTGTATTGCCTGGATAGGCCTAATAAAAAAAATTGGGGATTTATTGTTACAAAATTAAAATATCAAAGAATGCCCCTGGGACCCCAGCAATGCATAAGGTCTATATTAACCCTAACCTTCCCAAATCCTCCAAAAGCCTCTTTGCAAAATGTAGGATTTTGCAGGATTGAGGATATGGCAAAAATGTGTGGCTGATTTTGGAGGATGCACTATGTCAAGGTCTTGGGCCGGATCTTGTTTATGCTCAGCCACCCATAAATGTAGGTCTATATTATACTGGAAATCCTCTGCACTGCTCCAGGATGTCACTGGCTCTGCCCCAACACAGTGACTGCCGGAGGATTTTGAAAGATTGAGGCAGCGGTCACCCCTCCAAGGACCACATTCAAGAAATAACGAAGGATTTTGCAGGATTGCGGCTGTATGCAATTTTGACATAGGGGCAGTTAGAGGATATGGCAAGACTGAGGTAACATCTTAGCAAAAATGTCCAGGGAGTTAGGGTTAATTCAGGCCCCTATTTCATGGAGTTCCTAAACAGAAAAGTTGTGCTATGCATATTTTAGTGTGTTCAGCAAAACATCTCAGGAGGATCAGTCATAACCAGCATATATCACACAACATTTTTGCTAGCAATTTGTTTGTATTTTTGCTATTAAAGCTAACATGTTGTGTGCTTGGGGGCCACATGATAAGACATACTTACATTCGCTCCGAGTACTCATCAGTCAGCCAGCAAACCTCCAGCACCCTTAGCTCTGGCAAATGGTGGATAACCTTCAGCAGCAGATTGGTGTGGGTATAGCCAAAGCGCAGGTACTGCAACCCAGGCAACCTCTTCAGAATGCAGTACATGCTCTCCCACCCCATTGTTTCTTCATTGGCCATGTTGTAGAAATCCTAGAAAATGGGAACAGAGGCAATTATCCAAGGGCAATTTCTAGAGGGGGAAGGGCCTTAAAACTACCTTTTGTAAGAAGACTTCTTCATTTTTAAACAAAATGTGTAGTATTAGGGAATATAAGTGTCAGGACCCGATCTTCACTGTGTGATAATGACCGGGTTGGGGGATGGCCGCTGTTAATGGACGGAGCCGAAGGACTGTTGCATATTTGGCCAATCATTGGCTTACATGATGCTGGATCAATGCTGGTTTAGGGGCCATTCATTCACTTGTTTTGAAGCCGGTCTTTATATCACATTAATATGCCCCCGCCTGATCGAGTCTCGACCAATCAGAAGCTATCAATTCTCTACGGTATTTATGAATTGAAAATGATATTGAAGCTCTCAGTGCACAAATAATGTGGAAACTAGATGGTATCACCACATTAAAAAATAAGGATCATTTTATGATCTAATAAAGCCGCTTTGTTATTACTGACTTGGAAGATAAGCTCAGAATCCCCCTTTTCCATAAAATCGTCAAACCAAGGTCTTTCATTCATCAAGAAGTGCATCGGCAATATGAAATGATTAGAAGAGGATCATCAAACGACTACAGCCAAATTGTTGTGCCCTTCAACAGCCTTCTTGTATTCAGTACACATCCACCAACCCCTACCCTAAATAACAAGTATAAAAAGGTGCTTAGTGCAGACTTACCAGGGCAACAGTGCCATGGATCTGAAGGGCCTTTGCTGCTCTCTTCCAACTTGAAATGTTGGCATTTTCAAGAGCTACACTCTTCCACTGAAACGTTCAAATTGAGAAAAAAAAGTATTTATACCATGCAACTGGAAACAATTTAGTGCTGGGAAATGCAGATAAATCAACTTTGTGCAAAATTTGGGTTGATCAAACAAGTACGAGTCTGCACTGGTTTAGATAGGAATTAGTTTCTAAGTGCTCCGAGTCAGTCTGAGTTCAAGTTGATAAGTAGGTCTGAGTTGAACTTCATCCGTTGTTAGTCCAAGTCTAATTGATGATTAAAATATGTCCATAAAGATGTCTGAGTTGACCTACCATTTAGAACTGAATAAATGAAATACCTAAAGGCAAACCCATGTCCTACAATCAATAAAATGGCTACGCCATCACAGCAGTCGAGTGACTGTTTTTAACGGTTAAGAATCCCTTGTTAATTTGGTACAGCCATGCTTTGACTGGAGGGGATTGATATGCCAGCTGTACCTACCAGTTACCTCGTTCGTCTGTTGATGGAATTTGACTAGTCACAGTGTTTACATAAATGTGATCTGACTGTTTTTACCAGTCTGTACACAAATGCATGGCATGGGAAGTGAACACCATTTTGACTGGCTGTGAGTGATCAAACAATAGGAGTTAATTAATAAACCATAAACTGTATTCCAACCTACAATGCTCTTATCCAGTGACAGCCGATGCCAAGCTCTGCAAGTCAAGCCCGCCCTCAAGAGATCAAAGATGGGCAGGCAACAAAAGATCCTGAGCAGACAGCACTGTGGCAATGCGCTTACGTGACAACCGGCATGACCTAGGTCATCAGAGGTCACAGGGTCATCTGTAGGGCCCTCGGCTACTAAATATGAAGTCGCTGCACTCGTGGAATGTGCATCTTGCTGATGATGAGGTAAAGAAAGCAATCATATATAACAACATTAGGGGTGTAAATGAGTGATGTAGCTGGCAAACCAATGGCACTTGATGTAGAACTGCACAAGTTATCTGCCTCTACAAAAAGAGAGTCAAGTAAAAACAGATATTTTGAATTGCGCAGAAAAGAAGCTTTCTACTGATACGAAGCACTTAATTCTGGTGCCAGTTGAGTTTTGGTCTTTGGAATCTTGAGAGACCTGACAATTTTGAAGAGTTTAGTTAAAGACAACGGGCTCATTTTGGAAATTACCAGCAAATTACAATTAGCAGGTTTACATTACTGTTGGAATTGCAAATGTACTTTTTTATTTATTGGTCATTTAATCTCATTAAGTATATTTTATTTTGTTTAGAAATTCTGGCCATGGGTATTTACATGTTGTCAAGAACAACACAAAACTGCTAAGTATGAATCTAGTAGTTGAGTTTCCATTCAACATTTTAGCATACCTTTGACTCCTGATGATCACTTTTGCTTGATTCTCTTTTGTGTTTTGAATGCTTCTTTTTGGACTCCTGGCAGCCACTTTTGCTTGTTTCTTTCTTTGATTTGACTTGCTTCTTCTTTGCTCTTGAGGGTGCTCCAGATTTTCTGGCAGGTTTGGGTGGAGCTTTGTATCTGTAATCAAGTACACACAAAGTTAAGACCAGAAAAAATGTACAAGAGAAAATCCTGTGTCAAGCAATTTTGGTTTCAATCAAAATCTTCCCACTGTACCCGACAAAATGAACAAGCATATCTCAGCAGTCAAATTAAATCATGTGACTATTGTTAACCAGTTCGCTCCGGAGGCCGTGATAACACGCATTGGCTGTTTTTGTGCACAGGCATGGCTGACAGGTTAAGACGTCAAGATTGCCTCGACTCGCCTCCGGGTGACATCTAAACACGTTAATCCCTTGAGCCTTTTGTACACATACACAAAGTCCATGTAGTCTGTGGAGGCGGACCGTGTGCTGACCATTTTGTGGGCCATTGTGCACGGCCTATTGTTGTACAATTTATGCTCCAGTGCACACCCCGGAGTATTGAAACATATGCGGTTTCGGCAAGAAATATCATACAAATACATGTACTGTTGAAATCAATCTTGCGAATCAGTATTTGTGGCGTTTGGCTGCATATCAGAAGTTGGCTGGGAAATTTTGCCTTTTGAAAATTTTGAAATTTACGGCAAAAAATAAACCCGGCGCAAAGTGGTTAACAGTTAAGAACCCTATGCTTTCATCAAGCATGATTGACCATCTGTGACTATTTATGTAACTTGAAACAGCTTTGCCATGGCTGGAGGTGATGGATAAGCCAGCTGTACCTACAAGGCACCTCCTTTTATATATTGATCAAATTTGACTAGTCACGATGCTTATTATACATGTACCCTACATATGGTATGACTGTTGGTGACTAGCCTGTGTATAAAGGTACACATGCATGAATAGCAGGGGAAGTGGATTGACTGTTGACTGTCTGTGGCTGTTCAAACAAAGAGTACGTTACTGCCTATCCTACTAATAGAAATGACCTGAAACATCTTTCGCAAATTGAAATGATTTAAACAAAGAGTGGACTCAACTTAAAGTGTGCACAAAACTCTTGCGTCCAGTGTGTGCCTTGTGCCAATGTTTGATAGAAAGAAACATGTCACAGAATGTACAAAAATAGGCCATTGGGTTCCTACCCAGTTGTTGTGTTTATCTTAAGATTGAGGAACAAAGGTGTAGTGGGCTCTAACATTTTTGTAGGAAATTTAAGGTATACAAGAAAGTAAACGAACATGTATGGGCCTTATTCACGAGTCGGCCATATTGAATAGAAAGTGAGGTAAAATCTTAATTTCTGGAACTTGCGAAGAGAAATGCAAGCAAGTTAATTCCTAATTAATTCCAGTCAGCTTCAATGAATAATTTCAAATTTGTAATTAAAAATTCCTAATGTTTAAAGCCAGATTGAAAAAAAAAAGGAAAATAAGGCTGCATTGTGCCTGCATAAATAGTCTGGCGCCATCCCATTGAACAGTTAACACTTAATGACATACATTCAGGGAACTCGACAAAAATGGCCAACTCATGAATAAGGCCCATAGCGCCAACGTAATTCAAAACTGACTGAAATCTTGTAATCCTGGGTTAAGATCAAATTGTTCATTACTGAAAAATATCTATTTACCGAAAATTCAGTGTTTCCCAGGGAACGATTCTATCCTCAGCTGCAAAGTTTGGTTTGAGGGGAGTGTGACATGATATGTGAGGCTTGCTGCTGCTGCTGCTGCTGCTGCTGCTGCTGCTGCTGCTGCTGCTACAGTGGACTGTTTGGGAGCTGGCAAAACCATCCATCTTTGCATCTACCAACAGTGGTTCTCATCTCTTTTGGACTCTTGAATAATTCTGGAAAACAAAGTTATCAATGAAAGTACTTGCTATAATGTATTGGTATTTGAACAAATTCACCACTACTCAAAAATGCACCTCTACTACTGTGAGTCCAGCTTCACTGGGTCCTAAACCAAAATCACAGGAGATCCTCACTGATTCCTCCAGCATTTACCAAAAGCGGCCGGTGCAGCCAATATGACGTAATTATATAGGACCCAATCAGACAAAGCCTCCTTGAAAATAACGTTTACCAAATGAAAACCAGCACCGGCCAAATGGTCCCGCCAAAAAAACAACTAAACACTGTGTAAAAAGTGTGTCAGGAAGCAAATAGTGAGGCCTGGTTTAATAAACCTTTCAACGCGTGTGCACACATCTAGCCCCATTAAATGGCCACGCACTGGACTAAACTCCATGGCATATAGGCCGTATGCATATTCTCAACTGGAAAAGACCTAGACGTAAGCTTTTAGACAGGAGGTTCGGCTACAGCAGTTAAGTCTCTTCTGCATCGCACGTGATTCAGTGAAGTGCTTCCAGTGTGTTTCATGAAACTGCCATTGGGCATTGTTTGTCCCCGTGACATTTCCGAACCTCATGTTTAGAGCGTCTAGGTCTTCGCCAGTTGCAAACAAGCGGGCACAAGACGTAGCCATGAAACTGAAAACCTGTGTTATTAACGATCTGCCATAATTAACTGCTAATTGCTTATTAAATTTTTTTTTTAAATGAGTTGATAATTAATATTCATTGCTTTCATTTAGAAAACTTGAAATTCAACGACGATTTTGTGCATCAAATATATTCGGATCGTATGGGCGAACTTTTTTGCTGCGTCATGTACAATTTTGAATTTGACGACCGTTACTGAGATTTTCCAAAACTCGGTCTTTCCAGATCAACATTAGTCAATGTTATCTTACAGAAACATCAAACTGTATTATCATAACTGTATGATATTACGAAGCAAGTGATTTACTTAAAAATTTGATCAGATTGAACATTAAAAGCTAAAAGTGATAAAGCGAAATCGAAAACGAAGCCGAGCTTTGAAAAAGGGCCATCAATGTCGTCATATTTATCTTTAGCCACGGAGGCTGCCTGACCTAAGATTCATCAGGAATAGTCAGAATCTTTTGGTCTGGGAACCAGACTAGCCGAGTATCAGGCAGAATGATTTCCATAACAAAAGAACACACTTTCAGTGACTTGTCGCGCTTAAGTATGGCCTAAAGGCTATAGTATGGAGTTTAGTCAGTGCATGGCCATAGAATGGGGCTAGCACACATCATGATTCATGATTTAGTTTTGAGAGATAAACAGTTCACCACTCGCATGCAAAATCTTAGAGGGGTACCAATGAAATCCAAGACAAGTTCTTGTTTTGAAGTAAATGCAATTGTTTTCGGCACCAAAGTTTAAGACGCTTGTATGCTCCAATATTTGTGCACACAGACGTTTCCATCTTCTTCTTTGATGAAAAATTACAGAATGTAGATTCGGTTACCACGTACATGTACGTCCCTATAATAAACTTGTGTGCAATCATCTGCTGCGCTTTCTCTCAAAACTAAATTGCTGAACATGTTGAATCTGATGTGTGCACGCGCACACTCCCATTTGAATTTGCGAAAAAGGCTTCTAGTTCCTAGCTTGAGTAACTCCAGCTCTAATGCTCATCAAGAATTTGACATTTAACATTGAATTCTTGATTAGCATCAGAGCTGGAGTTACTCAAGTTAACAAGTTCCAAGCTTGGAATACCCAGCTCGGAAAGAATGTAGCATCCTAACGCCACACTTTTCATCATCTCAATGAAGGTTAGTCATTGCAAAAATATTGAAAAGACATGAATCTGAGAAACATGTTCAATTTTTAAAGTTAAATTTCCGGATGCATTGGGTTTTTTCCAACCTGCTTAAATAAGTACTTGAGTTATTGAATCGTGTGAAATGGAACCAGTCTTTTGGACCTATAGTTATTTGAAGGAATAACTAAAAATGGGAAAGAATTCGATACCTGGACATCACACTTGTGTACATGTACTTGTCACCAATTTTCGGACTAACTTGTCACAAGCTGGTCTGAAAATTTCTATTGTAATAAGAGTAAGACTTCGCCTCAGTGTTTTCTCATAAAATGTTTCAATATTCGAAAATTGTTGGAAAATACTCTGAAAAAGCATTCGACTCTCCACAGACAACCAAAGAAGTGGCGTCTGGATACTACATTCTTTCCCTAAGCTCAGTCTAACTTCTAAGGCTCATGGCATCAACATGGTAGATTCGCCATTTACAAAAATGACGACTCTCCCATGTCATGAGCCTAGTGGGAGGTGCGCTGGGCCTGCATCATCATCAAGCATGGTTGTCGAGTTAAAAAAAACATGAGCCATGCTTTACAACAGCCTTTAATACTGCTTTCACTTACAGGTGATGTAGCTTGGTATTCTAAATTAAGAAAGAAGTGCCTACATTTTTTTTCAATTTTAATTCAGGAACGAAACCCATACCTGGTCATCACTACATTTCCCCTGCAGTGACCTATCACTTAGTATCAACCATCAGAAAGTGAAAGTATGTCCTAAAAAGTCAAATTTAGCACGGAAAATATTGAAACATTTTATGAGAAAACACTGAGGCGAAGTCTTACTCTTATTACAATAGAAATTTTCAGACCAGCTTGTGACAAGTTAGTCCGAAAATTGGTGACAAGTGCATGTATCAAGTGTGATGTCCAGGTATCGAATTCTTTCCCATTTTTAGTTATTCCTTCAAATAACTATAGGTCCAAAAGACTGGTTCCATTTCACACGATTCAATAACTCAAGTACTTATTTAAGCAGGTTGGAAAAAACCCAATGCATCCGGAAATTTAACTTTAAAAATTCACTTACGAGTTACGGTGACATACAAATTGTGCAGCTGGCTATCTAGCTAGAGCCGTATATAGCGCCACCTGTTGGTAGACATCTCGTCTCATAGACGGGTTACCTCTCCCTCTAATCTGCACGTATACATTCGTACGTAGGTACGTCTGGGTTCTGATAAGTTGCGCATGCTGAAATGAAATGAGCATTGAGCGATCTAATGCAAAGTGAGCAGGAAACGTGGTCACAGAACTGAGAGTGAGAAAGTTAGTCATCTGGCTTATACCAAACAACTGCTCTTTGCTCAAGTCAAACCACACAGGAAGAAAAACAAAGGTGGCTGAACAAGTTTGTCATTCAATTATATAATTTGTTTTGTCATTGAAAAGTATTTGATTATTTATTATAGGGCCTAACTAAGGTAGCTGGAGTGGTTTCGATCCAACTCGGACCCAAACCAACTCGGACCCAAGCCAACTCGGACCCATGCCAACTCGGACCCACTACCAACTCGGACCCATGCCAACTCGGACCCACTACCAACTCGGACCCACGACCAACTCGGACCCACTACCAACTCGGACCCACAACCAACTCGGACCCACTACCAACTCGGACCCATGCATGACCAACTCGGACCCATCGTTTTCAATCATTCGACATCGTTTTCAATCATTCATTTCATAAAGTTTGTCCACTTCTCATCTGTTATTACAGTGATGCTGTTTAGTATAAATTTTCATTGTAATTGTAAGGTAAATTATCTCATATCTGTATTGCAGCAGTATAACATTTTTGTCGTAAAGCGCATTGAAATGCTATTTTGAAATGCGCTTTAAAAGTGTAATTAATTATTTATTATCTTTATTTGTTTCCATTAAAACATATTGCGCTTTAAAAGTTTAACCAATTATTTATTTTCATTAAAACATATTAATTGACATCGTTCACACCATCTTGCTAAATTTAACAGCAATTTATTTCGTTTTTAATCCAAACTTCAACGTAACGAGTATACAAATTATTGAAATTAAGAACAGATCTTCATAGAAAAATAAAATTGGAAAGTATGGCATTAAAACATAAACACTTTCAAACATAACATTAAACTCAATAAATATAAGTAAACATTATAAGTCAATAAATAAAATAAATAAAATATAAAAACGAAGTCTATTCTAATCTCTATTTAAAAAAACCCACATAAACACCATTGCATACACTGCAAGAAAAACGAAGGTTCCATATTAAACAAAAAAGTTAAATCAAAAAATTATTAGAAGTTAAACAGATTCATAAAAAAATCCCACAAAATTCAAAGCCAGCATGTGAATTAAAAACAAACAAACAATATTACATGAAATGAAAGGCCTAAATAGTTATTTCAAATTAATAACTTCCTCACTGAAAAAAAATGCCGTGCCACTTAAAACCACTTGTTACACGACACAAAGGCTTGCAAAAACAAACAAGTAATTTATTTTTTACTGAAAATTATAATCCTTTGAATTTCGTTTGGAAAATAAAATCGAGATTTTGAAAAAGCACGTATATATCAAGTCGTACAAATGACATACGATATGCCTAACCTATACTATACGCTATTAATACCTCTTGGTTTAGCTTCACAGGTCACGGTTTCAAAAAGCTAAGCACGTTTAGTTTCATGACGTTCAAAACGATAAGCGTTTAGCAAAAGTATTTACTGTACGCATCACAAAATAGCGTTCCACACAGCGGCAATACAAGAAAACAACAAAACTAAAAACCCATTCTGCCCAATGTAATTACAGAATATCTTCACTATTATAAGCACTAACATTAAGATCACCTATAAATATAATCTTTGAAACTAATGATTGAGTCATTGTTGGGTCCGAGTTGGTCGTGCTTGGGTCCGAGTTGGTAGTGGGTCCGAGTTGTTAGTGGGTCCGAGTTGGTCGTGGGTCCGATTTGGTTGTGGGTCCGAGTTGGTAGTGGGTCCGAGTTGGTAGTGGGTCCGAGTTGGCATGGGTCCGAGTTGGCATGGGTCCGACTTGGCATGGGTCCGACTTGGTTTGGGTCCGAGTTGACCTGATACCGCTGGAGTTACCCAGCCCTGAGTTTTATCATTGGGTTGTCAATAAGGGCTGGAGCGAATTTTTCTCGTAACTTGTAGTATAGGCAACATTTTTTGGAAAATGTTCAATTTTGTCCCCGTTACACACTAATTGCAACTGCAACTCACCCCAAACTTGCCTGGAATAATTTACACAGGTCCTTGAAGTAAAAAACGATCCACGATGAAGATTCAGCCTACAATTGCAGTGAAAACAGGAGGAATAACCGCTAACTTGACAACCTTGCTGGATTGGCCAGGACCGCAATTGGTTTGTGCACAAAAAAAATTGTGTACATGTACAATGAATGGCGGTCGATTAACAGGCACAGCTACAGAGAGCGATCGCTGTCAACTACTCGTTTTTGCCGGCTGCGCTGGCTGTTGGCGCATGACGTCACGCGGAAGCGTAACACCCGATGACTGTTTCATGCACTAATATAAGGTTTACCACTCGCATCACAGCTTTGGTACTGGAACCGCAACCAATAGTGCATGAAACAGTTATCGGGTGTTACGCTTCCGCGTGACGTCATGCGCCAACAGCCAGCGCAGCCGGCAAAATGAGTAGTTGACAGCGATCGCTCTCTGTGCCTGTTAATCGACCGCCATTCATTGTACACAATTTTTTTTGTGCACAAACCAATTGCGGTCCTGGCCAATCCAGCAAAGTTTTCAAGTTAGCGGTTATTCCTCCTGTTTTCACTGCAATTGTAGGCTGAATCTTCATCGTGGATCGTTTTTTACTTCAAGGACCTGTGTTATGGTTATTCCAGGCAAGTTTGGGGTGAGTTGCAGTTGCAATTAGTGTGTAACGGGGACAAAATTGAACATTTTCCAAAAATTTTTGCCTATACTACAAGTTACGAGAAAAATTCGCTCCAGCCCTTATAGACAACCCAATGATAAAACTCAGGGCTGGGTAACCTTATAGACAACCCAATGATAAAACTCAGGGCTGGGTAACTCCAGCTAGGCCTAAGGCTAAGTCGGCGATTGTTTTGTAGGCCTAGTTACCGCCCGTTCCTGCAACTAGCCTAGTCCGAGCAACTTGGACCCAACTTATCGGTAATCCTTACTTTTAGGACACCTCTATTTTGTACGAGTTCTGTTCAAAACTGACTTTTGCAGATGACTGTCCAGCAGTGTTGGAGCAAAGGCTTTGACCCTCAAGGCCAAGGCCAAGGCTTTGACCCTCAAGGCCAAGGCCAAGGCTTAGACTTTCAAGCCTCGAGGCCAAGGCCAAGGCTTAACCCTCAAGGCCAAGGCCAAGGCCCTGTTTTATGAAATGACCACTGATATAGAACTAACTATAGTCACATGAGTGACACATCATCACACAAGGGCGGATCCAGAACACAATTTTTTTGGGGGGGGGCAAAGAAATGTTGGTCCCCCCAAAAAAGTGGGTCAAAAAATTATAGCTTGGGCTTCGGGCCCGCTTAAGGGCCCCGAAAAAAAATTTGGATTCGAGATTGCTCTGTGGTGCGATTTGAGGCAATTTCTTACCATTTTAACTGATGTTTTTTGGAGGAAAAGATGGTGGTGTACTCATTGCCTGCCTTTATTACGACGTCACATAACAAAAAATGGTTTCGTTTTTTTTTTGTGGGGGGGGGGGGGGGTATGGCCCCTTTTGGCCCCTCTGGATCCGCCCTTATCATCACGAATTGCTCGTTATGAAGAACAACATTTCTTTAATTGCAATCAACATGCTCGCATAGGCCTACACCGTTTTATGACTGCACTGTATCTATTAAAGTAAGTTCAGGTCTTTAATATGGTTTAACTAAACAAAATAATGATTTACTTCTATATTGACACACAATTCTCCCAAGTGTAACAAAAGGGGGATCCAAGAAACTGATTTAGGAAATTAGGAAATTTTTATTTGCTGGCCCAACATGGTCAGAAATATCAGCATTATCTAAAACAGATACATGCAAATCTTTAGCACTTATCAGAGAGACATATACAACCAATCAGATCTATTCCATAATTGTATGCAATTAAAGTGATCATCTCATTAGCCCCACAAGTGTACGGAATATTTTTGCAGCAAATCTACTACAATGGTAACAAAATGTGATGCTACAAAAGTGGAAGTGTGCCCAACACACAAATCTATAGGGTGCTTCCCTCCTCCATGGTAATACGATTAAAATGGTAACAGCAAAATTTCGAACAGATTTATCTGGAAAATGCAAAAATCTATGGGCCTTGAAGAGCCTTGACTCAAAATTGCAAGGCCCTGAACCCTCAAGGCCAAGGCCAAGGCCAAGGCTTTTGCCCTCAAGCCTCGAGGCCAAGGCCAAGGCCCTAAAATCCAGCCTTAAGGCAGCCTTAAGGCCAAGGCCCAGCATCAAGGCACTACATCACTGCTGTCCAGTACCAAAGTGACTTTTGCAGGCTAAAGAAGTCTTTTTTCTTCAGACAAGCTCATGTTAGTTATAATTTTGAAAGCACTTTCAAAGAAAATGTGACTTTCCTACCTTTTTTTGCAGTTCGCCATCTTGCTTTTTAAATTTATTTTCTGTTTGTCATCGTCGTCTTTAACCCCTCATAAATCAAAACCCTGCCCTCTTTCTACAAAATCAAACCTGCTGATATTCAAGAGGTGTCATTGCCAAATGTTCAAATGTGTCAATAAATATCAGAATGTCACTTTTGAGTGTCATTTAGTCAGGGGTTTTGGTGAGTCTTTTAACCTTATATAGGAAAGGGGTCCTAAAAGTAAGGATTACCAACTTATCGCCTTTTTTAACATTTTGACATGGTCTGGCGATAGTGGCCAGACCATGTCCAAATGTTAAAAAAGGCGATAAGTTGGGTCCAAGTTACTTGGACTACAACTAGCCCTACATGCTGCACATGCCAAAAACTGTCCGGTGTTGCAGTGCCCGCTGTGTGAGCATGTGTTGTGCCCATTCTTGAAAATCACGCAATCTTAAGAATGTGCGCGCATTCTTAAGAATGAGCGCCCATTCTTAAGAACGAGCACGCGTTCTTAAGAATGAGCGCTCATTCTTAAGATTGGGTGGGAATATCACGTGCACAATTTATGAATTTTGCCCAATCTTAACAAACATTGCACGACATAATTATGTTAAATGAAATGTATAGCGGTTAAATGGGAAACAATTTATATAAAGAGGAAAGAAAATGTTCTATGCTTCTGTACTCGCATAACTACGATAATTTGAATCAAATTAAACCTGTTATTATTGCTTTTTTCTGCCCACTATGGGAAGTTTTGTAATAACGGAGGACTGGGAACTAGTCTGGGAAGTGCTTTGTTTAGGCTAGACAAGTTACAAGTCCCTGTATGTATCATATGCATGCCACGAAAAAAAAAACGATGTCCAGAAGCTGCCAAAATTGCTCTTTTGACTAGATAGAATCCAGCTCTGCGACGTTATGGTGGGGTGTGAACAATAAATTGGTGGCAATTTAAATGGGAAATAGCATTAGCAGTGCACTATGGGATGTCGCAGTATTCATTCTCATTCTTCACATTCTTTATTCTTACGTCCCCCCCTCCCCCCCCCCCCCCCCCCTTTTTATTATCCCAAAAATCAGAATTCTTTCCACTAGTATTATTATGTCTCTTATTTTTTTCCCGCCCCCCCCCCCAATATCAATACGCCTATACATTAGCCTATAGATACTTATCATATCCACTATACTTTTCAGCGCCTTGCGTTGCAACAGTATAATTATTGAGAATCAGTGAACGAGGATGCAGCTAGACTTGCCAAGCGCAGCCGGTGCTCGGCATCGACAAGACCGTTATCTTGTCGCGCATTCATAAGAATGTGCGCTCAATCTGGAAGAGTTATTTTTTGCGAAGATTGGGCAAGGATCCAGTTGCACATTCTTAAGAATGTGCATGCACATTCTTAAGAATGCGTGATTTTCAAGAATGGGCACAATACATGCACAATAGACGCAGGACACTTGTGTCCAGTGCTAAACAATAGTACTATCCAAGCGCTGTCATGCACTGGGAAAGATTTCCATATCTGGCCATCACTTACTTGTCACCCTGTGCACAAACTGTATGAGACTGGTCTGAAAATTTAAGTGTTACCGGTAGGCCTACTTCAATATTTTCCCTGCTAAATTTGACTTTTTTTAGGTCAGTGCAGGACCGCTGACCTTGAGAAAAATTATGCTGTCCTTTTGGACAAACTCCAAATTTCCCATGAAAGTTACAGGATAACCGTCCATAGTACATCTAGGTGTAGCCCCACTAGGTTGGCCGTCGGTATGCTGCGCTGAACCTAAGGCCACACACCGTGGTCCGCGCACTACTGAGGACGTTTTCATAAAATTTGCAGGGAATTTCTTACATATGGTTGTATTCTACGATGTCCCATCTATCACTTCTGGGATGCTTAGGTGTAATGATGTTCAATTTTCCGAGATATTCTTGAATCTTTCTGGAGCCCATATGCACTCGTGAAACGTCCGGTGATGGCAGCCATTTTGAATGTGACAAGAGATGACCTCAAGCTGTGACGTCGCGTTTATGCAAATTGCTTGTCGAGCGAAGGCGTGAGTTGCAAATGCGACGGCTGTTTCCTGTACCATGCATTTATCGTCTGGGGGCCACGTGCACTGATCTCTATTCACGATCTACGGCACAGGAAACAGCCGTCGCATTTGCAACTCGCGCCCTCGCTCGACAAGCAATTTGCATAAACGCGACGTCACAGCTTGAGGTCATCTCTTGTCACATTCAAAATGGCTGCCATCACCGGACGTTTCACGAGTGCATATGGGCTCCAGAAAGATTCAAGAATATCTCGGAAAATTGAACATCATTACACCTAAGCATCCCAGAAGTGATAGATGGGACATCGTAGAATACAACCATATGTAAGAAATTCCCTGCAAATTTTATGAAAACGTCCTCAGTAGTGCGCGGACCACGGTGTGTGGCCTTAGGTTCAGCGCAGCATACCGACGGTCACACTAGTGGGGCTAATCTAGGTGAAGAATTCATTTGTCCTGGTTTATTACCTAGTCCGAGTATAAACTAGGACTCTACGAATTGCCTTTTTAACATTTGGACATGGTCGGGCGACCATGTCCAAATGTTAAAAAAGGCGATTTGTAGAGTCCTAGTTACTCGGACTAGTTATTAACCACGTACATGTAAGTAGCTTCCATAGCGAATATCAAGTGAAAAAGTCTAGATTTCATAATAAACTTTTCAGGAAATTTAGCATTGTGTGGCTCTAAATATAGAGGAAGTCCAGTATTTGAGACATATTTATGAATTAGGTACATTGTGGGGTAGACCCACTAACTGGGGCGCTAGAACTCCTTTTTTGACATTGATTTGGGATGTGGTCTGTCGTACAAGCTTGTACGACGGACCACATCCCAAATGTCAAAAAAGGAGTTCTAGCGCCCCAGTTAGTGGGTCTAATTGTGGGGTATGGCCCTGCTAGGATAATCTGGGGTAAGATGCCTCTGCATTCCTTGGCATTTTTGTAAGAGGTTTCTAGGGCTATACATTATGTTTCACACATGCCCTTTTTATGCCCCGCGGTGAAGCCGAAGGGGCATACTGTTTCCGCCTTGTCCTTCCGTGGGTGGGTGTGTGTGTCCGGACAAATCTTGTCAGCGCGATAACTTGAGAAATACTTAACATATGAACTTCAAATTTGGTTTGTGGATTGTCCTTGGTAATCCTAAGAAGCCTTTTGCATTTGGGGCCGAAAGGTCAAGGGTCAAGGTCACAGTGGCTGAAACAAAAGAAATCTTGTCAGCGCGATAACTTGAGAAATACTTAACATATGAACTTCAAATTTGGTTTGTGGATTGTCCTTGGTAATCCTAAGAAGCCTTTTGCATTTGGGGCCGAAAGGTCAAGGATCAAGGTCACAGTGGCTGAAACAATAGAAATTTTGTCAGCGTGATAACTTGAGAAATACTTTATATATGAACTTCAAATTTGGTTTGTGGATTGTCCTTGACAATTCTAAGAAGCCTTTTGCATTTGGGGCCAAAAGGTCAAGGGTCAAGGTCACAGTGGCAAAAAAAAAAGAAATTTTGTCAGCGCGATAACTTGAGAAATACTTTACATATGAACTTCAAATTTGGTTTGTGTATTGTTCTTGGTAATCCTAAGAAGCCTATTGCATTTGGGGCCGAAAGGTCAAGGGTCAAGGTCACAGTGGCTGAAACAATAGAAATTTGGTCAGCGCGATAACTTGAGAAATACTTTACATATGAACTTCAAATTTTGTTTGTGGATTGTCCTTGGCAATCCTAAGAAGCCTTTTGCATTTGGGGCCCAAAGGTCAAGGGTCAAGGTCACAGTGGCAAAAACAAAATAAATTTTGTCAGCGTGATAACTTGAGATACACTTTACATATGAATTTCAAATTTGGTTTGTGGATTGTCCTTGGCAATCCTAAGAAGCCTATCGCATTGGGGGTCGAAAGGTCAAGGGTCAAGGTCACAGTGGCTAAAACAATAGAAAACTTGTATTTATTCTGAGATCATAGGGATTAGGGATTAGTTCATATAAAACCTACAGAAGACACTAATGCTGTCAATGAACATTCCATTTGACCAAGGTACATGTAAGTTGATGTTAGAGTGGTGTTATGTCATGGAAACAGTCACGGTTGCGGGGCATTTGTGTTTGTAAACACCCCTGACTTGTTTCCCTACATGTATTTCAGGAAAGACATGGAAAAAGTCACTGGATACTGGTAGAGACCAAAATTGCGATCGCATACTGACTAAGCCAGCATCCATTAAGGACCTTCAAATGTGCCACTTGATCCAGGAAGGACCAACCTGCTCAACTGCAATCTCTGAAAACTTCGGAATCACGGCTCTACAATAAGTTACCTGCAATGTCTCAGTCATTATATCAACACACATGGAGGACAGCCTGTCTGTGTAGCAGGCTAAGAAGCAGCTGTTGCATCCAATCAGTGTCCTCACGCAATGGAAATGCCCCAGCGCAGCAAACAAAATGTGCCCTGCTGTCCAAAAACTTCAGCGTTTTGTCCAAAACGCAACTGAGAAAGCCCACAGCAATTCAGCATGGTAGTTGCAACAGCATGTTGCAGCATAAACTTGAAACTAGACAATACAGCGACCCACTTTGCAACCAGATTACAAAAAAGTTTTCAAGTAGTGTACTTAGTTGGTCGCCAAAGGAAGAAAACGAACCTTCCAATCTTTTGGAGGAGAACCATCAAGAGGCACGTTTACCCACCTTGCCTCAAGCAGAAACAATCGAGCAGCTGAGGAACAAGTACAAGCGGCTCAGGAAGACGAAGAAGAACCGTTCCGTTCTACGACCTGAGCTGGCCCAGTTGATGGTAGACAAGGTGTGGCCGGATGGTAGTCTGGCCAAGGAGAAAGCTATGATCATTGAGACCAGTCCAGGTATATCTGTCATATTAATTGACCCTCTAAAATACTCCAACATTGTGACCAAAAGTATCTCAATTAAGACGATTTTTCCTTGAGAGAGGTACCCCCCTCCCCCCGCCACACCCTCTTCCCCCCCCCCCCCCCCCCTCCCCCCCCCCCCCCCCCCCGACAGTAACTTCTTTGGATCCGTCCTCAACGGAAATTGGTAGACCCTGCTGAATGGCAACAATTACACTGTTAGAGATAGTAAGTTGTCTTAACATAAAATGTTTCGTCCAGGATTCTTAACAGAATGATTATTCTACATAATTTATGACGGGTATGTAGTGTGCTTCATGAACAATAACTTGCTCCCTCTCTTTATGATTCTGATAACTTGATTTTGATCTGTGTGATTTGTTGTTCAGGACCAGGCATCCTGACCAGACAGCTGCTCAACTCAGGCGCCCCTAGTGTGCTCTCCATGGAGAGAGAGAAGCCCTTCCTTCCTAGTCTGAGTGCCTTAGCCTCCAAGGCAAGGGATAGACTCAGGGTCATGCACGCTGACTTCTTTGCTATGCATTACCATGGCAACAAGGATGTCCACCCACCCGTGGTCCGAATCGCCAAGGTCTTTGAAGGACTGGAGGCTGTACCATGGGAAGCTGGTATGTTCAGTTCAAGTTGCTCTTTTGTTTACAAAAACTTGTATGGGGGATTGTTTTCAAGTTAGTTTCCCCTTGCGTTTTGTTTTAAATCACTATAATCCAGCAAGACAAAAGTTATTCACTTTTGAATAAGACATCGAACTAAAAGAAATCCACACATGTTTAGTTATGGAATATTTACAAATGTTGAAAACATATTTGCGGCCAAACAGTTATGAAGGTTAATATACAATATTCGCTTCTGTTGTAATTTTCAGAAATGAATGGATTTGGGGGTTAGTATTTTACACCTAATATCGTTCCACTGACCTGTTTAAAGTTTTGTGTTCATGGATGCCAGGGGGAAAAAAAACGAACAGAAATTCTGTTCTTGTTTTCTGGTTCCCTTACCCTACACTTCAGACGAGACAGGACGATTTGTAGACATCAGGGAATTGTCAGGTCTGGGAACCAGACTAGCTGGCTTATGCCCATTCACGGATATGTTACCGATTGCAAACAAAATATGGACTAACTATTAAAATTATGTCAATTAGGGGTAGTATTTGAAAAAAGCTGGGGGTGAGGTTCCCAAAAATGGTTGGTCGAACCATCGTTGGAAAATGATACAAAATTCCATTTTTCTTGAAAATGACAGCCTACCAGACACAATGATCTCACAGGAAGCTTGAGACTATTATTCACTTACAGTCAAGTAAGGTATTTCATATTAATTTGGTAGGTTTATTTTTTTTTAATGTTAACAAGATTCACTGCTGGAGGAATTTTTTTTGCAAAATGACTGTTTTTTTAAGCTTTTTGTGTTTGTTTTTTGTACCATCAGATATACCAATCAAAATTATCGGCAGTCTACCGCATCATAATGAGAGGACCCACGCTTACATCATTGCAAGCCAACTGCTGGAAAGATTGTCATCGTTCAAGTATGGTAGAGTCCAGTTCAATGTGCTTATGTCGGAAGGATGTTATAATGTGAGTATATGAGCATCATGGTAGAAGAAACAGTAGTTACTGAAAAATTTCATATTTGGTCCTTGAACAGAATTCCGTCACCTACCAACTGAGCTATCCAGACTAAATGTTGGTAGTTTTCCAAACAGTCAGTGTCTGTAAATGTGGTGCTTGTGGAGTGCCATGGCCTCTCGCTCTGGAGCATTGACCTCATGATCTGCAGGTAATTCTGCAGGTTGTGGGTTCGATTCCAGCCTGGGGTTGTGCTTCGTGTGCCCTTGGGCAAGGCACTTTTGTCACTCATTGCTTCTCCCCACCCAGGAGTAAATGGGTACCTGTGAGGGTCGAGATGGTTATTGTGATTTGTTAAAGCGGCTTGCACCGAAATGGCAGCATGGAGCTATATGCTCCCCAGGGAGCTGAGATTGTATTTGGGATGTTTTTATATGGCCCATTGATCAGGGGTAATAATGTATTAATTGCTTTGATCTTAAAAGCGCTTTATAAGTTTCTGTAATTATTATCCCATATGTGCCATGTGGCCAGGGATCATGCCCAAAGTCAAAATGTCTGTACGGTTTTCTGGAAGTCGCAGGTTCAAATCCCACTCCAGCTCATTTCTTTGTTCAAATTGAAGTCGGTTACCGAATTCTGCTACATGTATGTTCATTTTCCTGTTTTGTATTTTCAGGTAATATCTCAACCAGTTGGTAACATGTTTAAATACCGGGCCCTCTCTGCACTTATGCAGATGAGCTGCAACATCCAACTTCTGCACAAGGTTAGATTTTGTTACCCTTTTGTTCTAATTTACCCCCCCCCCCCCCCCCCAAAAAAAAAAGGGGGGAAAAAAGATTAGCTGATGAAAGTTGATACTACAAACAACTTTGACGTCATCTTCTAAACACACCTTAACATCAGTACATTTGAAGTTTTTTAAGGCCATGTTAGATCTGGTCCCACCATACCTAAAACAAATTTGCTCCAAATTAATTTCAAATTCATAAATACCTAACACAGTTAACCCATTCCTATTGGTAGATAGCCCGTCACGTGGATGGTTTTAAATGGTAGAATAAACACTGGCTGGCTGGTTTAAAATACTTTTCTGGTGTCACATGAAATTGGCACTCCTTTGAAATCTGGCCCCTTTTACCCTTGTATTAGTTGAACGTTCACAATCTTCACTTGGGCAAGCACAATACTACCAATGAGTCTGTTCTTCAAAGAGTCCCAAATTCACACTACACTCAGCACCGCCGCATTCTGCACCAATCGTGCACCAATTTCCATATAAGAAGATTTTTAGTACTACTCACGAGAGGCACATATCATAACATATCTAGAGGAGTGTTTAAAAAAACATGAAGTAAAATTGTTGAACAAAATTGTTGGAAATTTGTAATTTTTGACATATTTTGACTTATAAAACTTATAAAAACTTATAAAAATATACAATAGTTTCATAAAACACTATGAAAATACACATTAGTTCTGCGTGAATTCAGTTTGCTTGTTAGAGAGTTGATAGTAGGAGAATTTTGTGAATACAATTAAGAGAACAATTCTTTCAGAAATGAAACACCTTCATACCTGATAGCAGAGATGAATTGTCAGACTGTTCATTTTTCAATCAGGAAATTGTAAATATCCTGGAATTACTTGAGCCAGTTTGTTTTTGGATATTAGAAATGTGCTGTCTTCATTTCAGGAGCCCCAGGTTTCCTTTCGTCTCCCAACTTCAAGCGGAGAGGCCAGCAGAGCAAATCTCACAGTAAGCAATACATGTATTAACTTAATAACTTATAATATAACTTTATTGACTGGTAACCTTTTTTGCTATTAAAGCATACATATACAGTGGAACGTTGCTATACCGAACACCGCTATGCCGAACATTCGGCTATACCAAACATCGTCCTTAGCTCCCAATTTTTGTGTACAAAACCAACCAAACATTGTTGTTGAAAACCGTCAACAGAGGGGCGACAAGTGGCTATTGTTTCCCTGAGGCATAGAAGGGGAAAGCCACCCATCGATGTAGGTAGTAAGCTAAAAACTTTATTACATAATTCAATAGTTGACAAGTGTTCAAAGTCATCTTTCAGAAACGGAGCACCGAGAGCTTAAAATCACTATACCGAACAATCACTATTACGAACATTTTCTGTGGATCCCACGATGTTCGTTTTAGCGGCATTCCAACTGTACTTTCGTAAGTAGTACAATTGGGATACACCTTAGCATCAGAAGTTATGCCTTTGGGAGACATGTGGAATTAGGGAGACATTTCAGTGTCTCCCTAAGGCCAAAAAAAAAGTCTCCGGTTTCTGGTATGCGCGCGTCGCCGTAGCCATGCGCGTCGGTAAAATGAAAAAGTTTTTTTTTTCAATGAAAGATGATGTCTCAAACCTCCAAACTCACTGGTTTGACTGGAATCCTGCTGCTGCACAATTTTAACGTGTTTTTAGATGGGGTTATGATCGAGAATAAGCTTAATGTTGCCTCTCTGGTCTCCCATAATATTTGCACTAAGTTTAGTCTGGCACCATTTGCAGTCATCAGCCGACATTTGAAGCAAAAAAAAACAGGTAAAAAAAAAAAAGCCGCGTCGCCACACCACTTTTTGGGCAAGCTCCATACCAGAAACCGGAGACTTTTTTTTTTTGGCTTAATGCTTCAGCTCCGATTTAGAGGCAAAATGTTACTGTCGCAAATAGGCAAGATCGATTGCTCGTGTTCCAGTCAGTAAAAACACCAATATTCCTGGGGTAGGATAAGGTAAAATTGGGGTTAGGGGTCAGGAAAGTCGGAAAAAAACTGGTATACACAAGTCTATGGGCATGTCTCCCTAAGGGTACCATTTTTGGTTATATTATAGCTATTATTATTATTATTGTTATTTTTTGCTTATCAAATTTCTGAAAAGCTTGTTTTACCAATTGCTGTTCTAAGCAATTGCATAAAATTGTGTAACTGCATTCTCCTTGACCTGATATTTTAAAGACATGGTTTGAAGTTTTAGCTGCATTTTAATCCTTTCAATTTTAATCCTTTCAAAGTGGAGATTCAAATTTTGTAGGGAGGCAAAACTCTGCCACTTTTATATGTGTTTTACTGCCGAGTGAGGGAATTTTCTTTCTTTGTTTCATTGGTGTGAGTAGGGACTTAGGACCAGGAATGGCAGACAGGAGGAAGGTGGGGTGGCCTGTCATTACTGGCCCCAATTTCAATACTGCAATACTTAGCACAGATTCTGCAAGTAAAGTATTCAGAGTCCTAGTTCCCCATAGTCGATTTGGGGCACAGGAACCCCCTTAACCCTCATCCTACCAGATGCAACACGGTACATCAGGTGTAAAAGTCTGTTGGACCTTGCTGCATTGAGCCATCAACACCAGTGCATAAACGGCCAATTCTAAGACAATGACAGCTAGTGCCATTGAACAATGCCAGAGCTGTGTCCTGCCGCAGTTTGGCGACCACAGACTCTGAGGCAGTTTGGCCTTGAGACTTTTGACCTGATGGATCTTGCTGCACTGAGCAGGCTTGTCATTTTGACAAGTGTTGCATGTTGCTGCATTCAGCAGGGTTTCTAGCCAAAGTAACCCAGGGGTTAGGGTTAATGTTTACGAAGAGAAGGTTGGGAATAACCACATAAAGAGGCTGTGAATTTGTTGCACACACCGGTACTGTGTGTCCCTCCTACTTGAGCTCATGTGTGTGGTGACAAAGCGCCAAGGCCATATTATAGTCCTCTATCTCTTACTCATTATTTTGTCGCTTTCTGACAGGACAAGGACCTGAGCTTGTGCCTCGTGAGACTGACCCCTAAGCGTGACCTCTTCATCGAGCATCAGCTGTCTCAGCAACAAGCCTTCATCTTTGTATATTTTGTCCGTCAAGTCCTGGCAAAGAGGAGACAGTTTTTGTCCAAAATGATAGAGTAAGCTCTGAACATAATTCAAACTGTTCAAAACCGAGTGATTAAGTAGTTGTAGTGTTTTATTCATGTTTTTGACCTTGACTCTTTGACTCCTACACTACATTGTTTTACATTGTACATGTATTTATTCTCTCATGAATCTATAATCCCATAGAATGCTGGGACAGTTTTGGGCTGTACAGGTAGTAACATGCAGGGCAGTTTGGGGTGGTACAGGGACTAACAGGTTAGGGTCATTAAAAGAATTGCCAGTGGATTCTCATCAAATATAATTATAAATGGTAAATGAAAAAAAAAAATTTGGAAAATCTACGTAGAAGTGGATGATATATGAGAAAAGAGCATGGTGTCTACAATGTATCAGAATATTTTAAATTCAATATTTTTATCAATATGGAAATAGGCTCTGATTGTCGAATAGTTCTTTATACCTCCCTAAGTACCATATTTTCCCACCAATGCCTAGCCTTAAATGGCATTTTTTGCACGTTATGCACACCATTTTTAGTTTTTTGCTCCTTTTTGTTATCCCTTTTGAAATCGGCAATTTAGGACTGCCAGACATATTCTCCTGATGAATCAGGACATGCTTGTATTATAATACTTGTATGAATTTGTCAGGCACATTTTCATCCATCTTATCTTCAGATCAGTTTAAGTAATACTTATATAATCTTAGACACCTTTTTAAGCCCATCTATACCAACATTAACTTTGGAAATTGAATGAACTTGTCCAACTTTCCCCCAGAGCTTGGGCGCCAGGCCATGGAGATATTGTCCATGACTTTGGGTATGACAAGGAAACTCTGACAGGGAACGTTGAACCCTCAGACCTGCTGAGGATCTACATGGCCATCTGTCAGTTGGACAGCTTCAATGGTTCCTGGATGGGAGAGGACGTGGTTGGGTATGCCTCCAAGGCCTTGGAAGATGGGCAAGGGGTTGGGTACGACGGCATGGTCAGCAGGGGTATCCAGCTCTGAAGATGGCAGTTTATAAGGTAATGCACTTTCTGTATTTGTGCACGGATCATACACACAAGCCGACGGGTATTAATGCCTGTTATCACGTGTCTAACCAATTAAGGCAAGTCCGCTCAATGCATCTTGTACTAGAGCTCAGAACAGTTGTTTAACCTTGTGTGCAGGATACGTGATTTGTGTAAGGCAGAAGTCAAATTTTTCACTAACCCATGAAATATGATTACTGTAAGCACATACATTTCTGCTACAGTAAGCAGGGATTTTTCGCTAACGGTAAGTAGAGCCATGGGCCCAGATCATTTGGAGGTATTAGATGGATTGGTCAAATCGTTCTTGGAAGACGACAACATTTTAAACGAAACAACCTTTTAAAAAATGAAAACATAAACTTTAGTTCGAATTCTATCTAGGACTTGTGGTTTATTGAAATACTGTAGATATTGAGCACACCCTTTGAAGCACACACAGATAGTGTTGTACTGGCATTGAAGAATAAAACAAAATACATACACGTATACTTGTACCTCAGTCCAAAGAAATGTTAACATGAAGTACCTTTTACAAATATAAATATTTTTTAAATAGCAAGTGTCTACCCATAGGAGGTCGTGAATGGTATTAGGAATATGGAACAAGCACCCTGTTAATGGAATTCCTTTTGGCAGTGTGAACCCTGACCAAGATATATTAAGAACAGATAATAAAACATTACCCTCTACCTTCAAAATTGTATGTACCTAATACTAAAATACTATTGTGGCAATATGGCATTATCGTAAAAATAGTCAAATTTGTGGCAAGAGATGTATGACCCTACCCCAAAAAATCTCAGGGAACAACAGAGATACTTTTCTTCAATAAACTTGCACGATTAAAATCATCAGGAACTCACACTATTTTCACACACACAATTTTAAGATTGGTTATCATTCTAAACCATATGATGTATCAAACTTAGGGGCTGGGAATGCTGTGTCCAATTTTGTTTAAAAACCTTTGACATGCAATGTACTTTTAATAATAACAACAGTGAATAGAAACAATTAAATTATTTTGAAATTGAGCTTTGAACCATACAATATTGTTTCATTAAACGGCAGGGAACAAAATTTAGTCACACCCCACAGGTTTATAAAATGTCCTGAGTAATTTTGTGTTGAATTCTGACAAGAACAAAGACAATTTACTGTAAGGTTTAGATTCTCTTGATTTGTGCAGACAATAAATATCAAATTTTTACGGTCGTATAAAGTATTAGTTCAAAAACACCCATCTTCATTTAAATTGGACTGCTTCAGTTTGATTTCTACAGTTTCTTCACACACACAGTTTCTTCACACACCATGTAGTGCCTGGAAATGTATTTTCGCTGATTTAAACTATAATTAATTAATTCTTAATTAGTAGTATTTCTTTTAACAACACTTCAAATATGTTATTGTTGGCTGATAGGAATTTTTTCAAAATAGGCAGGATATTGCTATCCAAGTCGAACCTTTTTAAATTACTTAGTGCTATAATTATTGAAGACAAAGCTTAATTATATTACAGGGGAAGCTGCTACAATTATAAATAATGAATTGATAAATATCTTAATATCTTGATCATCCTCAGGATGTAAAAACCAGTTACATTACACGTTAACAATTGCAGATAAATACTACAGATAAATACTACTGATAAATACTACTGATAAATACTACTGATAAATAGTGAATTATAGTTTTCAAAAAATAATAAGTTACAGGAAGTGATTGCTTTCTGGTTGGATGAAACCTGATAAATAAGAAATTCATTGCACTGGTTGTGTGCAACATTTAATGTTGCATATTATGGAGTGCTTTAAATACACTTACTGGATATTTAAATGTTAAAAATTACTTCAGTGCTTGCTAATGTAGCTTACATTTTATAGTGCTGAACGTGTAAATGCACATCACTTGATGTGGGTTTGGTATTCACGTTTCTCATGCTTTCCTACCAGATACGGTCATCAGGTGACATGCCCGATGAGCCATCCATCGTGATGGGCTCCTGGGTAGGGATGGGCTCGCATACCTCAAGGATTCGGTTCCACTGCTCTCCTTCAGGGCAGCATCCATTGAAAATGTCTGGCGTCAGCCAAGCCCTTCCAAAAACTTCCCCGTTGCAGCAGACTGCTAGGGTAGGGTGGTAAGCCGTTTCCGCACAGCAGCGACCAGCGACCACATCTTCAGTGACAGCACTCCAGGCAACCACCGTGCCATCCCCTTGATCGGTGATGCCCTGGCAGCAGGTTGCATTCAAGGGGTGGTACAGGAGGCTACCGCAGCAATCCATCTCCTCTGATGCATTCTCTCGCACTCGGATGACTGAGCACGGCTCCTGAGTTACCAACATGAAGCCTTCGTCAGTTGTTGATTCAATAGCGGTAGTGGTAGTGGAGGCTGTGGTTGATTCCCTTCTGTCTGGTTGACTGGGAACCATTGGCATCACTGTGCTGTTGTCACGGCAGTACTCAGTGATGAGATTGTAGAGTCTGTCATCACAACAGCCCTGCAGAGTCTGATTATATACTCGTCCTCCACACAGTTGGTCCTCAGGTGCACTCGTGCTGGGTTTGATGTCATTGCTTTGTTCTGATGACTCACTGTTGTAACTGACCAAGGTCGTTGTTTCATCGCAGTACTTGATGCTTTGGTTGTAGACTTGGCCTCCACAGCAGCCATGGGTGAGTGGGTTGTACACAGACTGGCTATCACATAGGCCCAGTACTGAACCATTCATGCAGGTCTCATTGGCTAGCCTGTATAGAACACCCTGGCAACACCCTTGAACTTGAATGTCGTAGCTGAGGCCATCACATGCTACCGGAGTTGCATCTGTTGCACCCGGTAGCCACGGCATCATCCTCTCCTGGACATGAGCAGTCTGTCCCTCTGCCTCAGTTGTAAGTTGGATATCGTAGTCCGCTGTGTCCGTTGCGTCCCGGGTGAACCTCTGGGCATGCTCAGTCTGCCTTGCAAACATTCTCCGCGCATTTGTTGTTTCCTCGACGGCAGTTGTTTCTTCGCTGTCCTTGGCCCGCACCTCTCCTGCTTCACACAGCTGACTCTGCCTGTTGAAGATGATGCCATTGCAGCATCGGTATGGCAAGCGGGACCGGCGTTGAAGGGTTACATTGCCACAGCAAGTGAAACGACGACTGTCCAGTATGTGACCATTGCAGCACAGTGTGTCTTCTTTATACTGTTTTCTCTGTTTATGAAAATGAAGAACACAATGAAAAACATTTGGTTTGCTTACTCACATGTACTTTGGTTTGGTTTGCTCACTTACTTTGATTTCTCTGCATGCTGTCCTTACATTGTGGAGTGTGTAGAAATCAGCAGATTTGAATTATTACCTTTTAACCAAACAATTGATCAATTCATAAATTTATAATTTGTTTTCACGAGAATGATTCATGGTATTGATTCTTCATAACATATAAATCATAGGAGTTTCCAATAAATGTAAAGTTGAACAAAAGAACTTCCCGGAGTAGAGATTGAACCTGCAACTGTAGGACCGTTGTTACCTACAGTACACCGTACTGGTGCTCAGTTAGCTGCACTATCCAGCTCTTTGTTGTTGGCCTTCCAAATTGTCAGTGTCTTTGTTCATACTGCATTAGTCAGAAGCCAATTCAGTGTTGTAGTCGAGACATCACAAGACCAGACCCAAGACCAGCACAAGACCAGCACAAGACCAGACACAAGACCAGACACAAGACCAGCCACAAGTAACAGGGCACAAACAGTGACAAAGGAATTCCTTTGCTGCAGTTCAATTGAATAGCTTGTGACTTGAAATGAGACTGGAGGTCTTGTGAGGATCTTGTGATGGTCTTGCAGGCTCTCGACTACAACAATGCTGTTTCTAATGAGTGAGAGTTTCTTTACCTGAATTAGACCCCCGCAGCAGACTTCTTTGGAGGTATCCCTTACGACAGCATTTCCGCAGCATTCACCATTTGGCAGAAATTTGTGCAGCAAACCCTGGCAGCAGGTGTGTTGGGATGAGTCGTAATCACCGGCGGTTAGGCCGCAACACGTCTGACCGGAACTCCTCAGGAAGGCGAAGCGGTGGCCTTCTACTCCACAGCACTCTCGTTCAGTTGAGTTAATGACCTGGTTGCCGCAGCACTGGAGGTCTGAGGCATCCAGGTGGAGAGTGCCGTCGCAGCAGAGAGGCAATGGTAGAGCCGATGGGTCATAGGCTACCTTCCCGCAGCATTCAGTGCCGTGGTCTTCCTTAGAATATCTGTCATTCATAGGAGAGTGAACAAAAAAAACAGATTTATTGGGTTGTTGTCGTATGAAACCTTGTGTCTATGCTGCCTTTGTTGTTAAGATCTGTGTCCTTGAGCAAGAGTATTGACTGCAAGCAACCATTTCATGGTATCACTTTCATGTGTTCTTGTACATGTATTTCATTTATTTGCTGTCCTAAGGAAGGCTTAATATGAAGTACTCCTGTCCATGGTTATTTTTGGTTGAAAAACGGCATTTTTGTCTTGCTAAGGCTATTCAACATAGCCATTATGTTTAAACCGAAAGCTGTATCCACAATTCCAGATTTTTAAGCAGCTTATTTCTACTCACATGAAACCTTGGCAGCATATCTTGGTGTCATCCATGATCACCTTGCCGCAGCACTGGCCGTTGGCAACATCGTATCGCACTCCATCACAGACAGTTTCCATTGGGCTGTGGACAATGCCGTCGGTGCACAATGTACGCCCGCCCGCCGTTGGATGCAGTCTGTCCTTGCAACAGATCTGGGTGTCATCTGTTAGCTCATGGGGTCTTGGTCCACAACACTCCGTGTCTGGGAAACAATTGTCGACATTTGACATTCAATAAATTTTGAATTTAGACTATGAATTGAACAGTCATTTGAAATTCGAATTGTCACCAATATAATATAGCTGTACTTAAAACTGAAGGAACTGGTGCACCAATAGTGTACAAAGAGGCGATTAAGCCAGTTTGATATTTTTAGGAACAACATTTTGAGATACTTTGCTTCTGCATATTAAGGGTTTTGCAAAACGACGCCTTTATTTCTGGCCTCAGCTTCAAAATGGAAATACAATATTGGGTTTTTTCCCCCTTCTCTGATGCAAATTCCTACAAATGGAAATACTCTTAAAACTTTGGAGGAACAACTACATGTATTATTGAGCCAGAATCCCCCAAATCAAGGGTATGAAATCTCTTGCAGCAAAATCTGGAGACAAAGCCAAAATATTTCAAAAGCCTCAAAAGAGATATATTGAGCCTGTAACAATCTTTACCTCTGCCAGTTCTAGGAAACAGCCTGCCATTACAGCAGATGTGGGCATCAGCATTGTAGCCTCCGTCCTGTCCGCAGCATTTCCCTTCACCCAGGGCAGTGCCCGGAGTGTCGTAGACCTGACCGTTACAGCATGTCTGGCCAGAGCCAATCAGGACATCCCTGCAGCACTCATTGTCTGCGGGATTGTAAGGCGTCCATGTGCTGAGGTCGGAGCCAGTGCCACAGAGAGCTGGGAAGGCTTCCACCTGGCACCGAGGACGGACCAGTCCGCTTCTGTCACAGGCGCTGGTGTTGGTGTTGTAAACGGTGTTCCTGCAAAACCTAGAGAGTGACAACACAATTGCATTGGAACAATGTTTAAACATTTTAATGACAATGGATCATGGGATGGTTGAATGTTGCGATCATTGTATTCTGCAATGTACATAACATGAAAGTTGCTGTATTCTCAGGAAAGATTTTTCCCTTTGACATGGAATCTTTAGGGGGAAAAAGAATTGAAATGAACAGTAACATGATTTCATAAAGAAATGTTTTAAGCCAGATGTCCCTCTTTTGAATTCTGTGGTCCAAAGGGCCATCAGGTAATGGCACTACATGTTAAACTGTGTCATGAGCAACATAACATTTAATTCTTAGTTTAAGGAAACATTGTTTCCCCATTAGAGCACTGTATGCGCTGTTCGGCCAATTTCAATTTCATTCCTAAAGGTCTGTAATGATTAGGAGCATAATCAGTTTCTTGTTCTTGTAACCTGATCTGAAGGTTATGTCCAGATTGTCAGTAAGTGTTCTTCCAACTACTCGTATCTGCATCAAGAACACAAAAACTCACCCAGCCACGCCCCTGGGAACATTGAAAACACTGCCGGCAAAGCAGCACTGAAGACTGGGCGCAAACACCTGGATACTGTTGCCGCAACATTCGACTGGGTTCCCGTACTGGTCCTGTTTGTTGTGGATTTGGCCGGCACAGCAGATTTCAGTGTTTTGGTTGTATATGTTGCCACCGCAGACTTCGTCTCCAGATAGACGTATTGTCAGGTCACCGTGAATTGTACAAAACTGTGAACAAAACACATGTATACTGAATATAATTGTTTCTATATGTACCTACATGTATTAAGTATGCGAAGGGCATTTTCTTCAAGCAAATATTGAAGTGTATTGGAGGGTGGAGTTGGGAAAGGGTTACACAAATCTCACCTGATCTTCACTGTCGTATGTCACTGGTATCCCGCCACGCATAGGTCTGCCAGTGCGCTCATTCACTGGTCGACAGACTGCATCGTGATCAGGATGGGTCTTGTTGAGTGGCTGTTGCCGGGCGGTGTCACACAGCTGGTTGGCCTGTAGCAGTGAGTAGCCACAGCAATGATCGGCAGCTGCCGGCTCATCGAAGACACCAACTACAGAAAAATTTCAAGAATTTTAAAATCCACATACACCTTTTGCCTATTTTAGGCCTTTTTTGGCTAGACCATGATGTGTTATAGCTAAAAAAATGAGGTGACGTCATGATGACGTCATCCTGAGATTTTATATGAATATTTGTATTTTTGGACCTTTTAGCCATATCTCATGAACGCAACATGCAAAAATTCAAAATTCTTCTTGTATTTGGTTTGTTTGGTAATAGTTATTTGCACAAAATTTGAAAAATGTGTGACGTCATCATGATGTCATCAAAAAATGCGATTTTTCAAAACACATATAAGGAAAGGTCCGATTGTCATAAAACTTGGTGGGTAGGTAGATAGTATGCAAAGTCCGAAGTGACGTCATGATGACGTCATCGTTTGATTTGTTTATGATTTTTTTAAGTATTGCACACTTAAGTGTACAAAATTGCACACTTTCTTTCATCGGATTGACTTTAAACTTGGTTCAAACCAAGACCACAATGACGGAATGTGCATTGAGAAGGGTTTTCAAGATGACGTCATTGCAAGGCATGTTACGTCATGTCATAAAATTATATTTTAGGAATTATTCTAAGCATTTTGAACAACCTTTAACTGCATGAAGCACTCTAAAAGTGACTACATTTGTAAAATGCGAAAAAGCCCTGTGTTCTGTTCGCAAACAGACATACAGCTCTAGTTTATATTTATGATTGTTGAAACCATTTTGTTTACACAACAATGCCAGTGTCATCAGAGAGTGAAAAAGGTAATAAGTACTGTGTACAATGTTTATAATTTCACCTTTCTTAGGTCGTAAGTGACACCCCATGTATGGATACATTTTGAAGCAAGAAAATAATTTGAAACACTTTTGTTTTAAAATGAGTGATAAGAAATCTTCCAAGTGCATGTCTGCTTCTGTGAAATTCGTCAGACTTGACGTCAAATAAAATTCTACAGAATTAGAATCCCAGCCGACTCACCACGTCTCCTTCCAGTGCAACACGTCTGACTAGTAGGGTCAAACACCTCCACTTCATTCCCAGAGTTTGCGTAGCAGCACGACAGACCAGCACTGGGGAAACTCTGGCCCGCCCTGTGACAGCAGGTTGCTGTCTGAGGGTCATAGCTGGTGGAACCGCAACACTGTAGGGATGGGGGAGAGCGTTGGACCCTTTGGTTGTCGCAGCACATCTCGGCAGTTGTGTCATAAATTCCTGCAGAAAGAAAGAGGAAAAGCAAAATCAATAGACCGTATTCACGTGGAAGCCATTTTGATTGTGTTCCCTGAATTTTATTTACACATACGCGATTTTGTCTCTGTACATGTATATAAACACACATCAATGAGTGCGTTTACATTTATGCGACAAAGTCATGCAACTTATCACGCTATGAGTACTCTACAAGAAAGTACTCAAGTAGTACTCAAGTACGAGTACCGAGTATGAGTTCTACAACACTGGTACTAGTGTACCAAGAGAAAATCAAATGGGGTTTGGGTTAAAAAAAATATTCTGTGAAGTTTTTAAATCTTTACCGTTTCCACAGCATTCCATATTTGGCTGTCTCTGAAACCTACGTCCCCGGCAGCAAAGGTGGTCTGTCTTGAGGTATGATTTGTTACCGCAGCAACCCTTGATCTCCTGGATACTGGGTAGTGATTGCTTGCGTCCACCGCAGCATGATTCCAGTTGGGGGGAGTAGGGGGTCTCTCTGCAGCAACTACCATGACCTGTGGGAAATGATACAGAAGGCAGCACAGTGTAACGAGATTCGATTGACTGTGTAACTGATGGATCATGTGTAGTTCAGGCCTGCTAGTTTGTGGTTACATGCTGCAAAATAACTTGTACGTGTTCTATAACCACTGATGACCGACACACAAAGGGAGAACAACAGATCTTTTCAGTCCTCTGGAGTTGGGTCTTTTGTTGGATACTGTCCTCTGTAGTAAGTTTGTGAGCTAAGTCTATGGGAGAGGGTTATATATACAGGGACAAAGGGGGAAACACAAAGCATTGTCCTCGAGAGTATAGTAAAACAAGAGTGTATGCACATGTGTATGTGTTCATCAGTTAATCAGATGGTGCTTTGCATAAATACCATGAACACAGTTCACTCATTTCCTTTGCTTAACTGAACAATTTTCTTTGTAAACAATTTGTATGATTATTTTGATGCCTTTGGGGTAAAACTCCCCCTCTCCATAGAGAGAAAGGTAGCAAAGCCACCAATGGATATTAACCCGAAGCCTTCAATGCAAGGAGGATATTGCATGCTTGGGGAAGCTTTTAAAAAAAAAAATCAAGAAACTATTACATTGCATGGGACTAGATGCCAACCCTTCAGTTACAGTCCTGAATCCTCCAATTTGAATATGAGTTTGCACACCCCCTAGGGAGTTAGCCAAAAGTCTAGAAAATGTGCCATTGAGTACCTCAACAGAGGAATATTCCTGAGGAGTCTACAAGTTATATTGGAGTTATGTATCAAGCATCAAGCCTGTATACTTAGCCTGTAGATTGTGAGTAGTGGTGATATTGTAAACATACTTACCTATTGGGTGGACAGTGTGAGTACTAAAGCCACAGCACACTTCATTATCTGGGTTGTATGGATTGGTGCCACAGCATTCGGTTCTACCGTTAGTGAGCTCGCTCTTAACACCCTCGCAGCATACTTCTGAGCGAAGGTCAAAGGTCGTACGGCCACAGCATTCATTGAAAGGTGTTTTCACTTGTGGAACCTGTTTGAAGAAGACCGAAACGTTATCAAATGTCATAACCAGTCAAAAGTAATACGATCCAACTATGATACAAATCACATGCCCATGCATCTTGACAGTTACTTGCAACACTTTTTAGCCCCATGTAAATTTGCACAAGCATCTATCTTTAAAAGATTCAGTCATTTTAGTCTCTGTGATGCAGTTAAGTCTGCCACAGCACCAGCAACAGGTTTTGGTTTGATTTTGTTCATCTGAGTGGTGAACAAAAGTTCTTCTGTAGCTGTTAGATGCTGTTTGATTTAGTAGGCTTCCTGTTTCAATCATAGGCTTTCAGTTTCAATTGTTGGATACTGTTGGACACCAAAGGGTACTTAACTTATCCCTAACTCACAAGGCATTTTTGCTAGGATGTAACCTCAATCCTGCAAAATCCTTCAACTGCCTCCATGTAAAAATTGCATACATCCTCAATCCTGCTAAATCCTCCGATATATTTTTTTGAATTTGGTCCTTGGAGCGGTGACCACTGCCTCAATCCTGCAAAATCCCCTGGCAATCACTGTCAATATGTTGAAGCAGAGCCAGTGACATCCTGGAGCAGTGCGGGGGATTTCAAGTATAGAATAGAGGCCTAAATTATGCACGGTTGAGCATCAACAACACAAGGTCTGGCCCAAGACCTTGACACAGTGCATCCTCCGAAATCAGCAACACATTTTTGCCATGTAGCCTCAATCCTGCAAAATCCTCCATTTTGCAAAGAGAATTTTGGAGGATTAGGGTTAATACTAAGAGAGGGTTGGGGTTAGGCTTGCATAGCACAAGGCCTGTTTACAATTCACTCATATCGTACAAAAAGTAAATAGAGCTGACCTGATCACAGCAGTGCTGCTCTGTTGTATCAATAGCCTCCAGTCCGCAGCATCTCGCCGTCTCATCTATAACAGCATCCTCACCCACGACATGCACCTGACTCACTAGCCCCTGACCCTCCCTCCTCGAGCAGCAGATTTCACTGGAGGCGTTGTACAATTTGTCCGTGCCACAGCACTGGCCGATCCCGTCTCTAGGGCCATTGGAGCAGCAGGTCTGCTGGGTTGTGTCTATCACGGTATCGCCACAGCATGCTAGTCCTGTTTCAAACAGACATCAACAGAAAGAAATCTTCAGTGGATGCATTCAGGACAATTCGTGATATTGTTTATTGAGCTGCACTGATTTGACTTCCCTCGTGGTACATGCAGAAAGCATGAAGTAAAAAAAGAAGTCTTCGATTCTTTCTTATTATTTAAGCAATTGCTCGATAGTGTTTCAATATTGAAATAATTATTCTGAAAATCTTTGTTATTAAACCACAATTTCTTTTGCCGTGAGTCACATTACCATAAGGCCAAAAAAAAAATACTGGGTCTCTGGTCAACGCGCGTGTCGATTTTAATCATGCGCGTCAACCTTTTTTTTCTTCAAAATCTCTCTGACCAGAGACCGATAATTGTTAAAGTCACTATTAAATATGCATCACCTTGTTTTGAACCCAATTTTTACCTCTTAAATTGTAAATTGTATTTCTTGTTTTTGTGTGTTTTTGCTCTGTGAGTTAGGTAAACTTGCCGTGGGGGATTGCATACTTCAACGGACCCTGGACAAACTGCATAAAAGGTATTTTCATACAACTGTCTACAATACTCCTGCAAAGCACTACATAATAATTCTTCAGCTTTCTGTTATTGGGATTACAAATAAGGAGTACAAAAGAGTTGGACCATTCCTTCTTCACTAGCTGAAAGATGTTATTTTGCTGAGTTAGTCAATTTGTATTAGTTATAAATGAAAATCTCCAAAATCTGCAGCACTACTTGCCCCAACCCTAACACCACTCCACCCCTGGCCCCTCCCACCACCCCCTCCCCTACCCCTATCATCACCCCTTACCTTCAGCTTTGTTGGCCAGCGTCCCGTGACAGCAAAGCGTAGTGTCTGAATTAAACACTTGTTCAAGGCTAGAGGTGGGCACAGTACAGCAGCTCAGGCTTCGGTTTTGTGCTGGGTCCAGTATCTGGCCATCACAGCAGCTTTGACTAGCTAGATTGTAGAGGTCTGCCCCACCTGGGGAAAGAACAGCCAAATAGGGCTAATTGCATGAAGTTGCTTAAACAGCAGACAGAAATATGCTCAACATTGAAGACGTTGCACTCAGCATGGCCACTCATCAAATTAGAAAAAAAACAAGATGATCATTAAAAAATTCACAAGATTTAAGAATTATGTACCAAAATAGCAGCAAAGACCCTATTTTCATGTACATGTGGCTATAAAGTGCTGAAATTTTGTGCAAGTGCAATCCATACTTTTGTATGTACTCAATACAAAAAAACCAAGGCTCAGCGAAACTTTCCCAAGGGCTAGCCTTAATTCCCAAGGTCTTGGGGAAAATCCCAAGCAGTGGCCATGCTGGTTGCACTTACCAACATCAGCATTACCAACATTACAGACTAAAATGTCCTACGATCTATGGCACAACAGAGTGGTTACCAGCACGTTTTTCTTTTTTTTAGTTAGCAGCCCAGCTGGTCAGGGTTGTTTGATATGATCCCGACATATCGCAATCATATTCCTGATCAGAATTTATGATCAGGATGTATTGTGTGATAGATTTGCAAGCCTCTCTAAGGCATAATTCAATCTGTTAGCCTTTTGAGCTATGGCAGATACAATACAAGGACGTTGATTTGGTTTGGGTAAATTTGGGTAAATACAATATGTCCACCATATCCCAGATTGGCAAATTGTACCTACATCTGTCCACTGTGGACATGTGTAATTGCTTTTGTGACCACAGCATTCTGCACTTATAATCACAATTCTGTGCCTGAAATGCTAGCGAAGAAATTTGGTGCTAACTGTAGAATGTATGCACAGAATCCTTCATCACAGGATGTACAGTGGCATAAGCTAACATTCTTACCTAACTAGTGAAATATGCTTATGATTAGCACAGAATTGCCTGCGTTGCTTAGCAGAGATTGTTTGCTTATGGAAAGCAGAGCCATTGAAATGGGCCCATTTGCACTCGTTTAGACAGTATTCCTCTAAATGTACCCTTTGGGGACACATTATCATCTAAAGTTATACCTTTGGGAGACATTTGAATGTCTCCCAAAATAGGCTGAATCGATTCCTCATGATGCAAAACCCAAATTTACAAACTTTGGTGAGAGTGTAGGATATGGTTAGGGTTGGGGGTCATTAAAGTCAGGATTTTTTGTGCACAAGTCTATGGGAATGTGTCCCTGAGATACCATTTCCCGTAATTATTATATCCCTATGTGTACATAGGGATATGTACATGTAGTGGCTTGTTATCACCAAGTTTATATCGATGGGTGCAGTGAAACAAAATAATGCAACGTATTTGCGGGTTGACCGTTATTTGTTCCCACATGATCAACTACTTCTGATGACTTCCTCTCAGGAAGTTGATTTTGAGGGGCACACCCTTTATTTGCAGCAACCTAATCCTGTACCCAATGTGATCTCAGAGGATAATCTGTTGAGTTGGTAAAATAGCAACTCATCAGACTGGACTTTTAGTTTTTTAGTACAATTATTTAGTGTAACCACAGGAATGATACTACACTTGTGTCAATATAAAGGAAACCTCTAATGAATATTCAAAACTGAAAAAAGTGCAGGTACATAATGTGTGCATGATAAGCATGATACAGCATGACGTATGTATGCAGGGAAAAGAATGTAAAGTATTAACTTGAATTTTTAATCAATTTCATTTATCCGGTGTATGGATTTAATCTTCATGTCTGTTGTATTAAGGAAGTAGCAGTTCAAATTGGGAATTCACTTATTAAATTCCCTAAAATGGAAATCACACGTACAGGGAAGATTATTGGTTCTAAAAGCTTTTAACATATCCCGATCATTAATGTATATTTGTTTAATTTTCATGTTATATTATTGATATTAATTATAACTTTAAATTTAATTGTACATATTCTATTTTTGAGTTAAAAAGTGAAGATGAAAAGTCTTCTAAATAAAACTGAAAACATGAGAATTTCTTTTATGCTTCTCTCCTTCAACCTGTTGTATGTGTGCTGAAGTTCTAACTTTTGTAAGCCATTCTAGGATGGACAAAAATATATGATTTTTTTTCCATAATGTGCATTCATAGAAGACATTAAAATTAATGAATAATTGTGCCATCCGACATTAAAACCCAACAGAGAAAGCCGAACATTTAGGCGGGTTGGAGGAGGCGCCCAATGTGTCTATGTTTTGTGATTTGGGCATGTATATCCCAGTTCTCTTGACAAACTTGACAGGCTTTCAGCATCTTTATGAGTTCGCCAAATGACAACAAAACTGACTGTCATTTCGTAACTTTTATAATGGATTTCTGTCTTCAATTTCTCGTGTGGCACAGTCCGTTATAAAACATAAAATACACCAATTTTAGAGAAAGGAAGCCAATGTTTAAACCTCGTCAATCCTTGGGAACATACAGGGTGGTCAAAAAAACCGGAACGGCATACTTCCACTACCTTGAGACTCAACCACCTGTACCAATTGATGGAGAATCCTTTTAGAAGAATTATGATACCAAAATGTTCCGATTCGGTCCAGTAGTTTTTGCTGCAGAGCCTATTTTGTGAAGGATACTTCTTTCATGTGGGTATTATTACATAACAGTCCCTCTATCAATGACAATGTAAGTCAAATTCCCGGGCGTGGTTTAGTAATTCATCGGGACAAAAATGACCCCCACCTTGCTTCACAAAATAGGCTCTAGAACAAAAACTACTGGTTTTAAAGATTCTCCATGCATTGGTATATGTGGTTTGAGTCTCGGGGTAGTGGAAGTATGAGGTTCCGGTGGTGGGTTTGGGGTTTTTTTTTGGGGGGGGGGACCATCCTGTATTTCCAACTTGAAAGCTTACTTACAGCACGAGTAGGGCTGGATATCATCTCGTTTGGCATGTAAAACCCCAGCGCAGCACAGTTTCTCTGAGGAGTCGTACTCGATCACGGTAGAGTCCAGACTCAGGCATGATGCTGCCAAGCCCAGTCCTGAAGAATAAAACGACAACATGAAATTTAAAGACTACAAAAAAAACTTGATTCTAAAAACTGATTCATAAATTTATTTATCATAGTACAGTACAAATTATTTAAGAATTGTCAGGTTATTAATACAGAAAATGCTCGTATCCTCTTCTTAAGAGGGGGCTACTTTGAAAATGAAACTATTCTTGAAAAAATGACATAATCGGAAATGGTCGATTCGATTCCATCTGAATTTCATCACTTGGGTTCTCTCACACACTCTAGGGCCGAAAGGGACCAGACCACAGGTATGGCTAGAAATGTGGTCAAATCTATGTCAAACATTTAAGAAAGAAAAAAAAACATAGGGAAATTAAGAACAAGCTTAGTCATTACACTACCGATGTCGGAAATGTTTCGGGAGGAAGTTACCTTCATAAATTGGTTTACTTAATAAATATGGTTTAATGTTGAGTGCTTTAAAGACAAAGCTTTAAATTTAAATCATGTTTTGTCCGAAGTTGAATTGATCCATTTTTCTGATTTAGCAGATCTCAATATTTGCAGTGTATTAAGAGTGTGGGCTTTTTTCTGCCGGCCAAATTAGTAGGCCTATAGCTTTCCTTTTCTTCGTAACGGGTTTCTCGCTGGCTGCATTAGATAAGGTATAGGCCCTATGGAGGACATTTATTAAGTCACAAAACAGTGTTTCATCCATAATTGCAATAATTCACCAAAGCACATCAGTGCCAAACGCATTAAATAATACGCGATTAGTCATTGTTATCGGTGGATGCTTGTATCTATTTGAGGTAGAATTCTTTTTACCTCCTCGACGATTGGATGATAGATCAAGATCTTATGACTTGTTTAACCGAACACCGAGCATCTATGGCTTCTCATTGTTCTGATACAAAACATTCCTACTGGCATTTTTGACTCATTCATCAGTTGAAATTGGAACGGTTCTTTTAGTTTTGCAATACTGGAGGCTTGATGTCAGATCTCATCTGTACTTTGAGTAAGTTAATTGATTTTGTTGAAATGTAGGCACCATTATATTTTTTTAACTTCAATGAAATGAGCCACTTTCCTTCTGCTTTATGATTGCACAAAAGACGAGAAATAGTCGGACAGTTTCAGTTTCGTAAATATTATTGCTTTGGAAGAGAAATACATTCCATCTCTAGAGTGATTAGATCGGGGATACAGTCAGTAGAATTCCCCAAGTAGTGAAGAGCCTGTTCCGTTTGGTTTAAGGTAACACTGATTCCATAGCAGCCACGTGTACCAGCACGGTATCCCGGCTTGTTTACGATTGTGAAATGTGCTCGTCGCGCGTCGCATACACGGACACATTGCATAAACTCGTTCGCTCAACCTCGGTCCTATAGGGGGAAAAATCGATAATCAACTCAAACAACACACACGCATAGGCTACGCAGGCGGTGCTATTAATATTCATATTTAATCATTATAATAATTTAACGATGTTGCAGAGATGCCTGAGGCTGTGGCTATTTTTAGCAAGGCTTTCCCGATCCTCGGCGTATAGGCTACATTACAAATACTGCCAGTCGTGTCTCGTGTATTCCGGGCGCAAGTTGCAATTTTCACTTCGTCTAGGGATTGGGATAGATTAGCGGTGAAAATTATGTTGAATCTGGGAAGGATGTTTTTATTATTCGAACTTCGGGGTGTCGGGTTTGTGTGCGATGAATGAATGGCGAAACGTAGTCTGGATCATTGCGACACAAGGTTTTCATATCTAGCACAGACAAAATTACCATCGCAATTTCTGAATTCCAGATAATTCGTTGTCTGGCCTGGAACTGCCATCTTGATTTTGTTAAATACGAAAATAAACAATGAATTTCCACTGCGGAAACTGCTTGGTCTGAGTTGTTGGTGTCACTTCTACCGTAGTATGTTCAATTTAAATATACACTTTTAACAGTATGATTAAAAACGCCATGCGAAATGTAAATTACCAGTGGTACTTCGCTGGAGAAAATAAAAAGAAATCACAAAGCTCGAAATTCGGAAATACATTGTCTGCTTTTCCTTTTAGGGTCTCGATATTTAAAAAAAAAAAATGAATGTGTAATTTACATTTAGAAACATAATTTCGCAATGCACGTCTTGCAGGTTGTCGATACGGAAAAGTCACGGTAAGTTCCTCACTTGAAAATTAATACTTCCGACTTTCCCCGATAGCACACGTCACTGTAAATATTGCATTTTATACTTTTCCTGTTATTTTGTTTTCATCCACGCTAGACAGTAAGAACAAAATGACAACATAAAGTTTATTTTCACTTGAAATTTATGATGATGGCTTCATTTTGGGCCAAAATCTCCTGGCATAATCTGAACTATTCCACTGTGTTATCGGTGAAACGTGGTCGTTAAAGGTGGTAGACAACGTGTGGATTTGTATAAAGTCAACTTCATTTTTTTTGGGGGGGGGGCCTAGAAATGTATTATTATGAATTTTACAGTGGTTCATTCGTTTTCAACCATTGTTTGTTTGTTTTCAACCTGAAACATTTAATGCATAGAATTCGTAGTGCCAGTAGTTGTGTCGTATCATAGTATTTTTAAAAAGGCGTACTGGGCGCTACGATTTTTTACAGATTGCTCGACATACTATTATTCACTTCCACTAATAAGTTACAGCCAAGTCAGCCATTTCATACTAATTTAACCAATTTATTTAAGCAGGCGTTCACTATGTTTGAAAACAAGAAGATGTAAAATATTCCAGGTTTGATATAAGTCAATTTGAGTCAGAATTAAGAAATAATCTGATGAAAATATTGACCATGTGGCCTTTTCCTTAATGGACGCTGCGAATATGGAAATGTTTACATAAAAAATGTCTCGTCCGTAAAGTTTTTTTTTTAATGAATCAATATAAAGACGTACTAAATAAAACATCCAGTCACATAATTTGTTATTCGTCATTATTCGATTTCTAGAAAATAATATTTTGTGAAACGGTTTCCGATTTAGTTTTTTTTTATGATGCATGTACAATTGTAAATTGTTTGACAGAAACTTTCATTAAATTTATGGATATAAACATAATTTTGTCTAGCACATTGAAGTAGTTTTTGGTAAAAAAAAATACTTGTATAGGTCTTGACTTACCAATCTTTATCAGTATCAGGAGTATTGCAAACATCACGTACGGCCGATAACTGCTGGCGGATCGGCCGTAGTCACGCGACAGCATTTTTCTGTCAATTTCTCTTTCCAGACCCACGTATGAATTGACAATATTTATTTACTTATTTATTTAATGGTTCAATTCGCAGTTTTCTCTTTACGTTATTTCTTCGTCGTTGTAATTCTTAGTACTAGCAGCGGTGCGAGTATTGTACCTTCTAATTCTCGCTTGAAGCACTTTTACAGTGGAATACTTTTTGAACTCCATATTTATGGACAGATGCCCAGACCAAATTTTATTTTGGCCAGATGACGCGATAGCAGTTATTGCTATGGCCGACGGGACTTTCCTCATTTGCTGTACTTTCTCTCGAAACCACTTGCCGTTCTGAGATCATTTAGTTCCGATAATCAGTCTGGTTTGAATGCGCTATGTAAAACAGTGTATAAACCGCGGCTGTGTGAGCGCGCAGAATTGCGTAATATGGTAAAGCGGGAAGATATGAATGAACGTATTGCGTGGAGTCAGTGCCCTGTGTGACCTGCTGCTTCAAAATGCACACGTGCATACGGGGAACACGTTTACAAAAAACTATAACTATGACGTGATGAATGAACAGCTATATTTTTTATTTCTTTACGACTTTCCCCTGCTCCGGAAGATTTCAATCGTCAATTGTTTTGACTACCTTTTGGGAATCGGTTGCAGTTTTGAATGAATTGTTTGGGTGGGCATTACTCAACGGCGAAAGTTGTCTTTGTTAATTACATCATATTCACATGCACTAATGAGTTGAGTTTTGGATGATGGATCACAGAAGGGGCCAGTGTTTTGAAATGCTAA